ATCCTTTTAAAATATATCGGCTTTCTCATGTTTTTAGCTGCAGGCTTAGAAGCTTCCCCTCAGTGCTGCGGGCTGGGAAATTTTTAACAAATTGCACCAGGAGTGTAATTAATTTTCCCAAATGTAGGGACTATAAGACATCTCTTACCGTCTCGCAAATTTAAGGTGTGACTAAGAGACATGTAAACCTGTTTGAAAAAGGTATCAATGCTGTTATAGAATTCGCCCTCCACCTCAGCATCCATTCATTCTGTACCACTCAATCTCTCCATATAACCCCTCTTAACTTAATAACACCCTTTTATCTGACTTTCATATTTATTTCCCTTTCTGACACCCCTGTACCTCTCTCCTTCCTCTCCTCTGTCCCCTGGCTCTACTCGTTCCTTCTAATTACAATAATTTAAATGTCAAACAACAATCATCTCCTCTTTCTTACAAGACGCACATTTTCCAATACCCCCCTTGCCTTCCTGGAGATGACAGCGTTGGAGGGCGGGAGGGGTTAATACCTCCCCATTTAGAGGGGGGACACAGGAAAATTCTTGTAGATACTGTATATATGTCATTTCCATGGCTGCTTGCAGATACCATATGTATGTATGTCATTTCCAGACCAATTATCAGCGTTTATGGTGGACTAAGGACCATCCATGATGCAGTAGGAGAGTGGAAGGGGTCATTAGAAAGAGCCTGTTTTCCCATGGATACAGAACGGGAACAGGCAGCTGTGTGTGTCTGTATAGGCTGAATGTAATGTGCGCTGGCAACACTCAGTTTATATTTACATTCATTCACACAGTCTATTTTCTGGGCTGGATTCCTTAAAGGGACAGAGACTGAAATAGAAAGAACTCCTTACAGATAGGACAAGAGATAAGACATAGGAAATAAGTCAGGTAAAGTCAGGCTCTGATTAGTGAATATGAGAAATAAAGAGATGGAATTTTAAAAACAGTAAATTAATTAAACTGTGAGATTAGATGTTATTCCACACATACAATTAAATTATGTTGTAATATGTTTTATATTATAAGTATGTAGCGTCATAGACAAACCATAGGAACGTCAACATTAAACTTGAATAATTTATATGAAATAGGTTTTGGTATGAATTAACCAAAACATGGGTTATGTGACAGAAACTTTTTTTGTAATAATAAACTCAACTTTATATATCAACATAAACACAAGTTACTATGTATGTGACTGTTATTGTGTGTGCATGATATTGTGTGTGCGTGTTATTCTGTTTGCATGTTATTGTGTGTGCCTGATATTTTGTGTGCATGTTACTATGTATGCATGTTATGCTGTGTGCATGTTACTATGTGTGCATGACATTTTGTGTGCATGTTACAATGTGTGCATGCTACTGTGTGAATTATATTTTGTGTGCATGTTACTATGTGTGCATGTTATTTTGTGTGCATGTTACTATGTGAGCATTTTACTATGTGTGCATGTTACTCTGTGTGCATGTTATTTTGTGTGCATGTTACTCTGTGTGCATGTTATTTTGTGTGCATGTTACTACGTGAGCATTTTACTATGTGTGCATGTTACTATGTGTGCATGATATTTTGTGTGCATGATATCGTGTGTGCATGATATTGTGTGTGCGTGTTACTGTGTTTGCATGTTATTGTGTGTGCATGTTATTTTGTGTGCATGTTACTATGTGTGCATGTAATTGGGTAAATATACATTACAGTGTGTGTGTGTTACTATATGTGTATGTTATTGTGTGTTCATGTTACTTTGTATATTACTATATAACAAGGCCCAATATGGCACACAAAGTTGCTGGACCCAAATAGACCTGATGAGGTGATCAGAGGAACTCTTGGAGCAAGTGGTCTGCACCTCCAGCAAATACAGACAATTGTACCACTCCATTGCAATCTGGTGCTTCTAAATGATTCTGAGCATTTCTGTAGGTTACCAGATGGGTTAATGGAGGTAAAGTGGTCTGCACTCTGCACGCACTACAGGTGTAGACCAGAGGCTCCACCCATCAGACCACCAGATGTTATGGATTCATGCCCCAATCCTGGCTAAAAAACGTGTTTAACTTTAACTTATTGCGTTGGCATAACACTACCAAAAGAATGCCTACTCTTGCCGTATAAGATATAAGAGGCTGGTACAAACTGCAATGAAGGATATTCATTCCTTGGTCATTATAACTAACACATAAAAGCCACACAACACATGCTAGCTAGCTGGTATCGCTGGGGGGTCTGCTCTGTGCCTGTACTTGACAATGAATCTGCAGTGACATCACTCGACTTCATGGCATCAGCACAGACATTGAAGGGAGGGAATGTTTAGTTTTTCCCCTTGAATCCAACTGAACCTCTGGAAAAATTATCTAATAAGTTGTCCCCATTCTCTGGATATTTTTTGTCTCGAAGCCTTGAGACACATGCCCCAGCATCTATAGAGGGAAATGGAGAGTCAAACCTTCTGTATTCCAACATCTATAGAGCCAACATAGATACTATAAGGGATTCTCCTTCTAATACACCACACGGAGAAATGGGGAGTCAAACCTTCCATGCTCCAACATCTATAGAGCCAACATAGATACTATAAGGGATTCTCCTTCTAATATACCCCACAGGGAAATGGGGAGTCACACCTTCCGTATTCCAACATCTATAGAGCCAACATAGATACTATAAGGGATTCTCCTTCTAATATACCACACAGGGAAATGGGGAGTCAAACCTTCCGTGCTCCAACATCTTTAGAACCAACATAGATACTATAAGGGATTCTCCTTCTAATATACCACACAGGGAAATGGGGAGTCACACCTTCTGTATTCCAACCTTTTTTAGAGCCAACATAGATACTATAAGAGATTCTCCTTCTAATACACTACATGGGGAAATGGGTAGTCAAACCTTCTGTGTTCCAACATCTGTAGAACCAACACAGATACTATAAGGGATTCTCCTTCTAATACACTACATGGGGAAATGGGGAATCAAACCTTCTGTGTTCCAACATCTATAGAACCAACATAGATACTATAAGGGATTCTCCTTCTAATATACCCCACAGGGAAATGGGGAGTCACACCTTCTATATTCCAACATCTATAGAGCCAACATAGATACTATAAGAGATTCTCCTTCTAATACACCACACAGGGAAATGGGGAGTCAAACCTTCTGTATTCCAACATCTATAGAACCAACATAGATACTGTAAGAGATTCTCCTTCTAACACACCACACAGGGAAATGGGGAGTCAAACGTTCTGTATTCCAACATCTATAGAGCCAACATAGATACTATAAGAGATTCTCCTTCTAATACACCACACAAGGAAATGGGGAGTCAAACCTTCTGTGTTCCAACATCTATAGAACCAATATAGATACTGTAAGAGATTCTCCTTCTAATACACCACACGGGGAAATGGGGAGTCACACCTTCTGTATTCCAACATCTATAGAGCCAAGATAGATAATATGAGAGATTCTCCTTCAAATACACCACACAGGGAAATGGGGAATCAAACCTTCTGTATTCCAACATCTATAGAGCCAACATAGATACTATAAGGGATTCTACTTCTAATACACCACACAGGGAAATGGGGAGTCACACCTTCTGTGTTCCAACATATATAGAGCCAACATAAATACTATAAGGGATTCTCATTCTAATACACCACACTGGGAAATGGGGAGTCAAACTTTCTGTATTCCAACATCTATAGAGCCAACATAGATACTATAAGGGATTCTCCTTCTAATACACCACACTGGGAAATGGGGAGTCAAACCTTCTGTATTCCAACATCTATAGAGCCAAGATAGATAATATGAGAGATTCTTCTTCTAATACACCACACAGGGAAATGGGGAATCAAACCTTCTGTATTCCAACATCTATAGAGCCAACATAGATACTATAAGGGATTCTACTTCTAATACACCACACAGGGAAATGGGGAGTCACACCTTCTGTGTTCCAACATATATAGAGCCAACACAGATACTATAAGGGATTCTCCTTCTAATACACCACATGGGGAAATGGGGAGTCACACCTTCTGTGTTCCAACATATATAGAGCCAACACAGATACTATAAGGGATTCTCCTTCTAATACACCACACAGGGAAATGGGGAGTCACACCTTCTGTGTTCCAACATATATAGAGCCAACACAGATACTATAAGGGATTCTCCTTCTAATACACCACATGGGGAAATGGGGAGTCACACCTTCTGTGTTCCAACATATATAGAGCCAACACAGATACTATAAGGGATTCTCCTTCTAATACACCACACTGGGAAATGGGGAGTTAAACCTTCTGTGTTCCAACATCTACAGGGCCAACATAAATACTATAAGGGATTCTCCTTCTAATACACCACACGGGAAAATAGGGAGTCAAACCTTCTGTGTTCCAACATCTATAGAGCCAAGATAGATACTGTAAGAGATTCTCCTTCTAACACACCACGCAGGGAAATGGGGAGTCAAACCTTCTGTGCTCCACCATATATAGAGCCAACATAGATACTCTAAGGGATTATTCTACTAATACGCCACACAGGGAAATGGGGAGTCAAACCTCCTGTGTTCCAACATATATAGAGCCAACATAGATACTATAAGAGATTCTCCTTATAATACACCACACAGGGAAATGGGGAGTCAAACCTTCTGTATTCCGACATCTATAGAGCCAACATAGATACTATTTGGGATTTTCCTTCTAATACACCACACAGGGAAATGGGGAGTCAAACCTTCTATATTCCAGACAGAGAGAACAAAAGAAAGGAAGAAAAAGAGAGAGAAAGGAAGAAAAAGAAAGACAGAGAAATAAAGAAGAAAGAAAGAAAGTAGAAACAGAAGGAAAAGAAAGAAAGAAAGAGAAAGAAAGAGAGAGAGAAGTAAAGAAATTTACAGGGAGAGAGTGTGAAGTGCTGAAAGGGGGAAGAAGTGAGAGAACAAGGCAGAGGAGTGCAAGATGAACTGATGTCATTACAGATGTGTATCAGAATGTTGCCATGACATCATCACTTGGACATATCTCTCCCTCCCTTCTCCCTGCCTCACTCTCTCCATCTGTCAGTCACCCAGAGCTACACACTGCTTGGGAGCAAGGACAGACACACAGACATTCACACACAGCAAGCTCTGAGATCACAGAGAGCAGCAGGTTTACACTTTACAGACAGTGAACTGGTGGGAAATAACTGATCCAGGAGGACAGGCTGAGAGGAGATCCAGAATCTGTCCAGAAGGAGGTGTACAGGGAGAGTGAGTGGGAGCCAGGCTGCTGCACAGCACAGAGAGTGAGGCTCCTAACCTGCCCTGCTGTCAGTATACCAGGTAAGACACAGCCTGCTTTACTTGTTACAGGAGCTAATGGGAGCAGAGAGGGGGGCAGCCTGATCACTGAGTACACAGTCAGCAAACATGGAGATAGTTACATGAAAATAACATTGAACTGAAATATCTGAAATTGCTGATAAAAGTCAGATCAAAAATCAACAGATATGAAAATCTAAAAGTAACAATCTGTGAAGGAAAAGAAACAATGGTTTTAAAATTTCTTTTATTTACGTTTTTTGCAATTTTCTTTCAAACATAAAATGAGTTATTAACAAATTTAGGAATGATAACAGGAAAAAAACAGGAAATGGGAAAATGGTATTAAAATGTATGAGGATTACTAGACATGTAACTTAATTTATCTGAATTGAACCCAATTCTTGACCATGGGTTTATGTTAATCTTCATATCATGATGGTCCTGGTATTCAGGGGTTAATAGCTGGGTTCTAGCACCTGAGAGAATTTTATCAGAAACTTTACTTTTATAGAATACGGAAAATAATGTGTTAAAACATGAGGTGGAGTTTCCTATCTTAAAGCAATTCAGGAACTTCATTCTGCAAGAGGAGCAAAAGACAGCGTCATTCTTTAGGTTGCTATGGCGACTGCTCCACTTTTACACTTTTAGAACTTGTCCAAACAATTGTGTTTCACACAAAGTGCTAAGTATTAAGGGGGGGCAGTTTCCATGGCAACTACTCACCTCTTAGAACTCTGTCCCCAAATGTTACATTTCCATTTTAATAAAAAAAATACATCCAGATTTAGAATTTGTTTTATTTATTTTTTTACTGAAGTAAAATTGAATTGGCTGAGTTGTTATTTGGATTAAACAGACATTTTGCAAAATATAAACTGTAATCACCATTAATGGAAAAAAGGAAAACTTAGCAATTTTGCTTTTGGTTTGTAATTTTTCAATCTGCTGTTAATGGATCTGAATTCAGTGTTTAGTGAATTAACCCTTTTTTCCCATTTAATAGAATAAAGTGATAAATGTATAAAATGTATAATTGCAGCAAGTGAAACGTTTCCAGCTAATCTCATGTTTCATAACAGCTGTGCACCAATGTGAATAAATTCTCTACTACAATCATGCCAATATAACATACAGGGTTATTCGGTAAAAAGGGAATAGCTAGGGAGAATCTCACTAAACCGCAAATGTTCTCAGCTATGAGAGTTAACCCAGAATTCAGTCTGGCTATTTTAGACTAAAACTTTATTCACTTTAAAGATTTACCGCAGACACCATCGTTTAGTGTAGGCTTCCCCAAACTCCTGTCCTCCAGATGTTGCTGAACTACAACTCCCATGATTCTATGAATGAAATAGATAGGCTAAGAATCATGGGAGTTGTAGTTCAGCAACATCTGGAGGGCCGGAGTTTGGGGAAGACTGGTAATGGTTTTTGTGTCTGAAGTTGCTCTTTAAACTCGCTTTGAAATCAAGGCAATTCGCATTTTATTGAATACCCCTGCTAGCAATTTAAAAGAAATTCTGAACTCACAATATTCTTTGATCATTATATGACATTATATGACATCTGTTTTATTGAATATATTTTTGCGGGTTGTGAAAAGTTCACCCCAAAAGCTACACGTCTCACTTTTTACGGTGATGCTGGTTAAACACGAACGGCGTAATAGCTTTAAAAAATATAAAGATGGCTGTCTAGTCTACATAAGTAACCGTCTAGTAAAGAGTAAGACAATATATATATATACAGCTAATGGGCAAAGGACATTTTAATCGCACAATTTGTATCGAGGGCGCAGTTATACATTTTCATAAAATTTTCCATAGTCTTTTAAAGGAATCCGGTATAAAAATATTATTGTCGTCAAAGTGACAAGTTTAGTGCAACATTTTAATGTCTCTGCATTCCAGGGAACACTTCGTTAATACAATGCTGTGTGTAATGACGCACTTTGTGACCGTTAGCAATAACCTTCCACTTTAACTCTCATCACTCACACTGTGTATGATTTAAATATTTTATTATATGCAGATGTATAGCTAACCATAATGAGGATAATGAACATGCCCTAGACTTTCACTTACATCACTCTCAGCCAGGTGAATATTTGCTGTGAGAAATGGGAGTTACTGTCTACTATATGTTGCGTGCAGGAATATCTTTGTAACAACCATTGTGGATAATCCACATCAGTTAGGCGGTATCATCGCCATTAACTCTATGTAACACAAGTCCCAGCTATTGGGGCACGTTTATGCTTCCTACGATATTAGAAAGAGCTCTCTTGTGAATGGCCCTGTAATAATTTAGCATTATTATATATGTAATGCTATTGGACCTGTGGCATTCCATTGACCAATATTCTAATTGCTAATTTTTTTATCTAATATTTCTACACAATATGATTTATAAAGAGTTTTCGGGGTTCCTTGGTTTAACGCGGAATATTGTGATTAGTCTGGGAAACTTGTCCTTAACATTTTATTTGACAGGGACTCAAATGATGTACATGGCATTACCTTGGAGACTTACAGCGTTATTTACTAAGGTGAGAGTTATTACGTGACATTAAGTCAGAGTGATGGAACTAATAGCTGGCTGAATTTTCACGTTTTGACCTTAAATTTGAAATTCACTTTAAATTTTCACTTGAAAAAATAACTGTCATTCTTAATCGCTAACATTATGTACATGACCCACGCTGCAGCTGTAATGTAAAATATGACATCCTGCATTCTACATACACTTACATCACAATAGTCTCTGTCGGGGAGGAAAGGTGGGAAGGGGAGAAGGGGGCTGTGTTCCACCGGGGGCTGGGGGTGGTGGTTCAGTGCTGCTGCACTAAACTGTTTACTAATGTGATGTGCCAGCTTCAAACATTGGGGGGACTCCGAAATGGCATTACGACCCCCCAATTTTGGGTAGAACTTGTTGAGTAAAATAAAATATACCCTAATAACAGATGGGGAGACTAAAGGGAGCTCTAAGGCAGCTAGGCTTCCAGTTCAGATATTTTGGTCCACAATTTGAATTCACAACAATTGTTACTTCAGTAAATAACCCTGAGAGAGGGTTAAAAACCTATTTTTTTAATTATTTTTTTTTTATATATGTGTGCTCACCCAATCAAGCAATCATGGAACATGTATGCACATGGCTACTTTAATATATTTAAATGGCAAGATAGAGTTTATTCAATAAGACGGGAATTGTGCGCAAATTGAAAACTAAATTGCAACATTCAGGCTAAAATAACTAAAGCTGAGCTTGTTTATTTTCAAAGTTGGAGAGTTTTCCTGTTTTTGCCAGAATTTTGCAATTAGATTTTCAATTTACTGTTGAACGAATATTCCTGAATGTGTTGGAATGTGTTACGGGCAGTGAACACAAAGTGTGTACTACCAGGAAAATAATGTGCATTTTATTGCAGAAAAAGCTGCTTTTTTTAACCTTTTTATTTTGAAAACGACAGTTTCCAATTTCTTGACACTCAACAAATTAAAGGGACATGCATCACTTGGCAATTTATTTAAACCAGCAAGCCAACAACTGTTAAAGAAACGTACAAACCATAATAAAGGAAGAAAAACGTTGAAAAGTATGTAATAAATATTTATATACTAACTATAAACTTGGTCAGATTGCATTGTTAGGCATGCCTTTCAGCTAGGGAGTTTTTCCAGCCCCCCATACCACCTTTAACCGGCATCTCAATCTCTTGCACCCTGTTTTTTGCTGTCCCTAAGTCTAGGGTTACTATATCTCTCGTGTGGAGAGAGCCGGCCTGCATTTCGGTTTTGGACTACCCTATTCTCTTGCGCTCTGTTTTTTTGCTCTTCGTTGCCATTATGTTAAATAGGTAGCCAATGCAGGTGTCGCATTCAGTGAAATACAATAGAATCGATCAGAGTTTCAGAAACCAGCAGAATATTTATATTAAACAAATGCAGACAGAACAAAAGCAGGTTTAAATGACATTTTCATATTTACTTGCTTCTTCTTTCTCATGGTTTCCACACACACTCCAAGAGACACACTGATCTAACCAATCAGTGTCCTATCCCTAGGAATGCTGTAAAGGTGTATTGGGCATGCCTGATAGATTTACACATGTGTACTTGGAAGATTTGTTCACGTTGCAACATCCTGACAGGGGGAGAAGAGAAAGAGTCTGATCTTTCAGATAATGCAGAGCAGGCTCATGTGTCGGGTTTCTACCCACTGATGGTGCCCCGTTTCTGTCATTAGTTGACTGGTCTGAAACTGAGATCAGTGTCTCCCTTGGAGTGGGTGTGGTAAAAGAAAAGGGTAGGCCGGCTTTCTCTACACGAGACACAAGACAACCCTAGATGATCATTTCGTAAATCTTAAACTTAGAGACAGCAAAAAAAACAGGGTGCAAAAGTACAACTTAGACCCACCGAAAGGCAGGATACTTGAGCAGTTATCTGTTCTCATGCAACTTTTTTTTTGTCTCCAAAAGTTTAAAGGGTAATCCAGAAAAGGACCTCTTGCTCATGGTGCCTGGGAAGGTATTGGCTATACCTCACCAATGAGGCCTAACAATGCCAACATGATCGTCTGGTATTGTTGTATCTCTCTGTAATAGCACAAGATAAGCTGAAACCAGCAAGAGATCTGAGTGAGGACCCACTGAAGTACACGCTACTTGAGCTGTTATACGTTCTCAGTACTCTCTTGTATCTTGTTTTGTTGTTTTAATGGCAATAAAGCAGCAATCTGTTCTCAGCCTGGCACTGATCTCTCCCAGTATTACTTGGACTGATCATGTCCAGATTGGGCCCCCCCTACGGTGTCATATGGTGTCACATCCCAGAGTGCTCTGTTTCTATCTACATGTATGGAAAATGGAGGGGCCATATTGCATTAATCAGTTGGTGAGGTTTTAAGATGGTGGAGTGCCAAACTCCACCCACATAATTTGACTTCACCCCCCACTCTGAAAACCTCTCCTCTTGCTATATTGGATTCATAGGAAATATTAAAATAGCTGTCAAAATGTAAACAAACAAACAAAATAAAAGCAGACTTTATTGGTGTAACCTTTCCAGTGCCAGTAAATATATTATTTTACTTGAATCAACATATAAGAAAGTAAACTATTCACAATAAGGCCAATCACTAAATATATGACAATAATATACATGTGATAACTCCATGACACTTGTGGAAACATAATGTGCAAAAAAAAAGAATGAGCAGAAAAACAAAGTCCTTACTAGATGAGAATTGAACATTGCTTTACAAGCTCAATGCATTACTTCTCAGCTACTTTTGAACTATCATTCACTAGCCAGTCAACTCAGATGCCCTAAGTAAATGGTGCACTTAAAAAAAAAAATCACCTCTTGGGGAATATAGAGCATGTCTGAAGTGCTTTCTGACTAGACAAATGTAAAAAACGACCTCGATTCTACACATGCCCAGTTGCCTTCAACAGTTTATCCAGATAGTCGTCATTCATTATGCCATAATTTATTATCAGTGAGTCAGTTTGTGCTGTAGTGAAAGAATGGGAGGGTATCAGGGTAAATTATAGCACTGCAGTGCTCTGTGGTGCATGTTTACCATTTATAATGAAAATGTGCAAATCTATCCTTTCCCAAAGTGACACAGTGTCAGTAATTCTGTCTGTCACCACAGACAATATATATATATTTTTACGTTATTATGACCTCCATTATCTGGTAGGGTGCTAGTGCAACCCTATGGATGTGTCACCACATGAGTGTTTTGTGGGGCCCTATAACATGATAATTTTGTTACCTCACTGAGTGACGGTCAGAGCTCCATATAACTCCTATCACACTCATCCAGCTATAGCTGATGGAGTGGCTGGATTTGTTTTTCGTGCCAGACAGTGTGCAAAACAAGAAGTTAAGGAAAGAATCTTGCCCCGATGGACATAAAACAAACAGTGAGTTTATTAACAATCAGCAACAAGTTCCCAATGGAGAATGATCTCAGGCCAAGAGAGCCTCTGGAATCCTTATCGTTAACATAGTCAGTGATGTCTACAGAAAATACTCATCTTGTTCAATCCCTGGGGTATAAACAGGAACTCTATACCCTACAGCCTGAATGCTCTCCGATTGACAACGTGGTAGGATTAGGGCCAATTTAAAACGTTTCCAATTATCAGCTAGAACAGACAACACCCAGCTGTTGAGTAATTTAGTAGCTAGGATATAAGGGCATTTGGAGAATCACTTAGACTGGAAGAATTTATCCTGTCTTGGATTCCTTTCTTACATACTACCTAGAGTCCTAGACAATCTACGTGGCCAGTCCTTCCGAAGCCACCAGGTTGAGGCTTATTACTCCAGCTACTCATTGTTTCTATTGATACCTTTATTTATGTAACAAAATAGTGTTCTTGTCCAGAGCGCTTTACATAGACTAGTAATAATACAATTGCATTCATCAATTAATTAATAAATTGAGAACCCAATGGCAAAGTAAATAAAACCCAACATAAAATATTATACAGATTATCAAATCAAATCAAACGTGTGCATAGATGGAGTTAAATGAGAAGAAAAGGTCAGGGTGATGTGATAATGGGAGTAGGAAGAGTAGTCGAAGTAGTCGTTAGGATGGAAGATCATTGTATGTTTCACAAAGTAGTCGTTAGGATGGAAGATCACTGTCTGTTTATGTGGAAGCCTGCAAAGTGTCTTTTAAGGATTCGTGAAAGAGAACTGGACAATTGGATGTTGAAATGGAGTTTATTCAGATTATAGGTGTTTTGGTTTCGGGGTACTGTGGACGAGCATCTAAAATGTCAGGACAAATGTGTCCAAGATGGCAGCCTTCATTATAGGTTTGTAAGCTAAAAAGAGGTCCAGGACGTGGCAGAAGTTTAGAAAATACTTCACCTTTTATTAAGGTCTTGCAGCAAGCAACCTTTTGACCTAAGCAAATGCTGTGTTGTTCTTGACAAAGACCTTAGTTAAGTCATAACATTCATTGCGGTGGGATCTCAATAAAATTTGAAGGATTTTTACACTTCTGTGGTTTGGCAGAAAACGATAAAAAAACCCTCACAAAATATGACAATGAGAAACACATCCTGGAACATGCATTATTAAATAACATAACAGCTGCAAGGACATGGAGGTATACACCAGACAGCGTAATCACTATCAATGGTCAAGAATTGTGAGAGTGAATTCAAAGTGAATTTCAAACTTTTGGCCAAAATTGTCAAATGGAAAATAGAGCTGACTTGAGGATTTGTTTTACTACTTTGACCACAAATTTGAAATTCACTTTGAATCCCTAACAGTTTACATGTTAGTTAATAACCCTGTGAGAATTGTGGACAGACCAGGAAATCACCAATGTCAGGTTAAAATCACTGATCAGGAAATATCAATGAGTTCAGAATTTCACCAATTCAGCTACTCTGGCCAAATATTATTAAATCCTTCATTCATTTAATTTCCACATTTCCTTTTATTTCCGAAACCCCTAGGTGCAATGCTCTGCATACTCTCCCTGGGAGTAATGCTCTGCAGTGTCAGCCTTGCAATGATACTTGCACTGATGTTATATACCAATAAAAACATATGGATTTCATAAATAAGATGTGTATGCTAATGGACTGAAATTAACCCTTTCCCTGTTGGTCTCTTTTTGTCTCCTCTGTTTGCATGATGACAGGTGATTCGTGCCCTGTTCCCTCTCTTACAATGTCCTCCCCCCTCACTCTGTACCTGCTCGTCTTGTGTTTTGGGGTCTCCCTCCCTGCCCCTTCGTCCACCACAACTCAATGCGCAGATGCTGGGGTCCAATCTCTCCTCAAGCGCCTGGAAATTTTGGAAAAGTTGGTAAGAGACATAAAGGGACAGTGCACCCCTCCCTGCTGTGCGAATTCACAGACCGGTGCTGGTAAGTGAACATAAATCCAATAATCAGTACATAGAGCTGCCAAATGTCAATATATAGATATATCAATTGTCAATATATATTGCTACAAATTACTCTGTATATATATATACAAAGCAAATGAAAGAGCACGCCATAGGATTTTTTCAAAGGTATAATGTGAAATCAATGTTTTGGCCCTCCTGGGTCTTTATCAACATTATTATTACTTTATGTTTGATGTTATGGTGAGTGCCAGAAACTGGACTTTTTTGGGATATATATATATGTTTATATATTTACTCATATTCTTTTAGAATGCAGAGTTTTAACTACCAGTGTATAGACATTCACCATATTTAAAGGAGCGGTTGTTCATTATTAAAAGGACATTCTAGGCACCATAACCATTTCATCTCATAGAAGTGATTTTGGTGATTTGAGTCCCCTGGCATTGTGTTGAAACACTGCACATCCAGAGATATTTTTAATTGAAAGCTGGGGCAAGTTGCCCCCCCAGCACACGTGACTAAGGTAGCCTGGAACTCTGTTCTGGAATGCTTAATGTCAGTTCTGTGCATAGTTTACGTCTGTCGGCAGCGTGCAGTACGTGCGGCCGACAAACATAGCCAGAGAAGCTTTAGTGTTCCTTCCATACACTCACAGGGTAGCCTTCCTCCCAATCCCATCCGTAATGTTTTTTAAATTCCTGCTCTCCCTTCTGCTTCATTCCCTCCCTTTCCCCCTCCCCTTGCGGGCTCTGAGCGTGTGCATTCGCACTGAGCCCTTTAAACTCTCCAATCAAAGGCTTCTCTGTGAGAAACATTTGACTGGTCCTTGGTATGGCTCCCTTGAGGTCAAGGGTGGGGGGTGGCAAACAGTTAAAACTGCTTTTAAAACACTCTTTGATCTTTTTTTTTTTTAAGGTGGGCACATAGAATAATATCAATAGGTCATTATTTTATATCTTACCAAAAAGGGTTAGAGAAACCCTTTAAATATTTATTGTTTCACATCTAAAATCAGCTTGCAAAAGCTGCAGTTCTCTTGTCTGCAGCCTTTTCAAGCCTTTGCCTTCTAACCCCGCCCAGACTTTCTGTCTCTGTTCAATCACAGACCTCCCAATGCAACTCAATGAGACGTCTTTGCAAGGCAGGTGCTCTGGGCAATTGCTGCCTCTTGAGTTTAGCTCCACTGAGCTAACCAAACCAGGAAGTAGCAGGATTGACTATCTGATTGACAGCCAGGGGGTAACAAGCTTGATTTATAAAAGTGGCAATTTCTATTGAAATCTGCACTTAAGGGTCTGGAGTGCTCCTTCAAACTGATCCAAAATCTATGAAATGAAAAGCGTATGTTCTCTACAATGTATAGATACCCAATATCATTATGCAGAGCAGCATGTTCGTCATTAGTTCACAATACAGGGCAGTGTGCCCATTGTTAATGTATAGATACTCACCATCACTATACAGGTCAGTGTGTCCATTATTAATGTATAGATACTCACCATCACTATACAGGGCAGTGTGCCCATTATTAATGTATAGATACTCACCATCACTATACAGGACAGTGTGTCCATTATTAATGTATAGATACTCACCATCACTATACAGGGCAGTGTGTCCATTGTTAATGTATAGATACTCACCATCACTATACAGGGCAGTGTGCCCATTATTAATGTATAGATACTCACCATCACTATACAGGGCAGTGTGTCCATTGTTAATGTATAGATACTCACCATCACTATACAGGGCAGTGTGTCCATTATTAATGTATAGATACTCACCACCCCTATACAGGGCAGTGTGTTCATTATTAATGTATAGATACTCACCATCACTATACAGGGCAGTGTGCCCATTATTAATGTATAGATACTCACCATCACTATACTATATATGTCCATTATTAATGTATAGATACTCACCATCACTATACAGGGCAGTGTGCCCATTGTTAATGTATAGATACTCACCATCACTATACAGGGCAGTGTGCCCATTGTTAATGTATAGATACTCACCATCACTATACAGGGCAGTGTGTCCATTATTAATGTATAGATACTCACCATCACTATACAGGGCAGTGTGTCCATTGTTAATGTATAGATACTCATTATCACTATACAGGGCAGTGTGTCCATGTGTCCATTGTTAATGTATATATACTCACCATCACTATACAGGGCAGTGTGTCCATTATTAATGTATAGATACTCACCATCACTATACAGGGCAGAGTGTCCATTGTTAATGTATAGATACTCACCATCACTATACAGGGCAGAGTGTCCATTGTTAATGTATAGATACTCACCATCACTATACAGGGCAGTGTGTCCATTATTAATGTATAGATATTCACCATCACTATACTATATGTGTCCATTATTAATGTATAGATACTCACCATCACTATACAGGGAAGTGTGTTCATTATTAATGTATAGATACTCACCATCACTATACAGGGCAGAGTGTCCATTGTTAATGTATAGATACTCACCATCACTATACAGGGCAGTGTGCCCATTGTTAATGTATAGATACTCACCATCACTATACAGGACAGTGTGTCCATTATTAATGTATAGATACTCACCATCACTATACAGGTCAATGTGCCCATTATTAATGTATAGATACTCACCATCACTATACAGGGCAGTGTGTCCATTATTAATGTATAGATACTCACCATCACTATACAGGGCAGAGTGTTCATTATTAATGTATAGATACTCACCATCACTATACAGGGCAGCGTGTCCATTGTTAATGTATAGATACTCACCATCACTATACAGGGCAGTGTGTCCATTATTAATGTATAGATACTCACCATCACTATACAGGGCAGAGTGTCCATTGTTAATGTATAGATACTCACCATCACAATACAGGGCAGTGTGTCCATTATTAATGTATAGATACTCACCATCACTATACAGGGCAGTGTGTCCATTATTAATGTATAGATACTCACCATCACTATACAGGGCAGAGTGTCCATTATTAATGTATAGATACTCACCATCACTATACAGGGCAGTGTGTCCATTGTTAATGTATAGATACTCACCATCACTATACAGGGCAGTGTGTCCATTATTAATGTATAGATACTCACCAGCACTATACAGGACAGTGTGTCCATTATTAATGTATAGATACTCACCATCACTATACAGGGCAGTGTGTCCATTATTAATGTATAGATACTCACCATCACTATACAGGGCAGAGTGTTCATTGCCAGCATATATATATGGTAAGTATGCTAACATTGTACTTTGAAGCTTTTTTGGGGTACAGCCATGACATGTTTAGTAAAATCCTGGCACTTCACTTACAATCTCTCTTTCCCATTGGACCCGTAAAACACTGTTTATCTAGAATCTCAGACTGAAGATGAAATACTCTCCAAACTGGACACAATTCAGGGATTTTTTCAGTGGGAGGATGAGATAAAACCAAATTCTTACATCTGTGCCAGTTCTGATCGGCCTCAGCATTATGATTTATTTCCCCCAGATGCAGACTGTATGGCCATGTTTGTATGTCCCACTATTGTAATTACTATTCGCATTCTTATGTAGTGATTTATCGGCATGTAGGATTGAAATCAGTAAGATAACTTTACTAAAGTGGCTTTTTAAACTTGCTCATTCATCAAGCGAGCATTCTTTGTAAACATGAAAGGAATGATGTCAAATATATATAAATATATATATACACACACTACATGATCTGCCTGTTTATACTTCAAAATTAGAGAAATCTTAATGTATCCTTCCTGGTAAAATATTTTATCAATAAATAAATAATTTTGAGCGAGAGATCATGTTTTCATATCCCATATCGCAATAGTGGGTGACATTAAAAACAATATTTTCAGTTTGTCAATGACACTGTGATTGGCAGGAAGCTGTAATGCCAAAACATGTACTAGCCTGCCCCTGACTAATGGGAGTCATAAGAATTAAAGGAATTTTATAGTGTCAGGAAAGCAAAGCCATTTTCCTGGCACTATACAATCCTACAATGCCCCCCTCCCTCGCGCCCCCCGCTCCTTCCTGCAATGCTGAAGGGGTTAAAACCCCTTGAGTCACTTACCTGAATCCAGCACCGATGTCCCTCGTCCGATGTCAGCCAGCGGAGGAGACCTAATTATTCAATGCTTTCCTATGGGGAAAAATCTGATGCTGGAGGTCCTCACGCAGAGCGTGAGGACGTTCAGCATCAGATAACAGACCAAAGGTCCGTTTTAAATCAGGAAGCCCTCTAGTGGTGGAGTTAACCCTAGATAGTAATTATTGCAGTTTCTCAATAACTGCATTAATTACTATTGCAGGGTTAAGGGATATGGGACATTGCACCCAGACCACTTCAATGAGCTGAAGTGGTTTGGGTGCCTACAGAGTCCCTTTAAGTTCTGCTACTCTTGTGCCTAGATTGGGGTTGTGCAGAGAGATACATTGTCTTTCTCACTCCACAGCCCCTAGTCAGGCATGTAAGTAATGGGAGAGGACTGAATTCATGGTGGTTGTATTTTAGGAAAATATAAACTCCTTTTTTATTTATTATGATGTCTTCAAAACCTGTTGATGACATTAATTCCCCACAATGCATGCCATATATATATTTCTTTACTAAACCGCAGGTAGTGAGGTATTGACAGTTCATATACAAAATATAACCCACAATAACTGCATTTGTCATCCACCATGAAGATGGTGGAAATTTGACTTTCAATTTACTCATCCCACGTTGCTGTTTCGTGGATAAACCCCCATTTGCTGTTCACACATCAGTAGGCTTTGACCTGCCAAACAACTGCATAGTTACGACATTAGTAATGTTTGTTTGTTTTTAATGCCAGAGCTGTATTAAGTTGAACTTTTCCAAGATTCCCATCTTTCTTAATCCAAAAACAAAACAATATGGCAAAAAATCACCTGCAGAAACCTTCCTTCCTTCCAGGCAATATGATCTTAAAGAGAATTATTTGAACATTCTTTGCATAGACTCGCGATGGTGACTTTGCTGCTTGGAGGGAAATGTGAGTTTTACCGAGAGCGGTCGCCTGCAGCTGCCGCCATCTTCTGTGGGATCCTCTTCAGCTCCTTGCTTTATTCTGTCACGAGTCGATGTAACTGCTGTACTCCTGTGCATGCGCAAGAGTCCAACAGTCATGTCTATGGAGGATCCCGAGAGTCCTTGGAATTCTTCACAGACAAAGACTTTTTTCTTGACAAAGCTTTGCAGCAATAGCTACGCCTTTAAGTCAAGTGTAGGAAAAAGAAACAATTCAAAGTAGTCCATACTTCACCTTATAATGTTTTATTTTTGGATTGTGTTGAAGTTTTAGTGAAATTCCAACACAGTCTTTATGAGCATTTCATAAATATTAATTATCTTTATGAAATACTAATTTACTCTTTTTGGTGTGAGGGGGATAATAGCATCACATTAAAGTTCCACTATAGTGCCAGGAAAACATACTCGTTTTCCTGGCACTATAGTGCCCTGAGGGTGCCCACACCCTCAGGGTCCCACTCCCGCCGGGCTCTGAAACTGCTATGTTTATAAAAAAAAGGGTTAATCCTACAGGGACCTGGCACCCAGACCACCTCATTATGCTGAAGTGGTCTGGGTGCCTAGAGTGGTCCTTTAAGTAAAATAATTAAAATGACTACGATAATATAGATTTTAACTCTGTACGATGTATTATCTAATGTCTTGTCATATTGTTTGTTCTGCTGATGGCTAAATTTGAGTTAACGTTTTGTATATCTATTAATCCCATATAGTACATGTTTCTGCTACAGCAAATTTAAAGGTATAAAAGTTGCTATGTGATGGAAATTTTAAAATTTCCTTTGAGAACTACATTTCCCATAATCCCCAGCCAACTGTCCTATTTGGAAATGGCATATTCTACATATTTAGAACATTTAATGCCACACACAGTATAATTTAAACAGAGAATTATTTACAGGTCACAAAGGACCTGTACATTTTAGAACAGTATAAATGAATTAGAAAAAAGCTGTCAATCAGTTACTTTTCCTGCTCCGTTAGTTTGACTGAAAAATTATTATCCTTGTGAATTCTTCACAATTCTCAGTATAGCGAATCACCCCAAATATTTCTATGAGTCAGCGAGCCAGCCAGCCGCCCCCCCTGCCTCACTGACACCTGTTGAAGACATTACAATGATTTATTTTTAATATGACAACTTTATTGCTCCTAAAAATGATACAACAAGTATTCCTGTGCTTAAAGAGGAAGTGTCACTTTTCAGGTTTCGTCATATTATGTATATGCATCCTTTTTGTTAGAAAGAAATGTATTACTGAGGTGCAAAAAATAAAATGAAACATAGAAATACACGCCTGTTTATTCTGCATCTGGGCCCCTTCATCTTGTCTTTCTGTCAATCATTGTTATATGCTCAGCCGTTAGCACCTGGCAGTCAGCAAAGGGAAGCATTCACAGACATGAACAGATACGAAACAATCTTTCTATTTGTCCTTTATTTGTACTGTTTGACTTGGCTATGCCCTGTCTAAAATATATTATGATGTAATTGGCTAAGTTTTTAATATATATTTAAGGGAAAACAGACTATCTCATGAAAATAGGTTTACACAAGTTTTAGGGGATTTTTAGTGTCTTATTCAAAGGTATAAATTCCAGAGAGGTTACAGCTCCCCTTTAACCTCTTAAGGACCAAACTTCTGGAATAAAAGGGAATCATGACATGTCACACATGTCATGTGTTAACCCCTTAAGGACACATGACATTTGTGACATGTCATGATTCCCTTTTATTCCAGAAGTTTGGTCCTTAAGGGGTTAAGGGGTTAAAGGCATAATCCGAACTCCCAAAACTGCTACAGCCCACTGTAGTTCTTATAATGACTGGTGCGTCCTGGCCACCTCCTAGTTGTAGTAGTCAAATAGTTTGAGAGTGGTTTGACAGCTTAGCTGGGGTCTGTCAGTTCCTGATTGCAAAGAGCTTCTGTTATCGCCTCTGGTCTAAACTCAGCCATGCAGGGCGCAGTCACTGGCAAATGAGCTAAGTTCTGCGCTGCAGGCCGCCAGGACTAGTTCAGCATGGAGGGTCTCCAGGGGACACCGGAGGAGGTGACTGGACCCCAGATAAGTTGCCAAACTGTTTACAAATGGTTTGATGACTGGGAGTGCAACAGGGCACACCCCCTAGAGTGCTGTAGTGGTTATGGTACCTGTATTGTTCCTTTAAACTGTAATAGAAAAATACTGATAGTGTTTATTGAGGCCCAAATAGTGGTTATTGGCATGGACTGCCAGTGACCCTTAAAAGGATAATGTTAAAAACATATCATTTAAATTATTTATTTTAAGGCTACTCCTACTAACCTCCTAAATTCACTCAAAATTAGATTTTTTTTATAACAAACAATCTACAGTTTTCCTACTTGCTTTCTCATGAGCTGTCTGATTAGCTGTTCATATACTGCCTCCATGAATACTTTGCTATTTCTGTACTTTCTTAAATCTCCCATGATGTTTTTTTGCAATGCAGCCATTATAAGATGCTCACGCCATCTGTTCTGTTGTATTACGATATTTATAAATTAACTATTTTTTTTCTGTCCCATCCTGAATTCTTGAAATCTCACCGTTTCCATTTTTCACCTTTCCTTTGTATACTCTTTTTTTTCCTGTGCCTGGTTTTTATTATAATTTCACTGTCCCCTCCCCACTATTTCTCTATCACTATCCAGTTCATACTATTTTAATTATGTTCTACAACAATTTCTTACTCGTCTTCAATCTCCATGTTTTTGTTTCTCTCAGATGACCCTTCAAGTCTCAAATCGCCCCCATGTCCACAGGACCTAGAAGACTGTCCAGGTGGTTGTGGAGGAGATTCACAAGGGGTGTGTGTTGATGGGCAGTGCCAGTGCAAGGAGGGCTATATGGGTGACAGATGCCAACTACGGACATGTCCTGAGGATTGCAATGACCAGGGTCGCTGTGTGGATGGACGATGCTTCTGTTTTGAGGGCTACTTTGGCTTGAATTGTGGCTCAAAAGGCTGCCTAAATAACTGTCAAAACCATGGCCAGTGTGAAGATGGAGTTTGTGTTTGTGACTCTGGTTTTCTTGGTGAGGATTGTAGCATTAAAACCTGCCCCAGTAATTGTCTTAATCGTGGGAAATGTGAAAATGGAGTTTGCGTATGTGCTTCTGGTTTCACCGGTGTGGATTGTGGAATAAGAACCTGTCCCAGGAACTGTCATAATCGTGGCAGATGTCAAAATGGAGTCTGTATTTGTCGTACAGGATTTACTGGTGCGGATTGCGGCTCCAGACTCTGCCCTAATAATTGCCAGCAGCGTGGCCACTGTGAAGATGGAGTTTGTACATGCAATCCTGGATTTACCGGTGTTGACTGCAGCTCAAAAAAATGCCCCAATGACTGTCAAAACAACGGCAGATGTGAGAATGGTGTCTGTATCTGCGATTCTGGATTTTCTGGAGTTGATTGTAGCTCAAGGCCATGCCCAGAGGATTGCAATGAACAGGGTCAATGTGTATCAGGAGTGTGTGTGTGTGACACTGGCTTTATTGGAGAGGACTGTGGAACTAGGATTTGCTCAGAAGAGTGTGAGAGGAATGGGCGATGCGAAGATGGGGAGTGTGTCTGTGATCCTGGCTACACTGGGACAGACTGTGAGATTAGGACATGTCCCGATGATTGCCACAGCCGGGGAAGGTGTGATGATGGAAAATGTGTCTGTGATTCTGGATATACTGGACTAGATTGTGGGTCAAGAACCTGTCCTAACAAATGTAACAACCGGGGTAGATGTGAAGATGGAAACTGCATTTGTAACTCTGGATTTTCTGGACCAGACTGTGGATCTAAAATGTGCCCTAAGAATTGTAGTGGGAATGGCCAGTGTGTGAATGGTAAGTGTGTGTGCGATGCTGGGTTTGTTGGACCCATTTGTGGGACCAGGACCTGCCCCGTTGGATGTGCTAGACATGGTCGATGTGTGAGGGGAATGTGTGTCTGCTCTCCTGGGTACACAGGGCCAGACTGTGGATCAAGAACCTGCCCTAAAAACTGTCTAAACCAAGGAACTTGTGAAGACGGAACGTGTGTTTGTGATTCTGGATATACAGGTTTAGACTGTGGAACTAGAACTTGCCCCAATGACTGCCACAACCAGGGCCAGTGTGAGGATGGGACTTGTGTCTGTGACGATGGATACACAGGTGTTGATTGTGAACTCAAATCATGTCCAAATGACTGCTACAAACGGGGACAGTGTAAAGACGGGGTGTGCATTTGTGATTCTGGGTATACTGGTTTGAATTGTGAATTAAAAACATGTCCAAATGACTGCCACAATCATGGTGAGTGTAAAGACGGAGTTTGTATCTGTGATTCTGGATACACTGGTCTAGATTGTGAATCTAAAACCTGTCCCAATAACTGTAACAACCGTGGAAGATGTGAAGATGGTGAATGCATTTGTGATTGGGGTTACACTGATCTAGACTGTGGATCCAGAACATGCCCAAATGACTGTCAAAACCATGGAAGATGTGATGATGGAGAGTGTATCTGTGATTCTGGATATAGTGGTCCAGACTGTGGTTTAAGGACATGTCCCAGTGACTGTAACAACAGAGGCAATTGTGTTGATGGACTTTGCGTATGTATTTCTGGATACTATGGCCCAGATTGTGGATTCAAAGCTTGCCTTAATGACTGTAACAATCGTGGGCTGTGTGAAGATGGAGTGTGTATATGTGATTCTTGGTACACTGGTCTAGATTGTGGCTCTAGGTCTTGCCCAAATAACTGTCAGAACAGGGGCAGGTGTGATGATGGAACATGTGTCTGTGATGCTGGTTTTGCCGGTTTGGACTGTTCATCTACAGCGTGCCCAGACAATTGTTACATACATGGCCGCTGTGAGGATGGAGTCTGCATTTGTCGTCCTGGGTACACTGGCCTGGACTGTGGTTCCAAGGCTTGTCCTAAAAACTGTAATGACAATGGTCAGTGTGTCAATGGGAAATGTGTCTGCAACCCAGGATTTTCGGGACCCGTTTGTGGAGCCAGGTCTTGCCCTAGAAACTGTGCAGGACGTGGGAAATGTATCAACGGGATCTGTGTGTGCAAGAAAGGATATGGAGGTGTAGACTGCGGAGAGGGTGAGTGTAACCGCATTTGCTTTTATCAAATTCAAAGAATTGCAAAGTGTGTGTGGCTATTTTGGGGAGGGTCCACTGTCCACTGGTGGAAATCAATATTCAAGAACCATACATGTCTTTAAACTGCGTATTACAGTGGAGAAGTCCTTCGCTTGATAGCGTGTACTAATGGCATTAATTACGGGTATCCCTATGGGTTTTAAAGTATGTCCCTTACCCAGAGAGGATTCATGTGGATAGCCCATCCAAAAAGAGAACATAATTACATTGATTTACATATTTTTGAGATAATATCCAGGTACGACTGCATATTTAACTCGTCACTCCTTAAGTAAAAAAGTGTTAGTCTATTTTAAACCTTTTTCTAGAGTAAGGGAACTCCCTGAACAAGAAAATAATCTGAGGTTTCCTGGCAGCTGGAGCCGTCTTAGAAACTCCCTGGTTTCCCAGCTAGTCTGTGGATATCTTGGGGGCAATAGTGATTATGTAACAGGTTTTTTTTTTACATATTGCAATAAAAGAAAGTCTATATTATGTGACTCTCTGTCAGCCATAGATTAAACAGGGACAGTTTCCCAGTGCCAACCCTAAAGCCAGCCTCCTCGTCTGTACCAGCATTAGCTATTAGCTGTGTATTTGTCAAGGTATAAACAAGCAATTACAGTTTATTATTATTTATTTAAATACAGACAAACAAATTGCTAGATCTATATTTGACAGCCATAAACAAATAGGAGCATTTGGTTTGAAGAGCCAACAAGCTTACAATCTAGATCAAGGTATACAGAAATTATAGGAACGGCAATCCCCATCCTACTTTATCATGGGGGTTGTAGGTACTCAACTATCCATCATGGCAGTTGAAGCCCCTCTAAATCAGGGGTGCCCAAAAGGTAGATCCCCAGATGTTTTAAAATCACAGCTTTCATGATGCTTTGTCATTTGAAAGGCATTCTAAATGCATGCAAGGCATCATGGGAGTTGTAGTTCTACAACATATGGGGATCCACCTTTTGGGCACCCCTGCTCTAAATGTTGTAGAGGTCAACACCTAAGACACTTTGCCAACCTTAAATGCCATAACATTGCCTAATTTGCATATTGTGTGCAAAATGTCCAAACCTTTTACAGCCATTCTGCAGTGAAACGCAGTTAAAGTCTTAGGTCATGGGGATCTCTGCTGTTGTCCCGAGCATAGCTGTGCATGCAATGTGATCATTATGTGCTGAGTCTGTCTCTATTTTGCAGTAGTAACAGAAATCACGGCTGTCACTGGATTACAAGTGACATCTCAGGAAGAGTCTGCAGTCACCCTTGAGTGGGACCAGCCACAGTCTACCCCCGATTCATACGAAATCTCATTCAAAGCCGAGGTATGTACATGTATACAAATAAACAGAAAACATAATAAATATAGTATACTCTAGAGCTTGCTGTATGTTTCTTATCCACATTAACCTAGCATTAATAAAGCTTAAATCTTCATGGGGTTTCTTTTTTTATAAACTTTCTTTAAGTTGTCCATCAAACATAAGCAAGGCCACAAGGCCCATAGACAAAGACAACCATATATAAAAAGAAAAAAAGAGAAAAAAAGTGGAAGAAGAAGAAAAAGTTATGTAACTTCAGTGACTTCCTCCAACTCCCACCGAGTAGTAGCCCCTGTACCCTCCACCACAATCAAGCTCTAAAGACCAGACTTTTCTGAAATGAAGCCACTGAGTTTCCAAATCTGACTGTGGTATTATCCATAAAGCAGTCCAAAACACTTGGGACATGCCTTGTGGAAGATTGTGCTACCCCTACAATTATCCCAACATAAATCCAAATGAATAGCTCCTATATGGTGAGGGTATGATGTACCAAAGGTGAGGGTATGATGTACCATATCATCAACATCTAGAGACAAAATTCATCAATGAACAAAGACCTTTGTTGGCAATCTCCTGTGGAATTTGTTGGCGCTTTATAAAAAATAATGATATAAGAATATTTTACTTCCTACTGGGGATTCTTGTTTCCATCAGGAGACATGCAGAAATGGTGAGTCCCATGACCCTGAGGAGCAAAAATATTGGTATAAGGTGAATATGAGTCTCTCTCCATATTCACCAATTAGGCACTGATTTCTACCAGTCAAGGGTCCTAGAGGCTGGTATTACAACTTGAATCATTCCTGCACAAAATTACACACCTGTATATATTTGAAGTAACACCTCGGAGTTAGGTGTGAATATTATTTGAGGAAGTGGAGAAAGATTACCCTTCTTCTATCACACAAGCCATGACACCTATGAATTCTTGCTTCCTGAGATCCTTAGAAATGAGGGGCCACCATTCATGGTGAAACGTTTCTTAGAACTGAAGACATGGCAGAGGAGAGTGTTTGAGCCTGCTCCAGATAGGCAAGTCATTAAGAACTCGTAAGCATTTAACTCTTAGAAGGAGTCTATGGATGCACCCAACTTTGTGCCAAAACAGAGACAAACCATGACTGGACTTGGGCCAGTCTTGGCAGCATAGTAATAGTACATTTTAAGGCAAGGCAGCCTCAGACCTCCAACCCTGGGGTTGTAAATAATAGGTTTGGCTACCCTTGGCCTCTTTCTACCCAGTACAATTTGCAGAATTGCCTCTGCTGCAAATTGATGTTGGCAAGGTACAAAGTTATATATAATTTAGCTTAAAATCCACTGTGTCAATCATGCATTTGTCCCACATCTCCACATTTAATTTCAGAACATAGGGGAACATAATTAATATTATACAGGTGCTGAGGGCCTGCTGTTACTTTGATTCTCAAACAACAATATTATAATATTTTAATAATGGTCAAATTAATTACGCTTTACATGGGAAAGCGAGGATCCTTGCTCTGCTTTGGCTTCTTATCTATCCACACTACCCATTGGACTTGCCCCTCTCCCCAAATATGAACTCACATTGCTAGTCTGGTGGGACCATATATCAGGTACCAGAATGGCTTTGTTCCACGAAGTATCGGACTTTGAACTGTTTGTCCCACTGACATACACAGTGATTTGGTTGGTTCCTCCTAAGGGCTGATACAGTACACTTTGTAGTTGTTTATGTATTATTTGTAGTGAGTCTATCTATTTCTGGTTAATTGAACAGCTGTAAAACATTTTTATTTTGTTTTTATGAAAACTCTTTTATATAATGTGGTCACCTATAGTGTAGGTTTAGTATGAAAAAATAAACCTATATATTTTGTGTTTTATGTACGTTTAGCTGTTTGGCTCCCCCCTTTTAAGATAAAAGACATAAATGCGGCACCCAGTAGCACCCAGCAGCACCCTATAATGTATGTTCAGGTGAGTGCAGCCCTAGCCATCCTTGGTTTCATTTATAAAGATATAAATATTCATATTATATATATACTTTTTTTTGTTGGACAGCCTCCCACCCGGCTTCCTACATGCAGGTCAATGCATACCCCAAAATCAAGATTTGTCCCACCAAAAACTGTCCTGTTTACTTGTGTAAAGTTGTTTAGGTGACATGTAACCATTCAGTGTACTTTTAAGTTTCATTTGTGCTTTTTTCATTAATGCAATGATGAATAGGTGCCCTACATGTTTGTAAACTGCATCTCCATTGATGCTCAGATAAACTATAACTTTATGTTGGAGAGTCAATACTCAAATTCAAAACAATATAGATATTTAGTTTTATGTAGCACTTCAACACTCAGATGATATATGTCAAGTGACTTTTCCACGATCACACATGTATCCAGGAATGTTTGGACCTGAAATTCGGTGGGTCCACATTTTATGGTAGAATGAAGTAACTTGTCCCTGGTTTCTTTCACTGAATTACACAGCATTTAGGGTTCAGCTAGCTGTGGATGGTAGAAAATATAGTTCACAATCACATGGAATGCCATGGCTAGGCCTAAGTATTTTAGGTTCCACTGGTGGTCCTGGTTAATTCAGGACCTTTCCATCTGCGTTGGCTCGTTGTTCTTTATGGCCAGCAACCAAACTGACTTCTCTCTACTTAGACCAGCAGAGCTTTAAATACTGGGACCACATAACTGTTTTTAATGTAACATTATGTTTTTTTTTTTTAATATAGCAGGATATTAAATGTTATTTTTTGTGTATTACGCCATGCTCCCAACACGCTCTACTGTTTTGCATCCTAGTACTTCATGCCTTTTGGCTTGTGTTTCTTCATATTCTTGTTTCCCTCCCTTAAGATTGGATCCAGATTATTTGGCTATTCTTGAAATTTATAAATATTTGTAGGACTGGCCACCCTAGAGAAGGGTAATAAATTGTGTAGCAGGAGCTTTTGTTTTGACTCTTCGTCATTGTTGACCCTTACTGGCAGTATCGGGGAAAGAAATCCGGCCAATGTTTGAAATTTTGTTTGGTGACTAAGTATCTATGAAATCATATTTTCCCTTAAAATTAAATTGTGATTCACTCTTTGCCTCAAGTGTGTTATACTACCATTCCACAACTTTGCATCAATAGATAGATAGGTGGCTAGGTATATAGACAGATAGATGGGTGGGTGGATGGATAGACATGGGTACACACACATATATCAAAAGATTATACTACATTCAGCCCTCTAGATAATTCACAATACTGATATTGATGGGACGTACTATACTGAAAATCAGATGCATTTAGATGGGCCTTAGAATGTGACAAAATGTTTGGCCACAATTAGGTCTTATTATAATTTTGATTAAGATGTTTTTGTAAACCAAATACTGCAGTAGAAGATAGATTCTAAACAATATATAGAATATTTGGCTGTTGGGATTCTTGAATGGAACTAACTGCTTGACTATCTTCCTGTTTCACAGAAGGAGAATGGTTTAATACAAACCATAATTGATGGTTCTCTCACCACATACCGTCAGATTGGCCTGGCTCCTGGGGAGGTGTACATCGTGACCATTCAGCCTCGCAAAGATCAGACTTTGGGACCTGATACATCCATAAATGCAACTACAAGTGAGTCACTATGTGTATATCCAGCCTGGTGCCCTCAGGCGTTTAGTACCACAGGATGGAATATGTGGGATATACCTAAAGTATGAAAAACAATGTATCCAGATGGCCTTGTCATGTTTTCTCCAAATATAAAGTTACCAAGTTCCATTTCTTGTGGCAATCCTGATGTAATGTTGTATTATATAGATCTGATCGGTACTGTAGATACCACAATTTGTAACTCAAATGACCTCAATTGTAACTAAAATGACCTTACACTTCTTGCCTTATAATATATGCAACATATATTGTGTATTATACTGGGGCATCACTAACATAACATGTGTTAACCTGTTTTTTCATCTCTATGGAGGCCCAAGTATATTCTCCCTCTAGGAGCCTTCCTCATGAAGGCTATCCTCTGTCCACTGCCCTTAATGGGCAATTTTATGATTTCTTCACCAGGAATTGAAGCCCCTCATGGTCTCAGAGTAACAGATATCACCACATCCTCCTTCCTCTTGAGATGGGATCGACCACAGAACCTTCCTGACAGATACATTATTACACTGGTGACTCCCAGTGGGAAGGAAAGAAAGTTGAAAGTCCCTGGAAAAGGAGACAAAGCAAGACTTACAGGACTGGATGAAGGAACAAAATACAGAGTCCTCTTGAAAGCGGAGAAGGGGCAGGAGCAAAGTGAAGCAGTGGAGACCACTGTAAATACAGGTAAAACTGATATCATCAGATGGTAGATATGGGAGAAAGCAGAAAACTGGAGTACATTAGACTCCAAGAGATTTATTTAAATACGAGAAAGGATGCGGCATGGAAACAAAAAAATAAAAAAATAAAAAAAATAAAAATTAAGACACTTTATAATGTAACTGACAAGTAATGAATGGGAAAAAAATAGAATATAGATATTTTTTAATAATATATCAAAAATTAAAGGACATTTATAAAAAGCGAAAATGAACAACCTTTTGTTTAGTTAAACCTCTCCTACCATCGCGGTGTATGTTTTGAGTAGTTATAGTGGTATAAATATATATATTAATATTTACTAATAGAAAAACAATGAGTTGCTGGCAGCTGCCATCTTGTTTTTCAACCAGCTCTCAACTTTATTGTTTAAGACAGGGCTGTCCAACCTGCGGCCCCCCCAGATGTTGCTGAACTACAACTCCCATGATTCCCTGGCTATCTGTTTAATTTAAAGAATCATGGGAGTTGTAGTTCCGCAACATCTGGGGGGCCGCAGGTTGGACAGGCCTGGTTTAAGATATAGCTTGTAAAATGTTGCATAAACCAAAAGTTTAGTGACTTTCTAAATGTAACACTTTACAAATCGTTAGCACGCTCCGAAAGCTGCTCCTAGAAGCTTATCCTACATTAGAAAAGGGCTGTTACCAATATTTTTCTTTTTTAATAGGCCTGATTACACTCACAACATGTGTTGGCAGCCACACACGACAGATGAGCTAGGGAAGATCATGCACACTTATATGTGGTTACAGGTCCTCTTTAAAATGTACTTTGTTATTGGGATAAAGGTAACACTCAATGCTTTTTTATTTCTTCTCTCTTTTTTAGCTACAGTCCTGCAAGAGATCCATGGCATAATATAAAAAATATATTATTTTACCTCAAAATAACTTGAAACCTTTCTTTTTTTTCAGTTTTTCAACATTGGATAAACATACTAATCCCCTCTTGTTTAGATGTGTGTTTTCTTTCAGAGTTTGGACAAGATAAAACAAATTTTACTTGGGAGTTTTCTGTTCTGAATCATTTGATCACAAAATATCAATTTCACTTTTTAGCTTCTAAACCAAATACTTACCATTATCATGCTCCAAAATCTGTGTACATTAAGAACACAGGATATAAAAATGCTACATAAAGATGTAATTCAAAATGTCCCATCATTTATGTATGCCCATTTATTAAAGAATGTAGTCAGTTGTAATCTCTGCTATGGTTATGTGCTTTAGGTTACTCGATATGACCTTGAAAAGGCTGTCAATAGCAAAGAAATATTTTACCATGGTACACAATCTCCATACAAAATCATACTTGTTTCTAAAGGTGTTCTAAAGTGAACAACTTGTTGATTCTTGTCCAAGAAACTGGTAGTATTCACTTTCGAAAATCATGTTTTTATATTATCTTGGGATTGAAATTCTGAATCTGATTTTAAATGATTGTCTTAGTCTCTTAACAAAGACAAAGCATGATTGGGTAACTCTCCTTTTAATCTGATACTTTTGTTAGCTTTTGGCAAGGAAAGAAAACGTCTGGATGTAGTGGATGAGCACAGGGTACAAGAACCAGAGGTGACATCTCAAAGTAATAGTAGACTCGAAAAATCTTTACCCTCACAAGAAAAAGCAAAACACCATCCCGCATCATCTAGATCGACTGTCTCTAGTGGGGAGGTTGGAGAACATAGTTTAAACACAGATGAAAGTAAAGAGATCATTGCAGAAGACCAATACCAAAAGGGGGATAAGACCATACACACCACAAGGAGACAGACACATACTATCACTACAATCATTAATAGGTACTATACAATTTACCATGAGAACGGAAGTGTGTCTGTTCTCAAGGAAGCTGAAGAATTTGATGAGAAGAACCCTCTACACAAACTTGTTAATGGAGAAGACCAAGAAGTGATGACCAGTGTGGTTGAAGAGGGAGATGTAGAAGATGGAACATTGACTCATATTAGAGAGAAGATACCTGGCAGCAAAGTGGGTGGATGGGTTGTCACAAGAAACATTACACATTTTGGATCCCCTCAAAAGGTGAACCCTCATACTCAATATCCTGAAGCGGAAAATAGTGGACTGATAATAACATCTGATACTACTTCTGAAGAAGGGTCACTTGGTGTGGGGTCGTCTGCAAAGGAGACTACATCAACTTCTGGGGAGGTTGGAATAAGGGTCAACCCCTATAAAAAGCCTTCATCCCAACATAATTTGCAGTATCCTAAAATCGAGAAGCAAGTAGATCAATTATCTAAAGAAGTTGAACCAGGAACAATATTTGGAATTAAACATGAACTTGCACAATCTGGAGTCGAAAGCCAAACAAATGCCACTGATGACCCAAAAGATAGCACCAAATCTAGACAGAACAATAAGATTTTTCATAGAGTAGTTAGCATTTCAAAAAAGGTTGAACGGTATGAGAATGGGAAACTCCAAAATGAGACAAAAGTTCTAGAAGACCCTGATAGGGTAGTAACAGGAATAAAATATAAAAACCAAACTAAGAAATTACCATTTTTTGCAGCATCAAGCATGAAAGCAGTTATTGAAAACCTACCAGAAAAACTCTCTCCATTCAATGGAACTTTTATCCAACGCTTAGAGAGTTACTTGCGAGCCACTTCCTATCCATTAAGGCCCAATCAGACAGTGGAATCTGTGGCTAAAGCTATATTTCTGTATCTTGTGAAATGGAAGCCCCATAACTTTACAGGAATGGTGTATGATCGCCTCCCTCAAAAAACTCCAGGTGCATCAGGGAACCCAGAACCTGCTGGGACTTCAAGATTGCAAGGGAATGTTGGGAGGGTAGTGATGGAGAGTGATGTTGACAGTTTGGGAAATGCTACAGACAGGATACACGAGACATCAGCGTTAGTTCAAAAAGGCAAAAAACTAAAGACCCCAGAAAACACACCACGAAACATTATAGATATAGAAACCCTAGGAAGAGTAGAAGCTGTAGGTGAGGTAGGCACACCGACTTTGTTAAATGCACAAACACATAGTTCTTCAGAAGAAAATGAAGATGGAGTAATAGTGAAAACCACCCTTGAGGTACATGATAGACAGATGTATGAAGAAGACCTCTCAAAGTCGGGTTCTTCCAAAATAGTATTAGATAAAAAACATACCAAGAAACCCTACAATAATATGCCAGTTCCAAAAAATGCCACAAGTGCACAAAAAAAACAGCAGGTGGATGAAACGAAAACAAAAAAAACGGCAATAAAACATGAGAAAGAATCAGATAAACCTGAAACTGAAAAAAGTGTTACACCTGGAATTGGCACATTGGAGAGTTCATCTTATCATATCCCCAAGATCAGAGAGGAAGAAAAAGGTAACAGTCTTACACATTCTTCACATCTTAAAAATAAATCAAGATCTATAACGGGGGGAACCATAGAAGAACCTTCTAACTATAATATTAAGGAGAAAATTCTGCTGGAAGATAAAAGGGATCACTTGCCAGTTGTAACGGAAAAGGACCCCAACATCCACAGCAAAGTAATACCATTTAGGCAAGAATCTGGGAAGGAAATATTAACAGAGGAAGATGAGGATTTGAGAAACATACACCTTATAGATGACAGCTTGTTAAGTAGTGAAACTAACAAAAAAGTTTTACCTTTCGAGAATAGAGAAGAAAGAAAGAAGGAAACTGGACAAACAAAACTGGTGGTAAACAAAATTGAAGGGTTCATAGAAGAGCAAGAAAAAAACAAGCCAACAAAAAGCCCATATCCAGTCAAAGTGCATGGCCCTGGTCGTCAAGGCAGACCCACCATTTTACAAAGAAATTCCACCACCCTTGTAATTTCTCTAGAAGGTTTAGGCATTCTGTGGGAAAAAGTGCTGGTTCTCTATCATCCACTGCATTCAACTACTAAGATTGCTCCAAGCAAACTGGAGGTGGAAAGAGGTGTCAGAGAGGTGGAGATCGGGGGTTTAGAACCAGGAACCAGCTATCGACTTGATCTTCATGGGATAGTGAAAGGCCGCTCTTCAAAATCCTTCTCACTGGTGACTGACACAGGTACCAACTGGTTCAAAAACAGTGGTAGGGAAGGGCCTAGATGTAAATTGGTTTTCTACTGGCTGTTCACTGCCTTCATTTGCTTTTCACCGCCACCCTGACCCAAAGCTATTTGCAAATGGGGTAATTCAGGACTTTATCTGCTCTTTCACTGTGAGAGAAAAGAGTGAGATCTAAATTGCAGGGGGGAGAAATGGTGGACTCACTGTCTCTTCTTCTCATTTTTGTAGGATGGTTTATCATTGGAAGTCTCCTATCTTTTTATTTATTATTTCTTTTTTTTCTATTATCACTTTTGTATTTCTGTTTGTTTGTCATTTCAGTTCTGCCACCTCTGTTTTCTAGAAATTCTCTTTTTTATTTATCTGTATCTCTTTATTTTTCTATACCTTTTGGTTACTCAATGTCACTTTACCTATCTTACCCCTAATCCCAATTTATTGGCTGCTTTGACTTTCCTCTTTTTTTGATTTTCTCCTCCCAGTCCTTTACCATCTTTGTCCACGTTACCTACTTTTTTATTTCATTACTGTGTCCATCCCTCTCTCTCTTCCACTCCATCTCCCAGTTTTTGTGTATTTTTTTCCTTTTACAAATTTTTCTATTTCCTGTTCTTTTACAGATCTTAGTCCCTGTATTCCAATTGTCACAGTCTCTCCAATCTCAATCTTTCTGTCCATCTATACATGTATTCTCTTTTTTTCTCTTCTAAATGTTTCCGTCCTTCTCCTTCTCACAAATGAATAATCCCACAGTTTTACCTCACAGGCATCTCTCTCCCTTTGCTGCTCGTTCTCCACACCGTTTGGCAATAAGTCACCGCGTCTGACCTGCTGATAACACCTTTACCCTCCAGGCAATGTGACTGCAAACATATATATATATATCATAGTGTGAGAGAATGTTTTAAATATGTGGAATGCATGTGTGTGCATGATATATATATTGAGTATATTTGTCTGTGTGTGCTTATGTATATGTTGTGGTCTAAATAGAATGTAGCCACTACTGATAATGCCCATTATCATAAGTACAAGCCAAATAAAGTCTTGGCAGTTCATGGAATATACTTGCTGTATGCCACTAATATGAAGTCACATCAAAACAAAAAAACAACTAAAATTATGTTCTTGAAAACTAGTTACATGCTTATTAATAGTCAACCAATGGGAAGGCCATTGATATAATAGTCAATTTAATTGGCCATGTTTAATTGTGACCACAAGGTATATACATACATATGTACACAAATACAAAGATTTGTACATTTCTATTTGTGTCCTGTATGGTGATAAGTCAATACTTGAAGAAAGAATCGAGTGTGTACACGTGTTTGTATGTTTATGATATATATATTAATGACAGATCTATATGTATCTGTGCTTCCTACGCTAGACTGTCATTTATGGCTATATGTGTATATTACAGAGTATATATACAGTATATATAAATATATTTATATATGAATATACACATTTCAATATTTACATATATTTTATATGTATAAAAGCTGCATATACTTTCTCATGTAAAATATTAGTATATATTTGTATACGTATGAGTAACATATATGGATATATAATAAGCACACAAATGATACTCCGATACATACTCACGGCTTTAAAGCATGTCATTGAGCACACACGTTCTGCATGTGAGAGCATGTAATGAGAATTGAAGATGGTGCTGTCATTTAGGAAGTCAATGTTTAGGGTAGAAAGGTATAGATAAAATAAAATGTTGGGGGAAACAAAAGCTGAGGCAAAGTGTGGTGGGTTTGGGAGGAAGAGAAAGACATTGAGCATTCTGGCTAATTGGATTTGTTGGCTTAGCCATTCAGTTGGTTAGTTAGTAATTATTGTTTGTTTTCAGTCTGAGTACTGGATAAACACAATTAATGCTTATTTTCTCTTCAACCTCGTTAACAGCTGTGGTGCCTACAACAGTCCAACCAGAAGTCGAGACGACCACTCAATCAACCACTCCACCACCAGAAGTGGTCATTAGCACAGCAGCTCCAGGTAATGCCACCCAAGCTAAAAATGATAATATTGATTTTTAAAAATAAAAATTGTTTCCAATTAAATATCCTACTGCCATAGTGGTTTAATCAATAAAATGTACCAGTTCTATTTAGAGCGAATACTCATGTATGAGAAGGTGGAGGTGGCATTCATGACTTATTAGGAGTGCGGTGCTTATATTTGGACACCATTATTTTCTATTTTAATAGGACCCATATTAATTTAGGCCCTTCCTTTAGCCTTTCAAAAATGCTGTTAGTGCTGTTGGTCCAAACTAAGATAAGATAGCTTCTTGTAGATTTCAGTATGGAAAAGAGATTTCTTTATGGATCAACTTGTTATCATCAATTATGTCTGTCTGACTTTATTTCCTTGTGATCCTTTACTAATTAAATGTTATTAGTGTAGTGTTTCTTAATAATCTTAATAATCTGTTAAAGCCCCCAAATAGTTGTCACGCTCCCGGAACATTATTTTGCTTCAATTATTATAATTTTTAAATGTGGACATCACGTCTGCTTCATGCCACTCCAATGGTACAATGTGTAAAAACAAAAAACCCGGAATAATAAAAAGAATAGTCCCTTACTAGACTAAGCTCCTTAAGTAACTTTGGTTGTATACCCAAAACTAGAGGTTTAATCCACTTTCACCTTATTTAACTGATTTTTTAAAATTAATTTATAGCTTAGGTGACCATTTATTACAGAACAGTTTCTTACCAAGAGGCGGGACAGATTTATTTCTATAACAATATCTTATTCTTTAAATGGGAGTCAACAGCTTCCCTGTGGAAAGAGAGTGTCCTCTTGCTTATCACATGTAACTGTTTGAATATAAATTCTTCTCTCTTCAGTCACTAAAAAGCCCCAAGGAATAGTGGCTCAGATGGGGGCCCTACAAGTGCGAGAAGTTACGAGTGAGACTGTCACGCTAGTTTGGAAAGCCAGACCTGGAGTATATGAATCCTTCTTGATAGGATATGAAGATGTGACGGATATCTCAAAACCACAAGAAACATCTGTTCCTGGAGACCAACGAGAGGTGACACTGAGTGACCTGAGTCAGAACACCAGATACTCCGTGTCGGTTTATGGAGTGAGAAATGGAAAGCTATCAAGACCCTTGAAAGTGGAGGTGACAACAGGTATGGATCAAGCTTGTATAGCGACGTAGATTATTATGCCACAATTAGATACATTTTTCCTAACCTGGTCAAAAAAAAACAACAAACTAAAAAGCGGATTTAGTCAAATTGATTCTATTTTGTCTGAAAAGCAAGTTGAATAAAAAAAGGAATTAATGACTTTATGCCCACATTTTCTAGAATACCATCCAATCTATTATGCTACCTGTCAGGACCTATTAGACTTTATTGCCTTTACAGTAAGAATATAAAACAAAATTTTTAATCAATGTCTTTTTTTCCCTTTTTAGTCCTCTCTTTCACCTCCCTCTACACTTCTCTGTACAAGCTCATGCTGAGTATATGATACTGTTATCTTACGTAGCTTATACTCTTTTTATACTTGTTCTATGTACTGGTGTATTCTTTGTTCAATCTAGCAAATTTCCATACAAATATTAAAAAATAAAACCCTAATTTCTTTTTTTTTTTACTAGAGATAAAAAAAAAAAACCCTCATATCTTAAGTTATAATCTATATCTTAATTAGAGATGTCGCGAACCGTCCGCGAACTTCTCGCGAACGGTTCGCCACGAACTCCGGTCAGCTGACACGTCCCGGCCAATCTCCAGCAGACCCTCCCTCCCAGACCCTCCTACTTTAAAACATGGATGCTGTCCAGGAAGTAGGAGGGTCTGGGAGGGAGGGTCTGCTGGAGATTGGCCGAGACGTGTCAGCTGACTGGAGTTCGCCACGAACAGCTCGTGGCGAACCGTTCGCGAGAAGTTCGCGGACGGTTCGCGACATCTCTAATCTTAATCTATCAGCAATGGGACCTTAAGTACCAAAGACACTTCATCCTAATGAATTGATTTTGCAAATAAAAATAGTCCAAGTCTGGACTATTCTCATAGTGGATCGTATTGCTTACTGCACAAGAGCAGGAGGTCTACAATGCTTCTCCAAAAGTATAATTTAATTTGTGAGTTTAACCCCTTTGTTTTTTATAAAACAGGCCCATAAAAATCAAGATTGATAGATGGAAGTCCATTTAACATGTTTAGCCTGACAAAAGTAGGGTTAATAGAAAAACAATTCTGAAGACTTTTAAAGTTGGCGTTATCCAATAAATGAAATATATAAAATACACTTGTATATATGGTGACATTGTGGCTGCAGTTTAATTTGGAGTACAGAACATTTTGACTCTGGCTTTGGTCTCTTTCACATGCCTCCATTAATATTGTTTTAGTCCAAATGGTTTTTATCAATCAAGACATATTTAGACACTTTAGAACTTGAGATGTTTTAAGCAAAATATTTTTTTCACCCATTTATTTTAATAAATTGCAGTGCACAGCCAGTGGTGACATGGGAAAATCATTTGTTAAATAAAAAATATTTAATTTTATAAACAGATAGTGATTTATTTACTAAACATCACATTGTAGTGACTTATAATAGTGCAGAATTTGCCCAAATCAGCACTTTTTTCCTAGATTTTGCAAATGGATTCTCTATTCACCATCACAATCTAGTATGCCTGCAAACTTGATGGTACATATAGCATCCTGATAATATTGTCAACTCTGAACGGGCTTAGACCTTCAGTCATTTGTAAAAAGAGACAATCCCCCGAGACTTGTCAATCAGACACGATTCCAAGCTGCCTGTATCAGCTTTGTCCAATTTATGTACGACTTTTCTATCCTTCTTCAATTAGACTGCAGCTCTGCCAATCAGTGCACATGTCCCAGTTTACTAAACATCAAACTAGGCTGCTGTACACTGTGGTTTGACAGCTGTCAGCTTACAGAGCAGCTTCATCCATTCTAAGTGATGAATGGAACTGCTGTTAAAGGATCACTATAGGGTCAGGAACACAAACATGTATTTCTGACCCTATAGTTTTAAAGCCACCATCTAGCTCCTCTGGGCCCCTCATGCCTCCATAAATATAGCAAAATCTTACTGTATTCAAGCCAGAAGCTGTAGATCTGCATGCTGTTTGCCTAAAAAAAAAACAAGCAGTCTGCTGACATCATCAGAAGTGGTAGCCTGATCCAATCACAGTGCTTCCCCGTAAGATTGGCTGAGACTGACAAAGAGGCAGATCAGGGGCAGAGCCAGCATGATTCAAACACAGCCCTGGCCAATCAGCATCTCCTAATAGAGATGACTTGAATCAATGAATCTCTATGAGGAAAGTTCAGTGTCTGCATGCAGAGGGAGGAGACACTGAATGTTTGGATGCATTTTAGGCAGCCATGACCCAGGAAGGATCTCTAACAGACATTGTGTATTGTTTTCCCTATGGAATATTAAGGACACCAGTGGAAGAGAGACTGAATTCATGACGGCAGCTGTCCGTGAGTGTAACTCCAACCAATTCTAGCCACGCCAAGACATGTATGTCCCCAAACTGCCATGAGATCTGCACCACCATTCAATATGTGTTTTGTTACACTGTGCAAAAAAAAACAGACAGGTCATGCAATATACATGCACACACACATATATAAATATATACATATACATGGACGTCTGCCAAGATGAAATGATTAAAACAGTTGATTAGGTCATCTCCGGAGGAAAACACCCACCTTCAGGCACATAATCAGGAAAATGAAAAAAAAAACAAATAACAGAAAATCTCCTAATTACAGTTTTTTTTAAATGTCTTGCTCATAAATCTGCCGTGACCCATACAGAGACCGTTTTTAGCTGGCAATTCTGCAGTGGTCTGCTACCAATTACTGCAGGTACTCTAGAGGATTCATAAAATGCTGAAATAAAGTCGGCTATAAATAGAATTTAGAAAAAAAACAAAACAACTAAGACAAAACCCAGATACGCTCATTAGGTAGAAAGTGTAAAGTTAAATTAAAGCCTTGTTTTGTAGCAGATGTGGGTGATTTGAATGTTTACGATATGACTGCAGTGAATAATGGATGTTACTCACTGCCCCAGTCCTGTTACTTTATAGCGGTGATAGACCTTGGCTTGCGCAAAATGTCTTCACAGAGTGCCACATTAACGGGTGGATAGAGGGCATCTTACCATAGTTTCCCTGCTGTTGAAAGGGGAAGTTTATATACCAGTGGAGAGCATTCTAATGCTGCACGTCAAATAATATTGATAAATCAAATTATTTGTTCTTGTCCTTTGTCTAGGTCATGAATGTAAATGGGGAGAGTCTCAGGGTGGTTAGAGAACAAACATATTTTGATAAGATCTAGAATCCTTGGATGTTTGACAAACGTGTCATGTTTTGTTAATTTCTTCAAGTATGGTGACATGTGATTTGTGAATTGGGACCTCATTAATTAGTTTAAAGTATTTTGTTCAACAGGTTTTAATTTCTTTGCGTAACATTTTGTTCCCCAGTATACTGAATTGAAGTCCTTTTCTCAGACTAATTAAAAAATGTTCATGTTGTTAAAATTAATCATTTATGAACTCTTTGTCTTTTTTTTACAGTTAAGTTTTATTTTCCATTCATAAATGCAAGCTGTATAGGGTCATCCTTAAAACAGCTGACAAATTATAATTTAGTAGTAAAACACAGTGATATGGTCATTGAAATGATTTAATGAATTGATACATTTATGATGTATTATGCAAATTTCCACGTTAACATATTATTTAATGTCCTGTTACAGACTCTGATCCAGACAGAGGCACTTCGCCTAGGCTCTCCCCGATTGCTGTGTCAGAAATCCAGCCAGACTCTTTCCTTATGTCATGGGAACCCCTGGATGGAGATTTTGATTCTTATATAATTCAGTATTTCCCTCCTGGAGGTCCAAGGCAAGAAATTACTCTACGAGGAGATGAGACATCTTATCGGATCACTGAGCTGATTACCAAGGTCAATTACACAGTAGAGATCCGTGGAATATGGGGAGACAAGTACAGTGAGGTAGAAACCGTCTACGTATTAACAGGTAAGTAATTCTGTAGTTAAGTAAATGCATAGCAAGATTAGTCATAAAGTGGCTTTAGAAGGTTGTCTAGAGGGTTAGACAAGGGCTTCAAAGCGCTGAAATTTCTCATTCAACAAAGGACACTAAGGGCACTTTTGACCAATGTTGCTTGACTGCTATTACTAATTCACATTATTCCCATTACTTAGAAACTGGCAGGTCAACTTTTCAAAGATGTATATTTTAAACATCTCTCAATGATTTTTAGTTTTTACCTGTTTACATTTTTATCTGTCTCATTTGCAAGCTTCATTTTTATCTCTATAGAAAAGCCTCTGCCTCCCCGGATGGAGTCTCTCTCCTTGTCTGATGTCCAGAGTGATTCTCTCCGCCTCACCTGGGAGGTCCAGGGTGGAGAATTTGATTCTTTTCTTCTTTATTACCGGGACGGAGAAGGAAAACCTCAGGAGATTCCATTGGATCGGGATCTCAGAACATTCACAGTCAGTGACCTGAAGCCAGGAAAGAAGTATAAGTTTGTGGTGTATGGAATTGAAGATGAAAAAAGAAGCAAGCCAGTAACAGTGGAAGCCATTACAGGTGACCGTGATAAGAAATAGCTAGGTTGGAAAATAAGGAGGTTCAGTAAATGCAGTAATTATATAATGTGTGCATATTAACAAGTGTATTTTGAATTTTACTTCTTTTTAACTGATTTAAGCTGAAAAATATTTCATGTCTAGAACCTAGAACCCAAACCTAATTTTCTACACCTCTCTCTAACTTTGAATGTCATCACTCACAGAGAAGCTTCAACCACCTCGACTGGAGTCCCTCTCTGTATCTGATATCTACACTGAATCCGTTCGCCTCAGTTGGGAAGTTCACAGCGGTGAATTTGACTCCTTCCTTCTTTATTATCGTGATGCGGAGGGAAAACCCAAGGAAGTAACTCTTGAGAGTGAACTTCGCATGGTTGAAGTTGATGACTTGAGACCTGGAAAGAAGTATAAATTTGTTCTTCATGGTGTCTCGGGTGGAAAGAAGGGCAAGGGAGTGATAGTGGAGACCACTACAGGTAAGAGCTACATGTTAACATAAAATAATATAGTTATGTTATAAAATGTTACAATGTCCATACCCTCGGCATGAGAATGGGCTGCCTGGTGAGGGAGGTCTTTGATCTCCCCACACGTCGTGCCACCCCTCTCATACCTACTGCCCTGAGGCCACAGCCTCGGAACTCCGACCCGTGAGGGACGTTGTGACTAGGGCTTCATAAACAAAGTGATTTAACTCCTAATTGGCAGAGGATTGAGCAGTGAGGCTGCAGGGGCTTGCTATACACCAAAACTGCTTCATTAAGCTAAAGTTGTTTAGGTGCTAATAGCGTCCTTTTGTTAAGTTGCATTTGTTTGTTTTTTATTTTTATAAGGGCAAATCTTAAATTGGTTTTTTATTTGTATTTTTCTTAATGTCCATTCCTGGCACCATTACTAGATAGAAATAAACTTTTCACATTAATCCTAAAACAGCCATCCAAATCCTTTTGGTTTGGTTGTAAACAATATAATATCAGTCTACTCAATACACGTGTATAAAAGACAAATTGTTAATTTGAGCTGCCTTTCAATTACTAACTTTAATCAACTGAGACACCCCTTTATTATCAGCTTAGAGTAAAAAAAATTTCGTTTTATGAAACCGGCTACTTTAAAGCGGCATTGTCGTGGCCGCATCCGTAACCCCCCCCCCCAACTGCATTACATTTTACTGTCCCACTAGTCATCTCCAATTGCCCCTGGCCCCCCATTTTCCCTTTTTTTTTTTTTTAAATCTTTATTTTAGCAGTGCAGGTAATTACAATCAAGCATTTAATCCCCCGATAGCATCGTCAAGCGTTCTACATGAGAAATGTTGGTACATAGGCATGGCATGTAAATAGATTGCACTATTTTAAAGTAAAATAAAATGAATAAAGATAAATGATATAGAAAGAAAAGTATTTCAATGCTATTGTTGCAAGATGAGAGAAAATGCCAGAAGGCAAAACGAGTTAAAGATGCTGACATTTTGCGATATACCTAATACCACTGGGCATGAAATATTGAAGAGAAAGATCAGTTCTCTCACATCCCATCTCACGGTTGGTTATCAGCATGCTCAGCCTATGCCTTTCAGAAGGTGTATACTAAACTGGTAAGAGTGTGTAAGAGAGTCTCTTTTAACTGTACCCCACCAGCACCGAGTCAATATACTGATCAGGATATCGAGTTCACAGGACCCGTGGTGAACCGCAAAGAGTACCAGGCACTGGAGTACGTTGCTTGGTTTCTTCAGGGTACGCTGCGTGAGGGTAATCCGAGGGAAGGAGTGGTGCATGTGTGGATAGTCCCTGGTGAACTGTGGCCCCTTTGGGACATGTCATCTGCTCACACTAGATAGCGCTGTGAAATTTGAACACTTTGGCATTCACTACTTTTGAAATTAGGACGGGAATTTCAGCTACTAATTCATTAATCAGAAATAAGAACGTAACGGATCACCTGGCACCCCGACTGGGTACCTCCGTTGAAGCATGCTCCTAGTGCTTCCTGAGGACTCCAGCACTGCAGCAGACACCACAACCACCGAACCGGAAAAGCATATGAATGCTCTCAAGCATATGAATGCTGTAAGCAGCTGAACAAAAAGCATACAATCAGCTTACACTCCTGGCAATCAGCATACAATCCAATTCCCCCAATAACGAGACAACACTTCGTTTTGAGGTCAAGCAGAACTGACTGTACTAGCACATACAGACTCTTTTATTCACAATCCACAAACATAGTACTGCCCACAGGGTTTTTGAAAACAACCATTAAACACGTACAATACACTCAGACACTCCCACACAAATTCCTCCCCTCTGCCTGTAATACAATTACCTTACACAATGGGTAATGTAATTATCACCGGCAGAGAAATACAGTATCATAAAACATATCACAGGGACCCCAAAACATGCAATAACCCCATATCCAAAATTCACCCAGATCCGTTCAGTACTTTGGAAGATACAGTTTAATGCAGATTCCACAAAACATATACAGGCTATATGAAAAATAATAACTGTATAATGTGTCCCCTGTTGTATAGTCCAAAACCACTGCACGATATCTCTGTGCACCAAATACCGGTGAGATGGCACCGTGTTGAAAAGTCCAAACAGTGTCTGTGAGTTAAAATGGCCGCCATCCATTGTTCTCACCATGTGCCTCTGATACATGAAATGGTGGTCACCCAGTAACTCCACAGTATGTCCCCAGATGGTTCTTAAAGGGCCAGCAGCAGCACAACACAAATCCATTATGCCCAAACCATGTCTTTAAAGGGCAATACATCCCAGGGGCCATAGTCACATGGCAAGAGGCTGGCAATCAGTCTTCTCCAATGCCCAGTGGCGAGGTCAGTTTCGCCACAAAGAATTAATTGAATTTTTCAAACGAAGAACAAAGACTGAATTTCTGTATTTGTTTGTTCATTTAGTTTATTACAAGGAGGGAATTACCGTCTCGTGGCTCCCTCCTTGTAATATGTGAAAATAGACGTGGCGGGGATCAGTGCTTCCACCCACTTCCTAAACCCCCCATGCCCCTGTCATTCTATGAGGGTCAATATGACCATCATATTAGCATAAGGGAGATTAAAAGCTCCAGAAAGCCCCTACTCACTATGCCGCAAGTAGGAGCATGCTGTAGCTGCTCATTGTTCTAAAAAAAAAAAAAAGACCACACCGCCGAGTCCTATAAAGGGGGGCCTAGCACAGATCCCCCATGCCCCATGGTGGGGCATCTATTAAAATAATTAACTGGGGAGAACATAGTGTCCCTTATTTACTATTACTAAGAAATCTTTACTTAGTATTAGTAAAGTTGGCTGTAAGACCAATTTTGGTATTTCAGCCTTTCAGTAAATAGCTCCCTATTACTGTGACACAGCCATGACACCAACCGGATCATAATTTAATTTATTCGAATGAGATTATGAACCAAAGAAAAAGTACAGAACTTCGTCCATATGTACACATTCTGACAAAATTCGGTAGTTTGGCCGGTGATCTGTCTAATTGACAGGACGTTTGAAGATCGAATGAAGCAACACGAGAACACAGGAGGAGAGGTGCATGTTGTGGGAAAATGTCTTTGACCACAGGAAATGGGATGGACTTAAGTTCCTCCTTTGGTCAAAGAAGGTCAAATGTAGGTAAAATACATAAGACAAAGTACTACTTTGTCTTATGTTTTAATGAAAACTAGATTAGATAGGAAGAAAAGAAGAACAGATCCAGAAAGAGGAAGAGAAGAGGAAACAATAGGAGGAAGGTAAGTTTGGTGTGACAGTGACACTTTAAGAAAACAATATAAATGTGATGGTTTAAAGAAATGTCTAGAAAAATGAGAAGTAATTCTCTAAGACATATTTAAATATAAACTGTATTGGTGTAAATATATTCCTTTGCTCCTGTGTTAATACTTTTCGACTGGTCATAATCTGCAGCCCCCAGGGACAAACCAGTGGAACCTTCAAAGGCTCCTCCATCTGCTCCTCGTCTTGTGGACCTACAGGCTTCTGAAGTAGGAAAGGACTCTGTGAAGTTGTCTTGGACTGTGGAGGGCGAGGTGTCGTTTGATTGGATTGTGGTGCAGTACCGGGAACCTGAAGGAGGTGTTAGGGAGGTGCAAGTTCAAGGGCAGGACATTAACACTATTATATCTGGACTCCTACCATCCAGAAAATACAAATTCAATGTATACGGATTGAGAGGGGAGAAGAGGAGTAAACCCCTATCTACTGAGATTGAGACAGGTAATCATTAGCCAGATAATAGGAGTTCATCAATAGCAGGGAAGCTGCAGAATCCCCCTTATCTATATATACCTCCTCCTTAACATCTGTTCATACTTGCTCTGTGTGTCTTTCATTCTCCTTTCCAGTTGTATAGACCGTGGGTTTTTTGGGTTTATTTTCAGTCCTAGTTCATTGTATCTGTCCTATTTTGCTAAATATTTGGACTAAACTCTTCATTCTTTCTCAGGTTATCCTGAGGTCATAGGTCCATCCTCCTCAGTCCTTGATGATCTCTACATCACTCCAAGAGGTCCACATGCCATCCTCGTATCATGGGAGGTTCCTGATAACTCGTTTGACAGTTTCATTGTTCGATATGGGCTCCCAGAACACGTGGCACCCCTAAATGAGATGTTAACCGATGGGTCTGCACGTTCACTGCTTATATCTGGACTACAACCAGACACACTTTACAATGTCACATTGAGTGGTATCCAAAGTGGAAAGGAGCAGGGAATGTTGAAAGGCAAAGGAAGGACAGGACCACTGGGTAATATGATTTCCCGGTGTGAACACCTTTATTTCCCTAAAAGAAATAAATACATTTTCTCTAAAAATTCCCAACTGCATCAATAACACATATAACCATTAACTTCAAATACTCGTAAGCATGCATGAAAATAACAATTTCAAAGTCAACATTTTGTAGATTTGTTTCCCTTATAGACCTGGAGCCTCCTCAGAACCTGAGATTTGATGAAATCAATGAGTCATCTGTAGTTGCAAAATGGGATCCTCCAAATGCTGAAACAACCACATTCAAAGTATCTTATCAGCTTGCAGAGGGAGGTGAGACATGCTCCTTTTTATATACCTTATTCCATATCTCTCTAGCTATTTCGTGTGTATCCTCCAAATCATACGCCATCTTATCATATCATTCTATCGCCTCCATATTCCAAATCACTCTGTGTTTTGTTTAAAGCACAACCCTCAACTAAGTCTACCATTTTAGTATCTCGCGTTTTATGGTCACTCTAGTCTCACTCATTAAAGTTTATTTGTTGTGTTTCAGGAGAACCGGAAAGTGTCAACGTAGTTGGAACAAGCACTAGTCTGAAGGACCTGACCCCAGGAGCTCAATACGAGGTTACTGTGGTTTCAGTTCGAGGTTTTGAAGAAAGTCAGCCTTTGTCTGGTTATGTGACCACAGGTATTGAATATAAATGAGCTTTGACTAAAATAACAGAAACTGTAAATTGCATGGTACATATATGCAGAGATTTGAAAAAGCTAAAAATAATTCATTGTTTTTGCATTCACTGCATCTCCAAGTATAAGCAGTGACAAGGCTTATTGGAGAGGGTAGGAGAAGATCTGTAATCTTTAGCATGGATCTGTCTTTCCTGCTCCCTATCTGGAGAACTGAATTACAGGTTAAAAAAATGTAAGATTAAAGGTACAGACATGAGAAGGAGAAGTTTAAAGGAGAGACTTCAACCAGTGACTTAACAGAATTTACTACCATTCTCTAGATCACCTTTCCATTGTCCTCCTCCTTCCCCAAAATTTCAGTAAGTGGATGGGCATATGGAAAAGAAGTAGCATATATTAGTCTTGTGTACAGTGAGAAATTCGGATCTTCCAAATCATTTCTTCCAAAGATAAAACCTTTTTTGGGGACATTCGGGAAACCTCGAACATTTGGTTGCCATTTCGGTTCTAATGAATGTCTGTCCAGGAAATAAATTGGGAGAACAAGCCAAGAAGAAGGTGCAACACTGGGCCAGTCAGTGTGTTGCAAAATATATTCATAATATATTATTCATATATCTTACCATACACTGATAATACAATATTCTATATATATTTAGCAGTACACTAACCAGAGCATTTTACCGCCATGTGGCTCACAGATCAAGTGAAAAAAGTAACCAATAGAGGGAAACACATGAGAAGCAGTTAAAAAAAAGCTATATTTATATATCTATATGTTACATATTTAATACATATATAAATATACATTTCCGTCACTGCTATTTTTCCTTCTATTGGTCACTTCTCACTTGACCGGTGAATAAAATCAACATTTAGTGACTGTCTCCTAGCCCCCAATCATCTCTTTTTTTTGGTGTCATGGGTGGAATTAAGAATATTGACCCCCACAACCGCAAATGTTCGGTACTGCACTGTTCGTTTAGTCCATAATTCCTATATAATCTTGCTCGGAAATCAGAAATTCGTCTGGTCACACAGTAGGCCTGAATTTGGCTGGGTTGCATTTTGGTCGGAAACAAATCTCCAAGTCTAGTAGATATCACTAGCAGATAAGGTGTGAAAAAGTACAGTGTCCCCTCAGTGTCCCAATGGCAGTGGAAAATAGACTCCACTGTATCCGATTCAAAGTTTTTCTAGATTTTTTTTGAAGATAAAATCTTCCATACCCCCTAATAATTTCTAAACAATCCATATCTCTTTTCTAGTTTCACAATATGCATCATAAAACTGTGTTCCCATAATAGCACTAGGTATTCATGCTTTACAAAGAAGCAAAAATATGCTATCACCGTGTTACCCTAATAGTCTATACCCTTACTGGACCTTGCGGCTGCTAATGGTTGGTGTGTACCGTTGGGATAAGTGTGAACAGTCATCATCTGATAGGAGATGTCAGCCTGTACCATTGTGTACTGTGTACATGTTTAAAATTGTATCTTATGTTAGGAGTTTATTTTGTAGGAGGTGGTGGACCACGCGCTCTACGTGTTTTCGATGTGAGTGAAGTGTCCGCTCTTTTACGCTGGGAGCCTCCTCAAGGACATGTGGATAAATATATAGTGATATATAAAGCAGAGAATGGTAAGGAAAAAAACAGTGTCTTACATTCTAAAATTATTTATCTACAGATACATTTTTGAAAATTATTTCTATTTTTTATTATAAGAAATTAAAGACTGATCCAACCCAGTGAGTGTATTCATATATTATATTTTGTGATATTGATATTTCATATTGGATCTAGACAGGGGCAGGCGATATAATTTCCGACGGCAAATATATTTCACACAACTTGAGAAAGGTATAACGGCAAATCCAAAAATAAGGGAGATAAAAGAGACAGAGTACAAGACCAGGGACACTGACAACATCAGAGACCTGTTTGCATTGCATTATATCTCAGTATAAATTTTCATTTAATATTTGTCTTAACGTTTGATCTACCTAACTTTTTTTTACTTCTGTTTGTCTCTCAACACTCGTCCACCTATCCATTTACACTCTGTCAGTTCCCGCGATAACAATGGATGTTCCGGGTGATCGCACAGAGCTCCCCCTCTCCAGCCTCTATCCTCACACTGAATACTTTGCGAGTGTGCAAAGTGTAAGAGAGTCCGAGACAAGCAAACCAACATCCACATCCTTCACCACTAGTAAGTGCCATCACTGGGTCTTCTTATGTTTTAAGTATGAGTCTTCCCATGATTTTGTGCTGGCTGATGTTGTGGGGGTTGTAGTTTAAAACCAGTTACAACATTCAGCTCTTTATCCAGCATTTATCCCCAGCACAATGAACTGGTTAGACCTTTTTATGTTTTTTATCTTACTATTATTATCAGATAATGAGGAGACAGTGACCACACAGTGCTCTGGGTCCATTTCACAAAGCCTTCTACATGTAGCGGTAATAGTTAATATATATAGGACTTCCTTTCTCTCTGTAGGTGCCAACACTGCGAGAGACCTTTCTGCCAGTCAGATTACGGCTCGTAGTGCCCTGCTCACATGGAAAGCACCTCCAACTATTCCTGACGGATATCTGCTGATTTATCAGACACCGGATGGCAGAATGAAGGTTAGGGATGGCGTGTCAATCTTCTTACCATTTCCCATTTTTCTTTATCTATATCTTGACTTTCTCTCTCTCTGTGTGTCTTCCCAGTAGTCCCAAACTTCGTTTCATGCATTAAACACCAGGCTTTCTTCTTGATAAGTTATCCACTTTGACCTACTGCCCAAATTTCATGCACCTCTCTTTGACCTTGTTTTTCTCTTTCACATAAATAGCATATTTATCATTTCATCAACGTTATGCCTGGTAACACTAGACGTCTCTTTTTACAAACTTTTTAACTTAAAATTTCCCTGTTGCATTATCCTGACTCTCCCACATCTCCATACTTTGTATTCTCCACCTTGAGCTTATTACATCCTTTTAGCTAAATCAATCTTTCTCCTTCAGGAAATAAGTCTCCCTCACAATCTTACAAATTATACCATGAGCCAACTCGACCCTCTGACACAGTACAGAGTCCAGCTCCATTCCATTCATGGTGGTACAAAATCAGCACCCATCTCTACCTCCTTTACTACAGGTGAGACTCCGTTTGTAATGAAGGTATGACAAAAAGAGCTGGAGAGTCAAAATCTAAGATGAGTGTTCTTCGTTTACTTTAATGAGTTAATAGAATTAATGAATATTTCTATATATCGTGCCACTGATAAGTTCATAATTACTCAGACTAATTTGTGAACTATGAATAAATTGTACATTGCTTCTAAATTTAATAATAGCTTCTAACACGACTTGTTAGAGTGGAATATAAATCCATTTTCAAAATACTAGTTCAATTATTATAACCTTGTCAGCAAACACATTGAGGTGGCAGTGTACCAATTTTACTTTGCAAGTGACGTTCCATTAATCTCATTATTGAAGGTAAATGTATTAAAGAAAATTGTCACTCCCTTGATTTTTAATATTTGTTTTACTTATTTATTATTTAATGAATATGCATCTGTGAGTTGCGAAATATAAAATTAAATGTAGAAACTGACACCTCTGTATCCTGGAGCTGGACGCCTCCATCTTAGCTCCCTGTCAATCATTGTTATAAGCTCTGCCCTTTACACCCAGCAGTCGGCATAGAAACACACAGGAAAGAGGAATGAAACAGTGTTCCTTAGCAACACTTTCTCTGACATTATCTTATTTTAACTGGATCATGATAATTTGCTAAATCCAATCATGTACATATATAATATAATATATATATATATAATATAAATTTGAAAGAAAACGGTGCATCTCATGTAAAAAAGGTTAACACAAGTAATAGGGGATTTTAAATGTTTTATTTACTGGTGTAACTCCCAGAGAATGACGGTTCCCCTTTAATGTGGTCCTGCTGTGAATATAAATGCACATATAGGTTGAACCAAATTTTAGTCATGATTTGCCAAATTCTGAAACTTGGAGCCCACCACAATTCTGGTTAATGAATCTTGTTGCACTTTCCGTCGGCCACATTCTAATCACTTCCTAAGCGTGTAACTGGGCACATCTAAACTGACGTTCTCCATTGATGACATCTGGAAAAGTTTTTTTTGTTTTTTTTTCCATAACACCATTCTCCATTAGCTTGTATGAGGAATTGGCTTCGAACAAAGAGGAAGATGTCTTAAACAATTTCAGCTTCCTGGAACAGTTTCAGGAGTTCTATCCAACGATGATGACATCTAATACACATCTGTAGAGTCACGAGATGATAATTAAACTGGAGAACTTAGCATCAACCATCGCTTTCCTAATAAGAGGCTTATTAGTAAAACCTATGTAGTGTACTTAGCTCTTTGTTTCAAATTCAAACAGAACATTTCTATCAAAATAATTAAGACACAATAAAACACGACATGCTACATGCTAGTGCTATCGTTGACACTCCAGTAACACTTGAAGACATTGAGATCCGCTTTGGCACATGTCGATATTCTCGAAGTACTACATTACCGTTCTGTTCTAGGCTGATGTTAACACTATAATACACAAATAATTGTCAATGGTATTTGCCACTGTTGATGATATTTGTTTCAAGTGCATTTATTTTTTTCTGAGACATTGAGCTTCCTAGACAATATTGGGAGCATTTTGTAAGAACATTGGGGGGAAAGGACAAAAAACTGTTGTCTTGGCTGCCAGTACATAAGCATCTACCCATTTCTGTGAGATAATGGAGGCAGAAACAAGATGGCGTCCAACAACGGACTCTAGACATTCACAAGTGCTACTAAAAACAACTGGGCTTAATAAGACATTATCTGCAGTTCGGCATCTTGTTTTCTTCTATTAGTATAAACAAATTCTAGTTTAGGATATTAATTCTAGCTAACTACATTTAGTTGTATTGGTTATATGTTTCGCAATCACAATTACAAAACAAAATAAATATATATATATATATATATATATAAAATGCTCAAAAGCATAATAAATATGGCAAATGTGGAAATAATACGACTTTTCAATTACTTCATTTATTTATTATACATTTTCTGCAAATCTATTAAGCTAGCCATGAAATATGATGATTTGCTAATTGAATTTTGTTTTTCTGTTGCAGTGTTTTTTTGTTTTTTTCCAACCACTTGCTTTCTGCTAAACCAAGTTACAGACATCATTAATACCTTGCATTAATTAGTACAAGCCGGGGCGTATTAAAAATCCATTGAGCTGGTGTTTATCTTTCTTGTTACAAATATGAAGATTGTATTCCATCCAAGCACTTACTGATTCATACGCATAACTCTGTCTTAGTGTTGGAGCCTATGTCCGCTAATCTAGGCGTGCCACAAACCTCAATTCTCATGGGTATGAACAGCAAATAACATACGTGTTCCCTAAAATGTGCCAGAATTTGTTTAAACGCACCAGAAAACATTTGGAAAAGGCTAAATATAATTTCTGGGAAAAAAAAAAATTTAAAAAAGGAAATAAATCACAACTTTCTTTTCAAACAGAATAAGTGACCTTAATGTTTTATTTCGGCTTTATGTTAAACAGATGTAGATAAAGACATCGTATGAAGTGTTTTATATAGATAACACACATATCATATCTCAGTCCATTTCATTTCACAGTAATGTTCTTTTCATGCTTCAGGTCAATGCGTTTCACAGTAATACATTTTTTTTAAACTCAGCCCAATGCGTTTTACTGTAATACACTTTTCATATCTCAGTCCAATTTGAGCGTTTCACAGTTATACATTGCTCATAACCCAGCCCTATCCATTTCACATTTACCTATTGCTCAAACTCAGCCATACACATTTCAAAGTGATACAGTGCACATAACTCGACCAATGCATTTCACAATAATACATTTCTCATAATTCAGTTGAGTGCATTAAACAGCACTACATAGTTCATGCGTTAGCCCAACGCATTGTGCTGTATTACACTGCAGTTCCCATTTTTGTTATTTCTATATATAATCAGAATATATTAATATATTTTTGTAGTAACTGTTTTGATCAGCATATTATTGCTTGCAGTACGACTGAGGTACCCATTCCCTCGAGATTGCTGGGAGCAGAGGATGAACGGAGAAGTCCATAATGGAATATTCACTATACACCTGGAGGGAGAGAGAGAGGAGACTATGATGGTATACTGCGACATGGAGACTGATGGAGGTGGCTGGATTGTAAGTATATTGAAACAACACAGCAGTCAGTGGAGATTATCAGGAAATGCCTCTCTCATTAAAGGTCCACTATAGGCCCCCAGACCACTTCATCACAGTGAACTGGGTGCAGTAGTCCTGTGGTTATGGTCCAGCAATGTAAAATATTTCCATTTTGTAGATACATCGATATTTTCATTACAAGGCTAGACTCACCTCCGGTGGCTGTCTTCCTGACAGCTAGTAGAGGGTGCTTCCACTGCTATAACCGAATCAGACTCGGTAATATGAAGTTCAATGTCCTCTCTCATTGCATGGGGACTTTATACTTCCTGTAATGCAGCTCATAAAAAAGCATTGTTTTCAATGGTTCTCTATGATTATTGAGTGTGGAGCTCACTGTGAATGCACTTCTTGTTACCAATGCATCTGTATGAGAACCACTGGATTGGATGAGAAGATGAAAGACCCATTAGATTGGATAAGAAGAAGTCTCACAAAGCACAGGTATTATCATCTGTACCACAAGAAACAAGTCACCCCGCACTCAGTTCTCAGAGGATTGAGCAGTGAGGCTGCAGGGGCATGTTCTATACACCAAAACAGCTTCATTAAGCTAAAGTTGTTCAGGTGACTATAGTGTCCCTTTAAAGCTCAATAACAAGAAACGTAGACGACACTCCAAGGTCTGCTATGGTTTTCTTTATTGGAGGGTAATTCTCCTCAAAATGAAATGTGACGTTTCGGCTTTATCGCCTTAATCATGCATAGTGAGTACAAGCATATACTGGGTATATATACCCTTTAAATCAATCAATTAACAGATCACATGGTCAGTCCAATTAGCAGTGAATTCCTAAAATCCTGACATGAATTACTCATATTGATTACATACCTATGTGATCACAAAAAAAACAACATAAAAACATGACATGGAGTATTGTCTATTTAAGGTGAAGGTATTATAGTTTTAACTATTTGATAGACATATATCTCGATTACAGAATTGCTGTATTCTACCATACACGGATATAACTGTTTTTGTTTCCATTTAGCTACCCTGTAATATACATCAGAATTTACAATCAGAATTGTAGCTATATATTTCATGACACTGCATAAGGATTTAAATATTATATTTTTGTATAATCATATTCTGGTCCACATAAAAATCGATCATCTGAATTTTAACAATATAATATTGTCTAAATGCAATCCATATGACCAATACTGTATGAATTAATCTAAATTAATTTAGGTTTATATCCAAGTCATAACCTGAGCCTAGTTTTATGTTGTTTTTATAGAACTTTTTTGTGATCACATATGTATGTAACCAATATGAGTAATCCATGCCAGGATTTTAGGAATTCACTGCTAATTGGACTGACCATGTGATCTGTTAATTGATTGATTTAAAGGGTATATATACCCAGTATATGCTTGTACTCACTATGCATGCTTAAGCCGATATAGCCGAAACTTCGCATTTTATTTTGAGGAGAATTACCCTCCAATAAAGAAAATCATCACAGACCTTGGAGTGTCACCTGCGTTCCTTGCTATTGAGTATTATCATCTGTAGTCCATGAATAGCTTGATTATCACTGATTAATACCCATCTCCAGGAATACTTTGGGCAGGTATACTTTGTGATACTAGGAAAAATATAGTAAGCGAAATATAGTTGCTCACTATATCTTAAGAGATGGATAGGGGTTGAAGATTATCACACAAGATTTCCGCAACCTAGGGAAAACACAGATAGAACTGAAAAGAAAAAGGGAAAAAGGTTTAGTGAAACCACATTTACATAAATATATCTACATTCATAAATACAGCAGGATCTTGTTGGTAGATGGGTCTCTCAAAAAGACAAAAACAGAGATAACAAACAATTTAAGTGTAATATTTTTAACTCCAAAAATTTGAAAAAAATACTTCACTTAAATAATTTGTTATCCCTGAGACCCATCTACCAACAAGATCCTGCTGTATTTATGAATGTAGATATATTTATTTACATGTGGTTTCTCTAAACCATTGGCGCGGATTATCTCCTTTTTCTTTTTTAGGAAAAATATAGCAAAAACATGTTGTGGCAGAAGATTATTTGAAGCAAAAATAGGAAAATATTGAAAGAAGCCTGAAGGACACAGTCAGCTTTCGTACTTTTGTTCAAAATATTCCCATGTTAATCTCTTGGCACAACCTGTATTTGCTGTATTTCTCTCTTTCTTAAAGGACCACTATAGGCACCCAGACCACTTCAGCTCAATGAAGTGGTCTGGGTGCCAGGTCCATCTAGGGTTAACCCTGCAGCTGTAAACATAGCAGTTTCAGAGAAACTACTATGTGAACTTTAGGGTTAATCCAGCCTCTAGTGGCTGTCTCACTGACAGCCGCTAGAGTCGCTTCTGCGATTCTCACTATGAAAATCACAGTGAGAAGACGCTGGACGTCCATAGGAAAGCATTGAGAAACAAGTTTGTTTTCCTGGCACTATAGTGGTCCTTTAAGGAAAGGGAGATGCCCCTTGTAATCAGTGTCTGCTGTTTATATTTATCTTCTTAGTTGAATTATTAAAGGTTTGTCCTATTGTTTGTATTGTTATATTTTGTGATACGTTGCGTGGTTTCATAGGTCTTCCAGAGACGGATGGATGGGAGTACAGACTTCTACAGAGACTGGAAATCTTACAAAATGGGTTTTGGAAACCTGACTTCAGAATTCTGGCTGGGTGAGTGATTACTGTAACTGCCATGAGTTTGTCTGCAAACAATGTTTTAGAAATAGAAAGCCTGAATGCAATCTGTAGCACTGAGCCAACTGGTTTCCACCAAAGTCCTAAATGAAATGTGAAGTCAGCTTGGCTTATCACATGGAACTGCACCTGCAAAGTCACGGAAAGCCTTTTTCTATCATTAGGTAATATTGCCTTGCACAAGCTCTCCTCCTCAGCCCCCTCCGAGTTACGTGTAGATCTTCGTGCTGGCGATGAGGCTGCATATGCTGTGTATGATGATTTTATTGTGGAGTCTGAAGATCGTCATTTCAGGCTAAGACTGGGAGCCTACAAAGGCAACGCAGGTCAGTAAGGGCACCATCTGTAGACTGCAAGCTCTTTGCCTACTGTTTCCGTATGTCAAACATGTTTTGTGGAATATGCTGGTGCTATATAAATAATTGTAATTTTGTAATTTTATTTGCTATAAAATTTATTGAGAAGGTTTGATATTATAAAACGAGTGGTGAGGAGCAGGTGGTCATAAGAAGGAAAATGATCAAGCTCAAGATTGGTTGGCTATGATTGAGCAGACTGTGATGGCCATTTCATTTGTGTCTTCTAGGGGATTCCCTGTCTTACCACAACAACATGATCTTTTCCACTCGAGATCGAGATGCACAAAAAAGGATCCTACCTTGTTCTGTGTCCTACCATGGGGCGTGGTGGTATCGCAACTGTCACTTTACCAACCTCAATGGGTTATACAATAACAACAAAGACCACCAGGTGAGGGGACCTACATTTACTTTTACCTTATCAGCCAAAGAAACCCAACAGAACGCTAATAAACCAATTGTTTCTTTATTTCACAGGGTATGAACTGGTACACATGGAAAGGCTTTGAGTTTTCTATACCCTTTACCGAAATGAAAATGCGCCCTAGAGGAGGAGGAAACCGTAACCGTCTCTAGAACCCTGACAGTCTAAAACCACTAAACTGAAAACTGGAAGCAACGTGGCACCTCCTGCAACCTTGTGCACCGTCCTTACAGCCAGGACACACAAAGAGGTTGAAAAGTAGACCAAAAAGAACCAAAACAAATTGGATCAATATCAGAATTTAGTGCCATATTATTTGCTTTGCTTATTAGGATCTACAGGTGGATGAAAATATTATAGAAAAGGTCTACATCTTACATAAGCCCAATTTTCAAGGGCACGTCTGTCAAAGGCTTTGTACCTTTGATAAACTCTAGGTAGTTTAAGGCTATATAAAACATCAGAACCTGGAACAATGAATGCAAACAATTCTAGAAGCAAGGACACTATAAAGCACAAAATTAGGGAGACAGAGCTAAAACTATGCTACAACTACTCGCATGTAGAGCTACGCAGACTGAAGCTAATGGAAATCCACAAATAATCTAACTGTAACATATAAAAAAAAAACAATAAAATGCTTAAACATGAGAAAATAAATGTGCAAAACTAAAAACAGAACCTCAGTATTATATATCCGCAAGTCACAAGGAAATGTTTTTGCAAGGGTTTTGAAAAGGACATGGGTGATTGGTGAGTGTCACGGTATCAAAAAGGGAACAGAGGTAAATTTTCTACCTAGTGTTACCCTATAATCTCCATCAATACAAAAATATAAATATATATATATATATAGCAAATGGATACACTGTCTATTTTTATAAAAGCACAGCACTGGGAGAGATAGGATGGGGAGGGGATATGATGGAGAAAATGTGTTCTGTAACTGCTTCTAATAAATTCTGATGGGACATGACCATTCTCCGTGTGTTTATCTACTGGAAGGACATGACTAGGCCATCTTTGGAAAACATGAGTGTACGAGTATGTGTCTGTGGAGAATGGATTGTAGACCTGCTGGAAACCAAGAATGGCAAAACTATATTTTGTTCCTGGCTATTTCTTCCTGTTTAGACCCTGCGTTAATCCCTTATTAAGAATGGATGACACGTCATTTTGAGACACCACACAACCTACCTATTCTAAAATTCTGAATATCAACTTCTATAACTTGATACTGCAAATCATTAATGTTTTCTATTCTAAAACTCTGTCCAGAAGTAATGCTAATAATTTTATATATTACATTTTTTTTTATAGATATAATCATTTCATATATTAAACTATGAACTTTTTTCTAGTGCTGATTAAACCAAAACTGACTTCAATTTGTTCATGCCACCTCCACCCCACCACCGGAGGACACTGATCCTTCTACATCAAGCCAACACTTGACCTTTGTATTCTCTTACAAAGTGAGCAAGATAAAAACCCAAGATCATACTCATCGTCATCATAGTCATAGTTTAATGTAGTGGTACTGGTGTCTATAGCATACCACTGCGGGATTCGCATTGTAAATACAGACTTTTCAAATAAAAGTCAGTATTTAAATTGCTGCTTAAGTCCTTCTCTAGTGTGTGTCACTAGGTCAGCCACTAGAGGGACTTCTTAGGTTCGGTCCTGCAGGACCTAAGGTCAGTGTCTCCAAGTTCTGCATGGAGATGCTGAACACCTTCCATAGAGATGCATTAAATCAATGGATCTCTATGAGAAAATGCTGACTGGCGCTCTAGCCTTCCCTTATGGGGAAGCATTAAATTGGCTGAGATTATCAATATTGGTGATCTCAGGCAAGAAGGTGGGGCCGCAGCAGAGAGACAGGTATGGCAAGAGCTAAATGGTAAGTAAAATGTTATTTCTAATGCATCTGAAACGTCACCTAAATAGTTAGCAGAACACTATCTCGTCAGGAATTTATATAGTTTGCTGTGGTGTCCCTTTAATAATGTATTAATATTGGTGGTGATAGTGTTTGTATTTGAGACTACAACCATGCAGTGATAAGAATGTAGAGTTTAATCATAGGATATAATACCACAAACATAATACCATATGATGATAATACCCCAAATGTCAGTCCAAAAAATTGTTACAATTTATAACATGTTAAAGCCTAGTCATATCCCTGATTCCGTGGTATCTGTGGATAGATTCTGCATGACGTACGTACGGTGTAGAGTTGAACAATATCCATTAAAGGACTTCTATCACCTGAATTTTTTTTAGTATAATTAAACTTTCAGCGAGTTTTTAAAATAAATTGTTTATTTAAATTAATTGTATAGAATATGTTTAAAAATAAATGTAAAAAAAGAGAAAACACCCTCCCTACCTTTAGTATATGACAGGATCCTTCAGCCATATTCATGCACCTTAGGTCAGAAAGTGCTTGAAACCCACCGACAGGTAGTCTCTATGGTTTTCCCTGCTTCACTTACTGCACGGAAGCAGGGCAGGCCATAGAGACTTCGGGAATACCACAGAGACATGTATATGGCTAAAGGATCCTGTCATATGCTAATGGTAGAAATAGGTTTTCCTCATTTTGTGTACATATACTTCTTTTTTTTTTTAAATCTATTTCCTTTCAAAATTTTATGAAAGGGTTATTATATTAAAAATAGCTTTGAGGTTATAGTTGTCCTTTAAGTTGGTTACTTTAACTAGAAGATATCAGCTCTTGAGATAGAGTTCCTATAAGAAGATATCAGCTGTTGAGATACAGTTCCTATAAGAAGATATTGGTTGTTGAGATACAGTTCCTATAAGAAGATATCGACTGTGAAGATGCAGTTCCTATAAGAAGATATCGGCTGATGAGATACAGTTTCTATAAGAAGATATCGGCTGTTGAGATAGAGTTCCTATAAGAAGATATTGTCTGTTGAGATACAGATATCGGCTGTTGAGATACAGATATCGGCTGTTGAGATACAGTTCCTGTAAGAAGATTTGGACTGTGAAGATACAGTTCCTATAAGACGATATTGTCTGTTGAGATAGAGTTCCTGTAAGAAGATATCGACTGTGAAGATGCAGTTCCTATAACAGACATTTACTTTGTATGAGTTGGTTAAATTGCTGTCTGTGCCTCGGATCCTAAGAAATACACCCAAACTGGCTAAGTCTGAGCCTTTATAGTTACTTATGTTTTGCCAAACTCTCTAACTTCAACACAATCTATACTCACAGGAACCCAGAAAGGTTCTGCAGCAGTTATGTGAAAACGTGCATAGTTCAGTACTCCAAAAATATGACTGATACTTCCGTATTTATTGATTCCCTAAAGAAGTAACAACTGATCCCAAATTCTGTATATTCTGTATGTTCCCAAAATGTATTAGTTTACATGCAAACACTGGTCTCTCTGTCACCCCTGGACTTCCCTGTGGTCTCCAGGGGAGCTATCAGTCTGCACCTAGGTGGCACAGGTCTCTGCACAATTGTCCTACTCTGCCAAGTGCTGGTAGCAAGATCAGGTCATGTATGATGTCCTTGGCCTCCACTGGATCATTTGTATAAAGAAGAGATGTTTGTGCTGTTACTATTATTATTATTGCCATTTATATAGCACCAATAGATTCCATAGCGCTTTACAATATTATGGGGGGGGGGATTTAACCATAAATAGGACAATTACAAGAAAACTTACAGGAACGATAGGTTGAAGAGGACCCTGCTCAAACAGGCTTACAGTCTATAGGAGGTGGGTATGAAACACATTAGGACAGGAAATAGCAATCAAAAATGGTGGGAGTGAGGCAAAGCTGGAGGATAGAGTAGAGTGCTGCCCTTTAAGAGAGAGCAACAGACAGGTATGTGTTGAGATATAAAGCTTTGTTTTTTCACACAAGACTAAGGGAAATGGGTTCTGGGCCTCTTTAAGCAGAAAAAAATAATTGGAAAAGTGGGTTTTAGTGCAAGTTGACATGAAGAGGCTCTGGAAATATCAGTTTACATAAATGACAATCGCTTTATTAAACCATCGTATAAACATATAACTTTTTCCAAAATGTTACCCAAGTGAAAAGATGAAAGAAATATTACTTATTACAGAAATAGATATAGTGTGCATAAATAAATAATGAGAATGGGACACATATATAGAAAGGTTTATAGTTATATACGGATGTAAAAATATTCAATTCGAAAAAACAAAACTTGTTTCATAGAATGTAATTGGACAAAATGCAATAATCGATCATTTGCTTTGTCAGATGCTGAAAAATGTAGAAACTCATCCCTATATTAGTACATGTCAGGATGCATACGCTATATAAATTCATCTTGGGTCAAATAGTGTTTGAAAACTGACAGTCTCTCTGGTTTTCCCTGCTTCACTCCATGTACAAGCAAGGAAGACCATAGAGACTTGTTTCTCAAACACTGATCCAAGTTGCACATATATGGTTGAAGGACACTGTCATATACTAAAGATAAGGATGAGTTTTCCTCCTTTTCTTTTACATATACTTAATTTAGAAAAAAATTTAATATATTCCTTTCAAAACTTTGTGAGAGGGTTATTATATTAAAAATAGTTTTGAGGTGACAGTTGTCCATAAAGTTGGTGAATTTAACTAGAAGATATTGTCTGTTGAGATACAGTTCCTATAAGAAGATACCGGCTGTTGAGATACAGTTCCTATAAGAAGATATCGGCTGTTGAGATACAGTTCCTATAAGGAGATATCGTCTGTTGAGATACAGATCCTATAAGAAGATATCGTCTGTTGAGATACAGATCCTATAAGAAGATACCGGCTATTGAGATACAGTTCCTATAAGAAGATACCGGCTGTTGAGATACAGTTTCCATAAGAAGATACCGGCTATTGAGATACAGTTCCTATAAGAAGATACCGGCTATTGAGATACAGTTCCAATAAGAAGATACCGGTTGTTGAGATACAGTTCCTATAAGAAGATATCGGTTGTTGAGATACAGTTCCTATAAGAAGATACCGTCTGTTCAGATACAGATCCTATAAGAAGATACCGGCTGTTGAGATACAGTTCCTATAAGAAGATACCGGCTATTGAGATACAGTTCCTATAAGAAGATACCGGTTGTTGAGATACAGTTCCTATAAGAAGATACCGGATGTTGAGATACAGTTCCTATAAGAAGATACCGGCTGTTGAGATACAGTTCCTATAAGAAGATACCGGTTGTTGAGATACAGTTCCTATAAGAAGATACCGGCTGTTGAGATACAGTTCCTATAAGAAGATACCGTCTGTTCAGATACAGTTCCTATAAGAAGATACCGGCTATTGAGATACAGTTCTTATAAGAAGATACCGGCTGTTGAGATACAGATCCTATAAGAAGATATCGGTTGTTGAGATACAGTTCCTATAAGAAGATACCGGTTGTTGAGATACAGTTCCTATAAGAAGATACCGTCTGTTGAGATACAGTTCCTATAAGAAGATACCGGCTGTTGAGATACAGTTCCTATAAGAAGATACCGGCTATTGAGATAAAGATCCTATAAGAAGATATCGGTTGTTGAGATACAGTTCCTATAAGAAGATACCGTCTGTTGAGATACAGTTCCTATAAGAAGATACCGGCTGTTGAGATACAGTTCCTATAAGAATATACCGGCTATTGAGATACAGATCCTATAAGAAGATATCGGTTGTTGAGATACAGTTCCTATAAGAAGATACCGGCTGTTGAGATACAGATCCTATAAGAAGATACCGGCTGTTGAGATACAGTTCCTATAAGAAGATATCGGCTGTTGAGATACAGTTCCTATAAGAAGATACCGGCTGTTGAGATACAGTTCCTATAAGAAGATACCGGCTATTGAGATACAGTTCTTATAAGAAGATATCGGTTGTTGAGATACAGTTCCTATAAGAAGATACCGGCTGTTGAGATACAGTTCCTATAAGAAGATATCGGCTGTTGAAATACAGTTCCTATGAGAAGATATCGGCTGTTGAGATACAGTTCCTATAAGAAGATACCGGCTGTTGAGATACAGTTCCTATAAGAAGATACCGGCTATTGAGATACAGTTCCAATAAGAAGATACCGACTGTTGAGATACAGTTCCTATGAGAAGATATCGGCTGTTGAGATACAGTTCCTATAAGAAGATACCGGCTGTTGAGATACAGTTCTTATAAGAAGATACTGGCTGTTGAGATACAGTTCCTATAAGAAGATAACGGCTGTTGAGATACAGTTCCTATAAGAAGATACCGGTTGTTGAGATACAGTTCCTATAAGAAGATATCGGTTGTTGAGATACAGTTCCTATAAGAAGATACCGGCTGTTGAGATACAGTTCCTATAAGAAGATACAGGCTGTTGAGATACAGTTCCTATAAGAAGATATCGGCTGTTGAGATACAGTTCCTATAAGAAGATACCGGCTGTTGAGATACAGTTCCTATAAGAAGATACCGGCTACTGAGATACAGTTCCTGTAAGAAGATACTGGCTATTGAGATACAGTTCCTATAAGAAGATATCGCTTGTTGAAATACAGATATCGGCTGTTGAGATACAGATCCTATAAGAAGATATCGGCTGTTGAGATACAGTTCCTATAAGAAGATACTGGCTGTTGAGATACAGTTCCTATAAGAAGATACCGGCTGTTTAGATACAGTTCCTATAAGAAAATACCGGCTACTGAGATACAGTTCCTATAAGAAGATACCGGCTATTGAGATACAGTTCCTGTAAGAAGATACTGGCTATTGAGATACAGTTCCTATAAGAAGATACCGGTTGTTGAGATACAGTTCCTATAAGAAGATATCGGTTGTTGAGATACAGATATCGGCTGTTGAGATACAGATCCTATAAGAATATATCGGCTGTTGAGATACAGTTCCTATAAGAAGATACCGGTTGTTGAGATACAGTTCCTATAAGGAGATATTGGCTGTGGAGATACAGTTCCTATAAGAAGATACCGGCTGTTGAGATACAGTTCCTATAAGAAGATACCGGCTACTGAGATACAGTTCCTATAAGAAGATACCGGCTATTGAGATACAGTTCCTGTAAGAAGATACTGGCTATTGAGATACAGTTCCTATAAGAAGATACCAGCTGTTGAGATACAGTTCCTATAAGAAGATATCGGCTGTTGAGATACAGTTCCTATAAGAAGATACCGGTTGTTGAGATACAGTTCCTATAAGAAGATACCGGCTATTGAGATACAGTTCTTATAAGAATATATCGGTTGTTGAGATACAATTCCTATAAGAAGATATCGGTTGTTGAGATACAGATATCGGCTGTTGAGATACAGTTCCTATGAGAAGATATCGGCTGTTGAGATACAGTTCCTATAAGAAGATACCGGCTGTTGAGATACAGTTCCTATAAAAAGATACCGGCTGTTGAGATACAGTTCCTATAAGAAGATACCGGCTATTGAGATACAGTTCCAATAAGAAGATACCGGCTGTTGAGATACAGTTCCTATGAGAAGATATCGGCTGTTGAGATACAGTTCCTATAAGAAGATACTGGCTGTTGAGATACAGTTCCTATAAGAAGATACCGGCTGTTGAGATACAGTTCCTATAAGAAGATACCGGCTACTGAGATACAGTTCCTATAAGAAGATACCGGCTATTGAGATACAGTTCCTGTAAGAAGATACCGGTTGTTGAGATACAGTTCCTATAAGAAGATATCGGTTGTTGAGATACAGATATCGGCTGTTGAGATACAGATCCTATAAGAAGATATCGGCTGTTGAGATACAGTTCCTATAAGAAGATAGCGGTTGTTGAGATACAGTTCCTATAAGGAGATATTGGCTGTTGAGATACAGTTCCTATAAGAAGATACCGGCTGTTGAGATACAGTTCCTATAAGAAGATACCGGCTACTGAGATGCAGTTCCTATAAGAAGATACCGGCTAATGAGATACAGTTCCTGTAAGAAGATACTGGCTATTGAGATACAGTTCCTATAAGAAGATACCGGTTGTTGAGATACAGATATCGACTGTTGAGATACAGTTCCTATAAGAAGATATCGGCTGTTGAGATACAGTTCTTATAAGAAGATACCGGCTGTTGAGATACAGTTCCTATAAGGAGATATTGGCTGTTGAGATACAGTTCCTATAAGAAGATACCGGCTGTTGAGATACAGTTCCTATAAGAAGATATCGTCTGTTGAGATACAGTTCCTATAAGAAGATATCGGCTGTTGAGATACAGATCCTATAAGAAGATACCGGCTATTGAGATACAGTTCCTGTAAGAAGATACCGGCTATTGAGATACAGTTCCTATAAGAAGATACCGGCTGTTGAGATACAGTTCCTATAAGAAGATACCGGCTGTTGAGATACAGATCCTCTAAGAAGATACCGGCTATTGAGATACAGTTCCTGTAAGAAGATATCGGCTGTTGAGATACAGTTCCTATAAGGAGATATTGGCTGTTGAGATACAGTTCCTATAAGAAGATACCGGCTGTTGAGATACAGTTCCTATAAGAAGATATCGGCTGTTGAGATACAGTTCCTATAAGAAGATACCGGCTGTTGAGATACAGTTCTTATAAGAAGATACCGGCTGTTGAGATACAGTTCCTATAAGAAGATAACGGCTGTTGAGATACAGTTCTTATAAGAAGATACCGGTTGTTGAGATACAGTTCATATAAGAAGATATCGGTTGTTGAGATACAGTTCCTATAAGAAGATACCGGCTGTTGAGATACAGTTCCTATAAGAAGATACCGGCTGTTGAGTTACAGTTCCTATAAGAAGATACCGGTTGTTGAGATACAGATCCTATAAGAAGATATCGGCTGTTGAGATACAGTTCCTATAAGAAGATACTGGCTGTTGAGATACAGTTCCTATAAGAAGATACCAGCTGTTGAGATACAGTTCCTATAAGAAGATACCGGCTACTGAGATACAGTTCCTATAAGAAGATACCGGCTATTGAGATACAGTTCCTGTAAGAAGATACTGGCTATTGAGATACAGTTCCTATAAGAAGATACCGGTTGTTGAGATACAGTTCCTATAAGAAGATATCGGTTGTTGAGTTACAGATATCGGCTGTTGAGATACAGATCCTATAAGAAGATATCGGCTGTTGAGATACAGTTCCTATAAGAAGATACCGGTTGTTGAGATACAGTTCCTATAAGAAGATACCGGCTGTTGAGATACAGTTCCTATAAGAAGATACCGGCTACTGAGATACAGTTCCTATAAGAAGATACCGGCTATTGAGATACAGTTCCTGTAAGAAGATACTGGCTATTGAGATACAGTTCCTATAAGAAGATACCAGCTGTTGAGATACAGTCCCTATAAGAAGATATCGGCTGTTGAGATACAGTTCCTATAAGAAGATACCGGCTATTGAGATACAGTTCTTATAAGAAGATATCGGTTGTTGAGATACAGTTCCTATAAGAAGATATCGGTTGTTGAGATACAGATATCGGCTGTTGAGATACAGTTCCTATAAGAAGATACCGGCTGTTGAGATACAGTTCTTATAAGAAGATACCGGCTGTTGAGATACAGTTCCTATAAGAAGATACCGGCTGTTGAGATACAGTTCCTATAAGAAGATATCGTCTGTTGAGATACAGTTCCTATAAGAAGATACCGGCTGTTGAGATACAGTTCCTATAAGAAGATACCGGCTGTTGAGATACAGTTCCTATAAGAAGATACCGGCTATTGAGATACAGTTCCAATAAGAAGATACCGGCTGTTGAGATACAGATCCTATGAGAAGATATCGGCTTTTGAGATACAGTTCCTATAAGAAGATACTGGCTGTTGAGATACAGTTCCTATAAGAAGATACTGGCTGTTGAGATACAGTTCCTATAAGAAGATACCGGCTACTGAGATACAGTTCCTATAAGAAGATACCGGCTATTGAGATACAGTTCCTGTAAGAAGATACTGGCTATTGAGATACAGTTCCTATAAGAAGATACCGGTTGTTGAGATACAGTTCCTATAAGAAGATATCGGTTGTTGAGTTACAGATATCGGCTGTTGAGATACAGATCCTATAAGAAGATATCGGCTGTTGAGATACAGTTCCTATAAGAAGATACCGGTTGTTGAGATACAGTTCCTATAAGAAGATACCGGCTGTTGAGATACAGTTCCTATAAGAAGATACCGGCTGTTGAGATACAGTTCCTATAAGATGATATCGGCTGTTGAGATACAGTTTCTATAAGAAGATACCGGCTGTTGAGATACAGTTCCTATAAGAAGATACCGGCTGTTGAGATACAGTTCCTATAAGAAGATACCGGCTGTTGAGATACAGTTCCTATAAGGAGATATTGGCTGTTGAGATACAGTTCCTATAAGAAGATACCGGCTGTTGAGATACAGTTCCTATAAGAAGATATCGGCTGTTGAGATACAGTTTCTATAAGAAGATACCGGCTGTTGAGATACAGTTCCTGTAAGAAGATACCGGCTGTTGAGATACAGTTCCTATAAGAAGATACCGGCTGTTGAGATACAGATCCTATAAGAAGATACCGGCTATTGAGATACAGTTCCTGTAAGAGGATACTGGCTATTGAGATACAGTTCCTATAAGAAGATACCGGTTGTTGAGATACAGATATCGGCTGTTGAGATACAGTTCCTATAAGAAGATATCGGCTGTTGAGATACAGTTCCTATAAGAAGATATCGGCTGTTGAGATACAGTTTCTATAAGAAGATACCGGCTGTTGAGATACAGTTCCTATAAGAAGATACCGGCTGTTGAGATACAGATCCTATAAGAAGATACCGGCTATTGAGATACAGTTCCTGTAAGAAGATACCGGCTATTGAGATACAGTTCCTATAAGAAGATACCGGCTGTTGAGATACAGTTCCTATAATAAGATACCGGCTGTTGAGATACAGATCCTATAAGAAGATACCGGCTATTGAGATACAGTTCCTGTAAGAAGATATCGGCTGTTGAGATACAGTTCCTATAAGGAGATATTGGCTGTTGAGATACAGTTCCTATAAGAAGATACCGGCTGTTGAGATACAGTTCCTATAAGAAGATATCGGCTGTTGAGATACAGTTCCTATAACAGACATTTACTTTGTATGAGTTGGTTAAATTGCTGTCTGTGCCTCGGATCCTAAGAAATACACCCAAACCGGCTCCGTCTGAATTACTTTCCAATAATAAAGAGCCTTTATAGTTACTTATGTTTTGCCAAATGGCGTTTCATACTCTGACAAACACAATCTATACTCACAGGAATCCAGAAAGGTTCTGCAGCTGTTATGTGAAAACGTGCACAGTTCAGGACTCCAAAAATATGACTGATACTTCCGTATTTATTGAGTCCCTAAAGAAGTAACAACTGATCCCAAATTCTGTATATTTTGTATTTGTTCCCAAAATGTAGTAGTTTACCTACAAACACTGGTCTCTGTGTCATCCCTGGACCTCCCTGTGGTCTGGAGCTGTCAGTCTGCACCTAGGTATCACATACCTTACAAAATGTTACCCAAAGAGAAAAATAATGCTGATTACAGAAATAGATATAGTGTATAAATAAATAATGAGAGTCGGTTACATATAGAGAGATATATATATTATTAGATATAGAAATAAAAATATTATTCATATTAAAAAAACTTGTTTCGTAAAATGCAATTGAACAAAATGCAATGATGCTGACAATGTATGCAAAGTATACAACTAGGTAAATAAACATAACAAAACAAAATAAAAAAACAAAACAATAAAAACACACACATATATGTCTAAGTGATTTGGACACTCAGTGAGTACATGGAGGCACTGGAGGGTTGTTCCGGGGCAGGATGCGGACTAGAAAGGGGTGGCACTTTAGGTTGATGCCAAAGACCCCTCTTAGGTCAGGAAGTAGCGAGGGTGAGATGGGAGAGAGACGAAAGCCTTTCAGGAGATGGGAGAGAAAGATGAAAGCTTCCATGCGAGCCAATGTCTCCCCAATGCAGAGTCTGGCCCCCGCACTAAATGGAACGAGAGAACGGGTGGTCGGGCAACATTGTGCGGCAGACAGGAAGCGCTCTAGGAGTGAGAGAAACTATTTAGAAATAGAGATACATGTACACATTCTCACTGAACAAGCAGACAGGAATACGTCATGTTAATAAATAACGTAAAAAGCCACACACGTAAATTATGTACAAAAAGACAAGTCAAATCTCTAATGAGGCAGAAGTAATTAACCCATGTTACAGTGCAGCCGTGTAACCACATGTGTTCGCTTTACAAAGTTAATATTGTTTTTTGTTCATTTTAAATTACCATTTATCTGAGGCCTAGTTTGGGACACGTATAACTGTGAGATGTAAACTCCCCATACTTCATCATCATTAGAAACACTTACCAGGGGAAAACTGTGTTGGATTGTCCCAGACGGTTGTATCATGGTGAGCAGCAAAAATATTTGGAATTACAATTGTTCCTTTAGGAATGCAATATCCGGCAACACTAGGTGGGAAATGAATGCTTTTAGATGCAAAAACACAGTTACTATAGGTACCACAATGTTTATTGAGGAAGGTATGTACTGGGTGACAGTGATCAGGGATTATACACTGTGGGAGGAGCATAAATATAGCAATCAAGAGATTACACACTGTGGGAGGAGCATAGAGATAGCATTCAAGAGATTACACACTATGGGAGGAGCATAGAGATAGCAACCAAGAGATTACACACTGTGGGAGGAGCATAAAGACAGCAACCAAGAGATTACACACTGTGGGAGGAGCACAGAGACTGCAACCAAGAGATTACACACTGTGGGAGGAGCATAGAGACAGCATTCAAGAGATTACACACTGTGGGAGGAGCATAGTGACAGCAACCAAGAGATTACACACTGTGGGAGGAGCATAAAGACAGCAACCAAGAGATTACACACTGTGGGAGGAGCACAGAGACTGCAACCAAGAGATTACACACTGTGGGAGGAGCATAGAGACAGCATTCAAGAGATTACACACTGTGGGAGGAGCATAGTGACAGCAACCAAGAGATTACACACTGTGGGAGGAGCATAGAGATAGCAACCAAGAGATTACACACTGTGGTTGGAGTATAGTGACTAAAACCAAGATATTATCCACTGTGGGAGGGGCATAGAGACTGATGCCTTGATATTATCCACTGTCAGAAAAGCATAGAGAAAGTGACCATGAGATTATCTAGTGTGGGAAGGGCACAGAGACTGAGATCAAGAGATTACCCACTGTGGGAGGTGCCTAGAGCTGTGACCAGCAGATTAACCACTAGGTGAATATTAACAAGAATAGATTGAAAAACAAAATCCCCTGATACTAACCTGTACAACATCAATGATGTTACATACTAACAGTAACGCTTGTTGATTCATGTACAATGTGTGAAGAACACACATTTTTCCATCAAGCCATTCAATTTGTTGCTCTTGGTTAATGAATGCTAATTATTGCAATACACATCCGGGAGTTAAAAGAAATCCTTATCAATATATTCTTACTGCTCTGATGAATTTATTAGAGGTAGATAGAGGTCACCTATATTTAATTCTTCTCGTCCAATCAACTGCCAAAGCCTGGCCCCTTAATTTAAAAGCATATCATCCTTTCTAACATAAGATACAATGTAAGGCCTCATTAATGATTTTTCTATCCCCATCTAAGTTCCTGTATCCCCCCATCTTAGTTCCTCTAACCCCCCATCTTAGTTCCTGTAACCCCCCATCTAAGTTCCTGTAACCCCCACTATGTTGCTGTAAACCCCCCATCTTAGTTCCCTGTAACCCCCATCTATAGTTGCTGTAACCCCCATCTAGTTCCTGTAACCCCCCATCTAAGTTCCTGTATCCTCATCTTAGTTCCTCTAACCCCCATCTTGTTCCTGTAACCCCATCTGTTCCTGTAACCCCCATCTTGTTCCTGTAACCCCCATCTTAGTTCCTGTAACTCCCATCTATGTTGCTGTAACCCCCCATCTTAGTTCCTGTAACCCCCTATCTAAGTTCCTGTATCCTCTATCTTAGTTCCTCTAACCCCCATCTTAGTTCCTGTAACCCCTTACCCAAGTTCCTGTAACCCCCATCTATGCTGCTGTAACCCCTCATCTTAGTTCCTGTAACCCCCCATCTATGTTGCTGTAACCCCCCATCTATGTTCCTGTAACCCCCCATCTAAGTTCCTGTATCCCCCCATCTTAGTTCCTCTAACCCCCCATCTCTATCCCTTGTTCTGACACGTACCATATCTCTGCATTCCATCCTCCTGTCTCTCTGGGCTGTTCTTTGTTTTTGTGTAACTTTACCCCAGCACCGATACATTGAAAGTCCATCAATTACGCTTTATTCCAATTTACCTACATTTGTCGTGTTTTATCTGTATGTCTAGTGGTGTTTAACCCATTGTTCAGAACTGTGCAATATGTTAGAATTCTATAAATAATTCTAATAGGTTGATGGTTAGAAGAAAAAGACTTGATGAAACAAGTACCAGTCAATATAACCCTAAATGTGCACAGGTATAGAGGTCTATACTGTGTGTCACAGGACTAGATGAAGTCTAATGACATCTAGTGGCCTCAGTTGGTATTGCAGGAAGTCCCTTTGCAAAGTGTCTACAAATGTTGGCAAATACAAATGATGGCACTGCATCTGTTCTAGACTGGGTCTTCCATAGCCGCAAAGGCTGCAGGACCACAGATTTGCCATCACTGAGATTTAGTTCTATACTGATGTTCAATGCACATTTTAGGAATAGCGACACCAAGTGGCCATAATGTGCATTGCAGCAGATTGATAAAGAAATACTAAGATTATTATAGCAATATATAACAATATTAACACAGATAACAGAGCATTATGCCAATTTTGAGACATTGCCCACTATTGGCACACTCTGTAATACTGCGCCTTACCTGGTGTCTCTAGTGGCACAGTGTGGAACGGCGAGTGGTACAACAGGGCGCAATCTGAGCATCTCAGAAATGGTGGCATTAAGATACGGCAGAGAATTACGGTCTGAATACGTGGGGTAATTATCAGGCCCCACTGCACCTATTATCTCTTCATAAATCTTTTCTTGTGCCTGAGAGGTAAAGGTAGGAAGAACACAGAACTTTATCATTTCCTTTGTTTTAAAATAGTGAGTAAAATAAATAAATGTGTAGGTTCTTCTTTAATACAAACTGGTAGAGGCAGATGTTTGAGTAACATTATATTGGTGGCAGGTTTGGGGATTTCAGGAAGATTCTACCACAGAAATGCTGTTATACTACCTGCCTTGTTTTTTTAAGCAAATAAAGTGTGATAATGGAATAAAGGGCAGGGAGAGTGTAAAAATCCGGAATAGACATGCTGCTCAGGACGTGTCGTTTTAAAACTTGAGCAGACCCCCCAATAGTCTTAATTTTGGCGTAAAGTCCAGAATTTAGGGTGCTGTCCCACCATGTCAGATTTGTTCCCTGGTGTCCTATTTTTGGGAACACCAGAGATCTGTTCCCAAAATGCATTAGCGTCCCTGGCCACTTTTCCCCTTGCCCATCGATGTCCCATGAAGAATTGGGAGTTATGCTTGAGTGGAGACTTGAGTGAGCGTCGGTTTTATGGAGTGTGGGGAGCTAGAATGAGCGTACTGCTCAGGTAGTGTGTGTTATAGGAGGTGTGGGTAACTAGAATGAGCATACTGCTCAGTTAGTGTGTGTTATAGGAGGTGTGGGGAGCTGCAGTGAGTGTGCTGCTCAGGTAGTGTGTGTTATAGGAGGTGTGGGGAGCTGCAGTGAGTGTACTGCTCAGGTAGTGTGTGTTATAGGAGGTATGAGGAGCTGCATTGAGTGTGCTGCTCAGGTAGTTTGGGTTATAGGAGGTGTGGGGAGCAGGGCCGCCATCAGGGCATGACAACCGTAATGGTTGTCATGGGCCCGGCGGTCCTGGGGGGCCTGGACTGCTCAGGTCGTCCGGGCCCCACATCCAGTGGTGTACATACCGGGTCGCAGGGGGCCCTGCGACCCTGGTATGTACCCACTGGGCCAGCCTCTTCTCCTGGGGGGCCCAGCAGCTGGTCACCTCAGGGCCCCCCAGAGGCTGGCCCTGCTGACAGCCGGCGGGCGGGCCGTCGCGCGAGGGAGCACTCTCCTCTGTGTGCTTCCTCTTCAGCTCCCTACTGATCTTCCGGCGCCGGCATTAGTACTCAGCGCGCGAGGGAGCTGAAGAGGAAGCACTCAGCCAGGGAGAGTGCTCCCTCGCACGCTGGCTGGCTGTCAGGGGGAGAGGAGGGAGGGAAGGGGAGAGAGGAGGGAGGGAAGGAGGGAGGGAGGGGAAGGAAATTTGAGGGAGGGGGAGAAGAAGGAAATTGAGAGGGGGAGAAGAAGGAGAGGAGGGGAGAATAAGGAAATTGGAGAGAGGGGGAGAAGAAGGAAATTAGAAAGAGGGAGGGAGGGGGAGAAGAAGGAAATTGGAGGGGGGAGAAGGAAATTGACGGGGGGAGGGGGAGAGATTGTCATCCATCATACACACACACAATGCACCCCTTGCACACAGAAAAACACACAATGCATTACACACAGACACACATACACAAGCAATGCATCCCTTACAGACGCACACACTGCATCCCATACATACACAAACTCACCTTGCAGCCCTTACACATACAAACACAGATTCACACAATGCATTCCTTACACACATCAGGACATCCCCCCCACACACACTCCACCCCCTGTGAACAAACTCATTGGTGGAACATGAAGGTGGATCATGGGACCCAGACATTGAGCTGTGTAAAGGGCCCTCAAAAAAATGGAGCTGCTTCCCATTGATCCCAGAACATTGATTTTTGTGACCACAGTTACAAACCGCCTCCAGAGAGCCTGTTCTACACCAGACCAGTGGAGCCAGACGGCAGCTAGAGCCCATCATCTTCCTCATCTGGTTGTAAGTAGGCAATCTAGTATATTATTTGTGGCACTAATCTCTAATTTACCTCACATTAAAGGGACACTATAGTCCCCAGAACCACTACAGCTTAATGTAGTGGTTCTGGTGTCTAGCCTGTCCCTGCAGGCCTTTTAATGTAAACACGGCGGCACTGCAGCACTGTGTTAGTTAACATGGCAGATCATATGGGTGGGGCATTGTGATGTCACATGGGGGGCGGCAAACTTTACTTTTGCCTAGGGCGGCAAAAATCCTTGCACCGGCCCTGCAGACACTGCATTCCTGTGGGCGGACTCGGGGGGGGGGGCAGCACTTTGGGCGGACTCGGGTGCAGGCACCGGGGGGCCCAGACCTTGAGCTGTGTCAGGGGCCCCAAAATTTCTGATGGCAGCCCTGGTGGGGAGCTGCAGTGAGCATGCTGCTCAGGTAGTGTGGGTTATAGGAGATGTGGGGAGCTGCAGTGAGCGTGCTGCTCAGGTAGTGTGTGTTATAGGAGGTGTAGGGAGATGCAGTGAGTGCACTGCTCAGGTAGTGTGTGTTATAGGAGGTGTGATTGCTGCAGTGAGTGTGCTGCTCAGGTAGTCTGGGTTATAGGACGTGTGTGGAACTGCAGTGAGCGTACTGCTCAGGTAGTGTGTGTTATAGGAGGTGTAGGGAGATGCAGTGAGTGCACTGCTCAGGTAGTTTGTGTTATAGGAGGTGTAGGGAGATGCAGTGAATGCACTGCTCAGGTAGTTTGTGTTATAGGAGGTGCGGGGAGCTGTAGTGAGTGTGCTGCTCAGGTAGTGTGTATTATAGGAGGTGTGGGAGCTAGAATGAGTGTACTGTTCAGGTAGTGTGGGTTATAGGAGGTGTGCGGAACTGCAGTGAGCGTACTGGTCAGGTAGTGTGTGTTATAGGAAGTGTGGGGAGCTTCAGTGAGTGTGCTGCTCAGGTAGTGTGTTATAGGAGGTGTGATTGCTGCAGTGAGCGTGCTGCTCAGGTAGTGTGTGTTATAGAAGATGTGGGGAGCTGGAGCGAGTGTGTTGCTCAGGTAGTGTGGGTAATAGGAGGTGTGTGGAGGTACAGTGAGCCTCCTGCTCAGGTAGTGTGTAATAGGAGGTGTGATGGCTCCAGTGAGTGTGCTGCTCAGGTAGTGTGTGTTATAGGAGGTGTGGGGAGCTGCAGTGAGTGTGCTGCTCAGGTAGTGTGTGTTATAGGAGGTATGGGGAGCTGCAGTGAGTGTGCTGCTCAGGTAGTGTGTGTTATAGGAGGTGTGGGGAGCTGAAGTGAGTGTGCTGCTCAGGTAGTGTGTGTTATAGGAGGTGTGGGGAGCTGCAGTGAGCGTACTGTTCAGGTAGTGTGTGTTATAGGAGGTGTGGGGAGCTGCACTGAGCGTACTGCTCAGGTAGTGTGGGTTATAGTGAGTGTGGGGAGATGGAATGAGCTCAGGATTTAGAAGAAAACATTCTGGCCAACCGGTCATACCTCAGGATTATGAAGGAGGTAGGCCACTGTCCATGTTAATAAGGAGGCCGTGGTCCCCGTGCCTCCTATAAACAGATCGACTACTGACATATGCAGGTGGTCCTCAGAAAGTTCTGTCACCCCATCGCTGTCAGTCTTGCCTTTTTCCTTCAGGAAGTGAATCATGGCATCCAGGATATCTCTCTCAGATTCGCTGGCTGCAGGATGGGACTGGAAGGAATCGGAGATCTGAGATTATTTCAATGATTCAATCCAGTCAGATGGGAAGGTGCTCATAATAATATGATAAGTATTTTGTAACCACTGAGCTAACGCTCCAGCTCACCTCGGGTCCATTAACATTTCCATTCACAAACCTTATGCTTCTCCACTTGCGTTTTCACAAAACAATTTCTTCTTTCTGTCGCCTCCAGGAGAAGATTTAAGGTTCTGTTTGGCAATTTCTAGGAAGGATAATGATCAAATCAATGTAGGTATGAAGATTTAATTGCACCGAAATAGAGTTAATTGACTGTGTTTGATCTGTGTCACCCTGCAGGGGGGAAGAGACTCATAGCTCCCTCTGTTTGTGTCACCCTGCAGGAGGAGGACAGACTCGTAGCTTTGTCTGTTTGTGTCACTGTGTCATCCTGCAGGAGAAGACAGACCCATGGATCCTTCTGTAGACCTCCAAACTGACCCAATTTAGGTGAGAGGTCCAAATTTCAAGGTTATGTCCCGCTATCCTGACTTTGTTCCCATTTTTGGGGACACCAGGAAACTACTTTCAAAAAGTGTAGAGAAAGCATTTTGTTAGACACTTTTGCCTTATGCTCACAGCACTATGACTGTGCAGAGAGCACTAAAACAGCAATCTCTGCATGGTCCTTGGTGGGCCGGCCTGTTTGATTGGCAGACAGCGTGGCATGTTCTCACTGGCGTCCCCATTTACCCTTTGCCATGCTTGTCTGTGTCACTGTGTCACTCACCGAGACCCATAGGTCCTCCATCTATGTCATCTTGTGTGCTGAGGAATGAACTATGGCATTATCTGTTCATTAAGGATACAATATCTCACCCTAAGAATGGGTATGAAGTCCAAGATAGTGACACGAGGAGACTCCCATAAATTTACTATATCAACAATGCACTTGTGGATTTCCTGGAATGTGGGGTCTGACAGCTCGTACTAAAAGAGAAACAATTGAAAATAATTTCAGGTTAATTTTACCACCAAATGTAATGAGGAGACAGGGGAGGACAGAAGGTAGGCAGGTGGTGGGTGATGGTATTTGAGAGGTGACTATGAGAGACAGGTAGCTAGGTAAGTAAATACCTGCAGAGGAGACCAGTTAAAGAAGGAAGGTATGGGGCAGCGGTGGCTGACGTTGGTGGCTCCCCAGTTATTTGTAAACTAAATTAACCAGTCAACATTCATCATGGAAAATTAAGTTCATAAACATATTGGATGCCAATGTTGCCCATCATTGGTATGTGGAATGTTAGCAAAGCAGGTAGAGGAGGGTAGAGCCGCTTGTTCACCTTGGTGCCGAATGTCAGTGTGGCTATGATCCTGCACGTGCGCTTAGAGAAGTCTTCAGACACATTGAATGGGGCCCCCTTTGTGTTCATGTAATCCTGGGAGGAGGGAAGACAGGACCTTTATGATTTCACCATCGGCCAAATATATTAATCTGGTCAGATATCACGACCAAGCTCCCCCAAACTTCACTCATTCACAACTTTATTTTATTCTTCATTCACACAGGAACAAACTCGCTATTTCCAGTGTCACGCAAATATCTGCCTGAGAAATAGTGAAGACTCACCTCCCTTGTAAACATGATATAAACTAATTCACTACTGCATGTTCGTCATTCTCAAGCATATTGCACTGTACAGAGAATCTGTCTAAATTTAAATCTAATGTTTTGCACAATAAACGCAATACTCTCCAGACAAAGCAGAGTCTTTACAGAGAACCAACAATCTGTTTGATATTCAAATCCTATTTAATGAGCTGTTTTTGATTGAGCTCCAACACATTCTTCCCCATCACACGGACATCCAACCACCCTATATATATTCACTTGGCACATCTCCCTGGCCTCGCCATGCAGCAGAGTCTCCAGGTCTTGGCGCACGCGGTTCTGCAAAGAGGAGTGTGTGAGGCGTCTCTGCACCTTCCAGATTGGGGTATAATCTCCCAAAGACAAGTCCTTTCCACCCAGAGATATGAGGTCACCTGTATGAAGGTAAATTTTACAAATACGGTGACACAAACAGTACAGTACCCGAATCGGGCACCCTCCTATGATGTCATGGGTCACACAAATACAGCTTTCTGCCGCCCTTATTTCTCTTGGAGCACGAAGGTGACGCTAGCCGACTATTTAAACTTACCTGTCCCACTGTCATGGAGTATAACCCTAATAGGCTCAGAGTCAGGAAACAAAGCCAAGGTCAATACCAGAATACAATAGTATATCACAAGGAACGCACTACAGGGTACTGGGAACAGAAACAACAATAGGGCACAGAATCTATTGTTTATTTGATTGGTCCACGTCATGCCTGCGCCCCAAAACATGCCTGAATGGGGGCGCCGGAATGACATGGGCCAATGGGAGCCGACCGCATGGTTAGGCTTCCATTTCCTCTATAAGAACGTGCTTGCGACGCAAGCAATGTTCCCAATACTGTACAGGCCGTGCGCTGATCAGACTGTTTGGTGCGTGGCCCAATCGGAGGACCCCTGCCGGACCAGGTAAGTACCGTTATACCTACACATTGTTGATCTGTTATGGTTCTTTTTTGCCCAATAGTGTGTTCCTTATATTCTCTGACTCACTGGTATTGACCTTTGCCATTGTTGGCATTGATCTCTGTACTCTCATTTACAGTTTGTCTTTGGTTATTCTGATTTCTACTGCCCTTAACTTGCGCTATTACTCTGACTACTGTATTACATTCAACCCGGCCATTCTAAGGTCCAGTAGTACTGAGTTACTTTTCCTTTATTGTGTACTGGGTTTGTGTGTTTAGGTTCTTATCCAGACATTATCTGGATGGACAAACAGGGAACATTAAGCTTGTCACGGAATGCTGGTCACTTCTCCCGGAGCTGGACCATTATTAACCAATGGCCATTTTCTAGAGAGAAGGACATCCCATATGACTAAGATAGAACTTACCTTTTACCTGCACCAGATACCATTTGTTCTTGTGCAGTAGTGTTCAATCTCTGATCTCCAGAATTTTGAGAGCTACATTCCCCGTGATGCACAAGGAGTCTTTGGGCAAGGCAAGGTTAAACAATGTATTCTAGAACCAATCCTGCATTAAGCTCCATGACACCCAGAGGTATGTGTTCCAATGGGAAATCTACCCTAAACCCAGTAAATCCAGCCCCAGCTAACTCCTATTCAATAAACTGACCCATCGGCCACAATACAGACTGGCAGAGCTATATTTGAAGGAAAGACGATTGAGTTCTTATCCATACATAAAGAAAATAATTAATTCCTTTTCTAAACAATGAAAGATATGCCAGTAATGAGTGCTGCGATTGTGCTCCAGAAAAGTAACCAAATAGTAGCCAGTGCCACAAAAACTCTCCAACCCCTCACCACATATTTATTACCAATGTAGCTTGGGGGTCTCCCAGCAAAGTCTGCCCATTTCTTAACCAGCGCTTCACGAATCAGAGAGGTTGTGTTTAATACAACAAAGTCTGTAAGGAAAGGAATATGACAAGAAGATGTATTATACCACGAATGACCTCTTAATGGAGAGAAATAGAACGGTAATCAGATGGGGGAGATAAATAAATACTAATTATTATTATTGGCATTTATAAAGTGCCAACATATTCCGCAGCGCTGTACAATTGAGAGGAGTACAATATACACCGACAAATACAAAAGGTAAAGAGGGCTTTAATCGTAGGTGAGTGCAAGGTCACATGACTCGGGATTAAATTGTCCACCCTAATACCTCAGTAGGAGTTAGCTAATTATCTGCTGAAAATAACGGTTATTATTATGGGAAAACAAATAAGCTTCTAATGCATCACTTTTCTTATAGCATTTTAGAAGTTAAGTGTTAAATCCAGTTACATTGTGGTTTGTGGAATAAAAACACGTGTCTGTTATGACTGGTTATTCAATAATTTCGCATTTTCACAGTAAACACCCTAACATCCTGTGTACCTTTCATATTAACGTATGCATACCGCAGGGCCGTCGCTAGGTGGCAAAAATATTAGGGGCTTTAGCCTACGGGGTAAACTTTATAAATGTATAAATCTTTAAAAAACTGTATAAATCTCATTATGGCACCAAATCTCTCAATGAATTCACAATATTATATAAACTGCACACGCGTTGTATTAACATCGATCCATGGTGTATTAACCCGGCACTCACAGCAATACCCCCACAATCTGCTGTATATTAATTAGCTCCAAGAAGTGTGCATTAAAATCCCTCTGTATTACAGGGGATCTGGCTGATGACATTAGACCCATGACATTTCAGAACCTAAGTCAGCCCCCCACAGCAACTCCCCAGTATGGAAATACATTCTCACCCAAAGCTAAATGCACAGGTGTCAGACCTTAAATCCCTCATCCTCTCCCACAGTCCCCGCAGCAAGAGACACAAGGGGCTTATTCACTAAACAGCAAAACATGGTGAATGGAAACTGAATTGCGAATGTTCTGCAGAACCTTAGTTTATTTTCTACATTGATTTTGAGGACAAATATGCCACTTCAAAGAAAAAAACTGACTGCCTGCCTGTTCCAGAACTCTCAATCTACACAGCCACAGACAGTTTCCGAGAGCCTGCAACTTTTAAAGAAACAGTTATTTTGAAATAAATTTAGATTTTACAGCTCTAGCATTGATTTACTAAACCATACACCGTGTTCCTAATTTGTTGTGTTTGTAACTACTTTATATATATCGCACTAGTTTCTACAAAACATTGATCTACAAAGTAGAATTATTTGTATTAGAGTTCATTTCTGCTGTTCCTTTAATAGATGCCCCCATTTGTATAGCTCTCTCGAGTCTATACAATATATATTTGTTGTACATTGTTCCTGTGTGCATCGTGCAATTTCTGTTTTCCACTTCATCTTTGTTGAGCATGCAAAAAAATTTATATTATCTACTAATAATACTAATATTATCGATTACATGGAAGGATTAATACCTATACACATATTTGACTAATGATGTAAACGATATCATACATTACTTTAAATGATTTTTTTGAACTTTAGATGTTTTGTTTTTGTTGTTCATTATTTACAAAAAGTGCAAATTGTTGGAAATGTAAAATTTAAGGCCAAAATAGTCGAAATAGCAGAATTATCTAAGCGGCTACTTTCGCCATACATTTGAAATTCATTTTGAATTCACTTTGAAGACCCGACAATTTTCAGTTGAGTGAATAAGCCTGTATATAGCAATCAAAACAATAGAATTTCTACATTTAATGCAGATCCCTGTCTGTTCTAGTACCATTACACATGACAGGTCTAGATCGTAAACAGGTCCTCCTCATAACTTGGCAACCTTTCATCATTCTCTTAATATATTTGTATGGTCGTTGTACAGCGCTGTAGAATATGTTAGTGCTCTGTAAACAATCAGAATAAATACACACTCACCTTTCTCCCAGAAGCTCAGGCGGTAGATGGGGCCATATTTTTGGGATAGCTGAAGAAAATGAACCGGCAGGTCAGCACGCCCCAAATGAAACAAGTTACCTACAAAGGGGAAAGCTGGGGGACGTGGGGGGTATTGGATGCAAGGCTGGCCAGATCTAGATCTTTGGATTTGGGACCTAAATAAATAAACACAGGACAGGAGGAGAAGCAGAGGTATGAGCAGAATAATGGCCATGGTGAAATGGGGCAAAAGGAAGGGACAGGCATATTTATATAGGAATGGGTATATAACCTTGGGAAGACCAAAGGGGAGGGAGAGCAAGGAAATGTACATAGACGAGGTGGGGCCAGTGCATAGGGAACATTTCAGAATGAATTGATCTCATGTGGTCCAGCATGGACTGTTTGACTGTTTTTAGTGATTAGCTCTATTTATTGGTATTGCGAAAACACCTGTTTTTTTATTTTATTTTACTTGGTTTAACCACAGCGGCCATCTTTGCATCATTGCTCATGTCAGATTTTGGTTATACTCGTATTTACAGAAACCTCAATATCTAATATCTAAGTGTCTCCACTACTGCTCAGTGAAGGCCACTCTTGCCCAGGAGGTTCCGTTAGCTGTCCTGAGTTAAGCCGTGCAATGCAGGGCTAGCACATTGGATGAGAATATCTGCAACACTGGCAAAGCTCAGTAAAGAGTAAAACTACATTTTATCATGTGTATATCACATTCATTCTATATGCATTCAGCACGTACATGCCATATACACTGTCCATGCAGCACATACATTCTATATACACGGTAGGTGCAGCACATACATTCTATATACACGGTACACGCAGCACATACATTCTATATACACGGTACACGCAGCACATACATTTTATATACGCTGTACATTTAGCACATACATTCTACATACACTGTACATGCAGCACATACATTTTATATGTGGGATTGCCACATGTAAGGATTCCAAAATATGGATCTATCTACTAAACACAACCACCTCCCTAATTTGACACTCTTAAATATGACAATCACCTAATGTACTTAAAATGTATGCTGTACTTAAAGGACCACTCTAGGCACCCAGACCACTTCAGTTTAATGAAGTGGTTTGGGTGCCAGGTCCAGCTAGGATTTACCCATTTTTTTAATAAACATAGCAGTTTCAGAGAAACTGCTATGTTTATGAATGGGTTAAGCCTTCCCCCAAAGCCTCTAGCGGCTGTCTCATTGACAGCCGCTAGAGGCGCTTGCGTGATTCTCACTGTGAAAATCACAGTGAGAGCACGCAAGCGTCCATAGGAAAGCATTGATAATGCTTTCCTATACGACCGGCTGAATGCACACGCAGCTCTTACCCGACGGGGTAAGTTTTACCCCTCTTCCCCCTTCCAGAGCCGGGCGGGAAGGGGACCCTGAGGGTGGGGGCACCCTCAGGGCACTATAGTGCCAGGAAAACGAGTATGTTTTCCTGACACTATAGTGGTCCTTTAATGTGTATGCTGTATGTATATAAAAGGCATGTGATAAATGTATATGGAATGTATGTTGCCTGTATATAGGATAGATAGAGCTCCATTCTCCTCCTCTCCCCCATAGATAGAGCTCCATTCTCCTCCTCTCCACCATAGATAGAGCTCCATTCTCCTCCTTTCCCCCTTAGACAGAACTCCATTCTCCTCCTCTCTCCCATAGATAGAGCTCCATTCTCCTCCTTTCCCCCATAGAGCTCTATTCTCATCTTCTCCCCCATAGATAGAGCTCCATTCTTCTCCTCTCCCCCATAGAGCTCCATTCTCCTCCTCCTTCCCAGTAGAGTTCCATTCTCCTCCTCGATAGAGCTCCATTCTCCTCCTCGATAGAGCTCCATTCTCCCCCTCGATAGAGCTCCAATCTCCTCCTCTCCCCCATAGAGCTCCATTCTCCTCCTCCTTCCCAGTAGATAGAGTTCCATTCTCCTCCTCGATAGAGCTCCATTCTCCTCCTCGATAGAGCTCCAATCTCCTCCTCTCCCCCATAGAGCTCCATTCTCATCTTCTCCCCCATAGATAGAGCTCCATTCTCCTCCTCCTTCCCAGTAGATAGAGCTCCATTCTCCTCCTCTCCCCCATAGATAGAGCTCCATTCTCCTCCTCCTTCCCTGTAGATAGAGCTCCATTCTCCTCCTCCTTCCCCGTAGATAGAGCTCCATTCTCCCCTCCTCCTTCCCCGTAGAGAGATCGATTCTCCCCCTCTCCCCCATAGAGCTCCATTCTCCTCCTCCTTCCCAGTAGATAGAGCTCCATTCTCCTCCTCTCTATGTGTGATATCAGGGCAATAATGGAAATACCGGCAAGTATCTATAACTGCTATTAATGTAAGAATTAAGAAACTATTTTGGCTTAATTAATGCCACATAAATTTTTACAATAATTGTGTATATGTAATAAACAATACTTTTTATATAAAATTATGCATATAAATGTAGCAGCCCCAAGCTACAGCAGCCCACCAAAAAAATCTGCAGTTTCAAGGTGGGCCAGTTGACGCTGATAGTGGGGGCAGAGAACGGCACCTGGCCAACCCAGGTTAAAGGACCACTATAGTGCCAGGAAAACATAATCGTTTTCCTGGCTCTATAGGGTCCTTGGGTTCCCCTCACCCTCTGGGCCCCCCTCCCGCCGGGCTCTAGGGTGAGGAAGGCGTTAATCCCTTACCTTTTTTCCAGCGCCGGGCTCCCTAGGCGCTGGGGACTCTCCTCCTCCTTTCCCAGTCATCGGCTTAATGCGCATGTGGATGCTGGCATCTTCTCACTGTAAAAATCACAATGGGTAAGCGCCTCTAGCGGCTGTCAATGAGACAACCACTAGAGGCTGGATTAACCCATTTGTAAACATAGCAGTTTCTCTGAAACTGCTATGTTTACAGCAGAAAGGGTTAATCCTAGATGGACCTGGCACCCAGACCACTTCATTGAGCTGAAGTGGTCTGGGTGCCTATAGTGGTCCTTTAATAGTCAAACCGTTCTAAAATTCCTGGAGTGCTTCTTTAACTGGAGACACTGATAAAACCATTTATCACAATGCTGTATTAACGTCCAGTCTGTCCTATAGGATGCACTTGGTTTTTACAAAGATCACAATGATTGCAAATCAGATGTCTGCTAATAGCCCTGACCTTGTCAGGTTTCTTATCATTTGATCTGATTGATGTCAATTGTAGGACCTTGCTATAGTTTCTCCCGCTCACAAAATGTCAAGGAGAAGGGAGACAGCGTGAAGAGAGGGGGTGCACAGACCAAAGATAATAAAACAAGCAGGACAGTCAAGAGAGAAATTGGGACATAGTATGAATCAGCAAGATCTAAATGACAAAGATGGCATCACACCTGGGGGTAAGGGGGGTGTCTCCATTCGAGTCTATTGCCAAATAGAAGCGTCCTGCTCTATCATAACACATCACCAAGAACAGGAAGCCTGGCACTGCCAGTATCTGTATAATATACATTAACCCTATAATAGCAGCGCAAGACTGGCACTGCCAGTATCTGTATAATATACATTAGCCCTATAATAGCAGCGCAAGACTGGCACTGCCAGTATCTGTATAATATACATTAGCCCTATAATAGCAGCGCAAGACTGGCACTGCCAGTATCTGTATAATATACATTAGCCCTATAATAGCAGCGCAAGACTGGCACTGCCAGTATCTGTATAATATACATTAACCCTATAATAGCAGCGCAAGACTGGCACTGCCAGTATCTGTATAATATACATTAGCCCTATAATAGCAGCGCAAGACTGGCACTGCCAGTATCTGTATAATATACATTAGACCTATAATAGCACCGCAAGACTGGCACTGCCAGTATCTGTATAATATACATCAACCCTATAATAGCACCGCAAGACTGGCACTGCCAGTATCTGTATAATATACATTAGCCCTATAATAGCACCGCAAGACTGGCACTGCCAGTATCTGTATAATATACATTAGCCCTATAATAGCACCGCAAGACTGGTATTGAGGTTGCGCTGGGCACCATAATGTATTACTGCAAGGCTGGCTATGCCAGTATACTCTACAAAAGTAGTCAAAAGCAACACAAGTATTGGCACTGGCAAAAAAAATAGAGAAAGATTTATTAAGTCAAAATAGTAAATAAGGAGCAATCACCATGGAAACCAATAACATGTCATAATATGCTTAGCATGTTGCTTGTATGTTACCATTTCTTTAAAGGAACCTATAGTCCCAAAATGAAATCATTACGGGACTATAGTCTGCCTTCTGTCCACCTCCTTTTCTAGTCAAAATTTAAGTCTAAAAGAGATTACTCACCTGGTTTCCAGCTCAGCCCCCAGTGATGTCAGCACCCAAGCTGACATCACCCACAATATCCTCCAATCCATTACTTCTCGTAGAGAAACAATGGATTGGAGATGCACATGGTGATCTCTTGGTCTGTGGGAGGAAGTGCCTCTAGTAACTATCATGAAGACAGCCACTAGAGGTGGATATAATGCTACAACGTAAACATTGCAGTTTCTTTAACCCCTTAAGGACACAACTTCTGGAATAAAAGGGAATCATGACTGACTATTTCCTTAAGGGGTTAAAAAAAATGAAAACCCCCCCCACTTTTACATTGCAGCGTTAAATCTAAATGACTCCTGCACCCAAAAAACTTAATTGAGATGCAGTGGTCTAGGTGACTAAATTGTTTCTTTAAGATGCAAAAAAACTTAAATAAAATCTGAACGGACAAAAACCAACAAAAAAACATTTTAAACTTCTTTATGGCCTCAACATTTGGGATATGAGGTACGGGATGCTATATTTTAAACAGAGGTAAGAGGTTTATTATGACCGAGCATAGCTTTTCTTGCATTGTGCAATTTTTCACATTGTTAAAAACCACAGATTCATTTTAAAATTTGCTACAAATTACCAATACTGAAAACATGTTAATATACATAGTTCTGTTTATTAGAATTGTAAAAACATATTAAAACACTATTCTACAGTAGAAAAAGTTATATTCAAATTGAAGATGTAAAACTTTGTAATATCATTTTTATTTTTTGGGTAAAGACATTTGGTCTCTTTTTTTTGGACACAGAGTTTCCCACTTCGGATGATAGATTCTATCACAGCTGAGGTCACAACAGACGGACCCTGCAGCCAATAGGAAGGTTGACTTGGCTATTGCTCATGAAATTCATGTACGTCAAGGTGTGAAGAAGGAGCTCCATACTTCCTCACCATGTTTCTCCCAGCAAACGTTGTATAAAACAAACATAATAAAATGTAGTTTCATCCTTGAATACGGATAAATTAAAACACTTTTTAAAATAAATGTCCAACGAGGGTATAGGATTGTCCTGACTACAAGGATGTAATCCTCTTCTTTATGACCCAAATAATTTCGGATAAGATCCATATTATTTTGGATAACCATATTTAAGAAAGAAAGGAATCATCAAGGAGCAATTCATTGGGGGATGCTCTGGGGTAAACAAGTGAAAGGGTAATGCTCTCAACCCAGTCCTTCCTGGATTCCCCTTATGCGTCGAGCCAGCTGCATGTCCTTAACGTAGAGGGTGACTCGCTTGGCGTGGATACTGCAGAGATAGGAATCTTCAAATAGACGTACAAGGAAAGCCTCTGCTGCCTGCAAGAGAGCACAATCAGATGTATGGAGACCGTGAAGAGGAGCGAATGTAGTATTAGGAACAGGAGGAGAGAAGAGTATAATTCTAGGTACAGGAAGACAGGACAGAATGGGGAGAAGGGGAGAAGGAAAAAAAAAAAAAAAAGGATGGGAAGTAGAGAATGGCTTGGATACATCAGGACAGCACAGCATTCTATAATGAAAGCAGCTTGTTCAAATGACATATACTATTGTCCCTATGAGGACTCTACATGCAGAAGTATTGCTATGATAAAGGGGGGGGGGAAATAATACTTTGGGCCATGGAGGACTCCTGATCAGTATTTTTATTTTATGTCCATTTCACTGTTTTGACTCTTTTCTTTTTTTTAAACCTAATTGCCAAAGATTAGTTAAAACCTGTACACAAAAGTTAGGCTTATGTTTCAAACATTTGTGTCAGAATATAGCAGTACAAACGCTGCAAATTTGGGTTAATCTGTGATAACACCACTCTGTAGGAAGACGGATAATTCTCTACATCTTTCTCAACTCATTCTAAAAAGGCAACAATGTAATTGGGTGCAGGAAAGCGACCCTGTCTCATTTTATTTCCAGATCTCAACAGAAAGTATGAGGAGAGAAGAAAGGTTTGGTGAGGGAAGAATGTACTCACTTCTTGCAGAGCCATGATTGCCATCGACTGCCACATATAAGACACCCCTCGTGTGCACATCATGCCGACCTCCTTGACCTGCACAGACACCAATCAGAACACTATACAATATGTACCAGAATAGGGAAATTACAATTATCTATATAGCACCAACATATTCCGCAGCGCTGTAGAATATGAAAAACAAGTAAAGCGGCTCGGTCGTGTTTTTTTCTTTTCTTTCTTTTTCTCCCTTCATTTGAGTGTTCCTTTCCTCATGCCCATTGTATATTCAAGTTCCTACACCCCTTCTCTTAGAAAAGCAGTGATACCTTCATTAAAACCTCATAAGGAAGGCAAACGTTTAACTGAATGTGTGGGTATCAAACCATAGAAACCTGATCAGCGGATTCTCTTAAGAGAAAGCAGAATATTAAAACTGCTGCTAAGAAAACATAGTGAACTCAGGCTCGGCCTGCAGTAAGTGAGGCCCTGTACATTGCACTGTGTAACCCTCACCAGTCTTTGGAATGGAGCCTTTCTGATGAGGAGCTCAGTAGATTTCTGATATTTGCGTATCTCCATCAGAGCTCGAGTACCCGGCCTGAACCGCTTCCTGCGACCAGAAGTTCTCTCTCTCCTAGGACCTGTCAATCAAACAAGCATTAGCCCAGTCTAAACCATAGAGCAAGGATTACCAGCACCCAGAGCAGGTTTTTTTTTCCATTTATTAGCTTATTAAACCTATTAAGTTCAGTGCCACAAATTCTCTATCAGGCTAAGGGTTACGCAGGCAGAATTAGTGTCACTATCTTACTTGTGGAAGGCAATGGTGATGGAGGAGAAGGAGGAGGGGGAGGAGGAGACCTTCGCTGAGGGGGGCGCGATTTCCTCCGTGACGGTGGAGTGCTCACAACTGGTCTCATTGTTGTAAGGACCAAGGCTCCAAGTTACGTTCAAAATATCTATCAGTGAAAAGCAAATGTTTTTATTGTTTACACATTGATCTGGTAATGGATGACAAACATTTTATTATCAGAGTATAAAGTTTACCACTCGAACACCATAAGAAATTCAAATACTGGTAGTTCTTGAGCAGACTGCAAATATAAAGGTTTATTTAACAAAATGCAACACTGTTGCGGTGCTTATAGTAACCTTTCAAAAGTGGTAATTATATATGGTTTATAGAAACATAGAATGTGACGGCAGATAAGAACCATTCGGCCCATCTAGTCTGCCCAATTTTCTAAATACTTTCATTAGTCCCTAGCCTTATCTTATGGTTAGGATAGCCTTATGCCTATCCCATGCATGCTTAAACTCCTTTACTGTGTTAACCTCTACCACTTCAGCTGGAAGGCTATTCCATGCATCCACTACCCTCTCAGTAAAGTAATACTTCCTGATATTATTTTAAACCTTTGTCCCTCTAATTTAAGACTATGTCCTCTTGTTGTGGTAGTTTTCTTCTTTTAAATATAGTCTCCTCCTTTACTGTGTTGATTCCCTTTATATATTTAAATGTTTCTATCATATCCCCCCTGTCTCGTCTTTCCTCCAAGCTATACATGTTCCTTTAACCTTTCCTGGTAAGTTTTATCCCGCAATCCATGAACCAGTTTAGTAGCCCTTCTCTGAACCCTCTCTAAAGTATCAATATCCTTCTGAAGATACGGTGTCCAGTACTGTGTACAATACTCCAAGTGAGGTCTCACCAGTGTTCTGTATAATGGCATGAGCACTTCCCTCTTTCTACTGCTAAAACCTCTCCCTATACAACCAAGCATTCTGCTAGCATTTCCTGCTGCTCTATTACATTGTCTGCCTACCTTTAAGTCATCAGAAATAATCACCCCTAAATCCCTTTCCTCATATGTTGAGGTTAGGACTCTATCAAATATTCTGTACTGTACCCCCCTACAGAGGGGGAGACCAGCCAGAAGTTTATAAAGCTTCAATGATTATAGAGCAAAACTGAGTGATCTGACGGCTTTCTCTTTAAATGTGTTCTTTGCCTTAATGCTATCTCAGATAGGCCGACAGTCTCTCGATGTGCCAAGTAACCATCTAAAAATATAAAACTGCTCAGTCACAGAATTTATACTAGCCACAGCGAGTTTGTCCTGATGTGTCTTCATGTTATGCATTTTACTATTATATATATTTATCATTTTTTTTCACTTTTTCTGTTTTGTTTTTTTTACTTACATTGAGTCTTTTTTTTATGATAACCTCTCCCGTCCATATAAAGAATTATTTCCTTTTTAAAGCTATGTATCTGAGATACGAGAGATCTTTTTTATTATTCATGCCAGTTCTTACTTGTTTTGATTATTACCCTAGTTTTACATACATATAGATTAATATTTGATTGTACCTCTATGCTACTTAAAGAAGCGTGTTACATTTTTAGGGTTATTTGGTACGAATGCTTTGATTTAGGAAAATGCCCTTTTACACAATCAAAATCTAATTAATTATTTATACACCAAAAATCTTTTGAGTTTTTGGTGATATAACATTTACCAAGATAAACCTCTTAATATAATGCATTTTCTAACAATGTATATATGTCATATCTGAGGCTTTTCATATTTAATATCTCATTTAATCAATCATTCTGTGGATTTATCTATTTACCCTTTTTTATATTTTGGATTTTAATTGAGTGTAAATCAAGTAGTTTTCCAATTAGTAAGCCATGTAAGTACTTATGCAAGAGCCTATTGACTCCACTAAACCACCAAACCTGCCAAAAACACCAACCTTTTTACTCTGTGCAATTTTTATTAGAGGATTGGACTTCCTGTAAAACCCGACAGAGGGGGAGACCAGCCAGAAGTCCCCAAAAACGAACGAAAGTGGTATATAGGCTGTGGCGAAAGTAACCTCGCCACTGGGTTTTGGAGAGAGCCTATTGCCCTGTGACTATGGGCAAAAACCCCTGTTTCAAACACCGTCTGACCCAATAACTGTCACATTCAAACACCGTCTGACCCAATAACTGTCACATTAAAACACCGTCTGACCCAATAACTGTCACATTCAAACACCATCTGAACCAATAACTGTCACATTCAAACACCGTCTGACCCAATAACTGTTACATTCCAACACCGTCTGACCCAATAACTGTCATATTCAAACACTGTCTGACCCAATAACTGTCACATTCAAACACCGTCTGACCCAATAACTGTTACATTCCAACACCGTCTGACCCAATAACTGTCATATTCAAACACTGTCTGACCCAATAACTGTCACATTCAAACACCGTCTGACCCAATAACTGTCATATTCAAACACTGTCTGACCCAATAACTGTCACATTCAAACACCGTCTGACCCAATAACTGTCACATTCAAACACCGTCTGACCCAATAACTGTTACATTCCAACACCGTCTGACCCAATAACTGTCATATTCAAACTCCGTCTGAACCAATAACTGTCACATTCAAACACCGTCTGACCCAATAACTGTCACATTCAAACTCCGTCTGAACCAATAACTGTCACATTCAAACTCTGTCTGACCCAATAACTGTCATTTTGTTTTCCTCAGAGGAGGAGTGGTATTACTGCATGAATACTGTTGCTTTGAGTGCCATTAAACAGATCTCTACCCAGCATTAAACCTCGGCTCATGTGTGAGGGGTTGTGCTATGCTTGTGTCTACACTCTGCCTGGAAGGATTATTCGCTAATTACTGGGAGAAAGGGAACCCAAGACGGTCAGAGAGGGCTGGACCGTCACATAGGCGTTACCCTCCTGATGAGCCGTCATTTACTCACCATCCTGTAAGTGTTTCATCTGAAGTTGAATAAAAAGTCTTACAGACCGTGAGCACTATCGATCCTGTGATAATTTAATTCTAATATATCCACATCTGATCCACTTATATTTGATAATTTGGTGTTTCTGACAGCTTCTATAAAAGCACTAGATCCTTAATGTAGTTACATTGTGGTCAGTGTAATATTGTGACAGCTTGCTACATACAGCTATGTCTCCTTTTTGATTCTGTTCTTACCGTACTTTACAAGTGGATGAATAGTCTGGAGGTGTGTTTGGGAATGGTATTTCTAGATATGATTTTTTTAGACCTGTAGGTGACATACACCATTTTTTTACACATTTGCTTTATTGTGCTTTTCACATCGATTTTTGTATAACATCTTTATCGTTGTAGATTATTCAGTCTTTTTTCCCCTCTGTTATATAACATGCAGAGTGTATATATTACATTAATATCTAATAACTGTTATAGAACACGCAGAGTGTATGTATTACATTAATATCTAATAACTGATTGTTATAGAACACGCAGAGTGTATATATTACATTAATATCTAATAACGGATTGCTATAGAACACGCATTATATCTAATAACTGTTATAGAACACGCAGAGTGTATATATTACATTAATATCTAATAACTGATTGTTATAGAACACGCAGAGTGTATATATTACATTAATATCTAATAATGGATTGCTATAGAACACGCATTATATCTAATAACTGTTATAGAACACGCAGAGTGTATATATTACATTAATATCTAATAACTGATTGCTATATAGTATAGTATAATATATAATAACTGATTGCCATATAACATAGTATAGTATATAATAACTGATTGCCATATAATATAATATATAATAACTGATTGCTATATAGTATAATATATAACTGATTGCCATATAATATAACATAATATGTAATAACTGATTGCCATATAACATAATATGTAATAACTGATTGCCATATAATAACATAATATAACATAACATAATATATAATAACCGATTGCCATATAATATAACATAATATATAATAACTAATTGCCATATAATATAACAGAATATATAATAACTGATTGCAATAAAATATAATATAGTATTATATATAATAACTGATTGCCATATAATATAACATAATATATATAATAACTGATTGCCATATAGTATAGTATAATATATAATAACTGATTGCCTTATAGTATAGTATAATATATAATAACTGATTGCAATATAGTATAGTATAATATGTAATAACTGATTGCCATATAGTATAATATATAATAACTGATTGCAATATAGTATAGTATAATATGTAATAACTGATTGCCATATAGTATAGTATAATATGTAATAACTGATTGCCATATAGTATAAAATAATATAATACAATATATAGTAACTGATTGCCATATAGTATAATATGTAATAACTGATTGCCATATAGTATAGTATAATATGTAATAACTGATTGCCATATAGTATAGTATAATATGTAATAACTGATTGCCATATAGTATAACATAATATAATACAATATATAGTAACTGATTGCCATATAGTATAATATGTAATAACGGATTGCCATATAGTATAGTATAATATGTAATAACTGATTGCCATATAGTATAGTATAATATGTAATAACTGATTGCCATATAGTATAATATATAATAACTGATTGCCATATAGTATAACATAATATAATACAATATATAATAACTGATTACCATATAATATATAATAACTGATTGCCATATAATATAATACAATATATAATAACAGTAGGTACTCCATGGCATTGCTCACCTTGTTGCTCTGCTTTTTAAATCTCGCGCACGCCTTCTGACGTCACGTCCGCCTATTTGAAATAAAACATTTTGCACCAAGGCAACTGCTGCCTAAAGACTGCTTTTTTCTTTCTTTCAACACTCTTTATTGACAAAGACAGCTGATATTTTGCACAGTGTAGCGGCCATCTTGAGAAGGTCAAGGAGATAGTGGCTAGTCACGTGAAAGAGCTGGGGTGTTGCGCGGTTGTGGAGCGAATTGCTGCCATGTTGAGTGTGGCACGGGAAGTTGGACTTTATGGTCAGTGCGGACGCGGAGTATGAGTGGGAGAGTAGATAACGGCTCAAAAAGGCGAGTGCAGTATAAGAGTTATCAGACACTAACCCACCGCCATTGTAGAACATACAGAACATGTTCCTCTGTTTGAGCTCTGTAACTCATGTATTAATGTTTCACAGAGCTCCACAGCAATGGATCAGTATAGTGTGAGTATCACAGAGCTCCACAGCAATGGATCAATACAGTGTATGAGTATCACAGAGCTCCACAGCAATGGATCAATACAGTGTATGAGTATCACAGAGCTCCACAGCAATGGATCAGTATAGTGTGAGTATCACAGAGCTCCACAGCAATGGATCAATATAGTGTATGAGTATCACAGAGCTCCACAGCAATGGATCAACATAGTGTATGAGTATCACAGAGCTCCACAGCAATGGATCTCCAGTGTATGAGTATCACAGAGCTCCACAGCAATGGATCAATATAGTGTATGAGTATCACAGAGCTCAACAGCAATGGATCAACATAGTGTATGAGTATCACAGAGCTCCACAGCAATGGATCTGTATAGTGTATGAGTATCACAGAGCTCCACAGCAATGGATCTGTATAGTGTATGAGTATCACAGAGCTCCACAGCAATGGATCTGTATAGTGTATGAGTATCACAGAGCTCCACAGCAATGGATCAATATAGTGTATGATCACAGAGCTCCACAGCAATGGATCAATATAGTGTATGAGTAATCACAGAGCTCCACAGCAATGGATCTGTATAGTGTATGAGTATCACAGAGCTCAACAGCAATGGATCTGTATAGTGTATGAGCAATCACAGAGCTCCACAGCAATGGATCAATATAGTGTATGAGTATCACAGAGCTCCACGGCAATGGATCTGTATAGTGTATGAGTATCACAGAGCTCCACAGCAATGGATCTGTATAGTGTATGAGTATCACAGAGCTCCACAGCAATGGATCTGTATAGTGTATGAGTATCACAGAGCTCCACAGCAATGGATCAATATAGTGTATGAGTAATCACAGAGCTCCACAGCAATGGATCAATATAGTGTATGAGTAATCACAGAGCTCCACAGCAATGGATCTGTATAGTGTATGAGTATCACAGAGCTCAACAGCAATGGATCTGTATAGTGTATGAGCAATCACAGAGCTCCACAGCAATGGATCAATATAGTGTATGAGTAATCACAGAGCTCCACAGCTATGGATCAATATAGTGTATGAGTATCACAGAGCTGCACAGCAATGGATCTGTATAGTGTATGAGTATCACAGAGCTCCACAGCAATGGATCTCTCCAGTGTATGAGTATCACAGAGCTCCACAGCAATGGATCGGTATAGTGTATGAGTATCACAGAGCTTCACAGCAATGGATCTCTCCAGTGTATGAGTAATCACAGAGCTCCACAGCAATGGATCTCTCCAGTGTATGAGTATCACAGAGCTCCACAGCAATGGATCAGTATAGTGCAGGGGTAGGCAACCTTTTAGCAGCACTGTGCCGATATAGGAGTGTGATGTCCCGTAGCGTGCCGATCCTATTTTTTTTAAATTGAGGTGTGTATGCTGCCGTATTCTGCTTGTGTTATTTTTACTGTGATTGCTTTGTCTCATTGTATTTGTCCGTATAGGAGCTATTATATTGTACATGTTCATTAGTAGTTTATGGTATCGTGTATGATACATATGAATGGGGGCTGTGTATTGGGGGCTGCTTGTTGAATTGTGTGTGGCTGGATATGTCACATTGTGTGTTTGGTAGTGTGTGGGGGCTGTTTGGGGTATTGCATGTGAGAGGCTGCATGTGGGGTTGTGTGCATGTATGTGGATTGTTATCGGGTTACGTTTGTGCGGATTGTGTGTATGTTTGTGGGCTGTTCGTATTATTTGTATGAAGGGAGGGTTATTCTGCATTTCTGTGTATATCTAGCAGTGTGGGTGGCTTCCCTGGGTTCCATGGTACACAGGTCAAGGACAGGTGCTGCAACAGCAGCTGCAGGCTGCTCTACTACAGATCCGAGATCACTTCCTCTACATGCTGCAATGCATAAATTGAGAATTGTCCTTCACCATCTTTTCGTATTAGCAGATATCTGAAGTTTCACTGGGACTCCTGATAGGCCAGAGCTTGTTTGGCTCTAGCAGCCTTGAGTGCCGTGCAAAGGCACCTTGAGCGCCGTGCATGGCACTAGTGCTGTAGGTTGCCTACCCCTGGTATAGTGTATGAGTATCACAGAGCTCCACAGCAATGGATCTCTCCAGTGTATGAGTGAGTATCACAGAGCTCCACAGCAATGGCTCTCTCCAGTGTATGAGTATCACAGAGCTCCACAGCAATGGTTCTCTCCAGTGTATGAGTATCACAGAGCTCCACAGCAATGGATCAGTATAGTGTATGAGTATCACAGAGCTCCACAGCAATGGATCAGTATAGTGTATGAGTATCACAGAGCTCCACAGCAATGGATCACTATAGTGTATGAGTATCACAGAGCTCCACAGCAAGGGATCTGTATAGTGTATGAGTATCACAGAGCTCCACAGCAAGGGATCTGTATAGTGTATGAGTATCACAGAGCTCCACAGCAATGGATCAATATAGTTGAGTATCACAGAGCTCCACAGCAATGGATCACTATAGTGTATGAGTATCACAGAGCTCCACAGCAATGGATCAATATAGTGTATGAGTATCACAGAGCTCCACAGCAATGGATCTGTATAGTGTATGAGTATCACAGAGCTCCACAGCAATGGATCAGTATAGTGTGAGTATCACAGAGCTCCACAGCAACGAATCAATATAGTTATGAGTATCACAGAGCTCCACAGCAATGGATCTGTATAGTGTATGAGTATCACAGAGCTCCACAGCAATGGATCAATAGTGTATGAGTATCACAGAGCTCCACAGCAATGGATCTCTCCAGTGTATGAGTATCACAGAGCTCCACAGCAATGGATCTGTATAGTGTATGAGTATCACAGAGCTCCACAGCAATGGATCTGTATAGTGTATGAGTATCACAGAGCTCCACAGCAATGGATCAGTATAGTGTGAGTATTACAGAGCTCCACAGCAATGGATCTGTATAGTGTATGAGTATCACAGAGCTCCACAGCAATGGATCTGTATAGTGTATGAGTATCACAGAGCTCCACAGCAAGGGATCTGTATAGTGTATGAGTATCACAGAGCTCCACGGCAATGGATCTCTCCAGTGTACGAATATCACAGAGCTCCACAGCCATGGATCAATATAGTGTGAGTATCACACAGCTCCACAGCAATGGATCTCTCCAGTGTATGAGTATCACAGAGCTCCACAGCAATTAATATTTTTAGTGTATGAGTATCACAGAGCTCCAGAGCTGTAAATTCTCAGCAATGTGCATTGTTAATGAGTATCTTACAAAGCTCCACAGTAAACTTAGCGAAATGTCCAGTGTGTATGAGAGTGTATGAGTGTTTCCATGGTTTCCAACACTCCTGCCATGGAGATATCATACGGGTGATGTACATATGTTCGGGAATGTAATCTGAAATAGACGTGTTTTATCGAAGAAAAATGACAAATAAATATAAATCGTAAAACAACAAAACCTATGGTGCTGGAAGAGCCGACATTCTCTTTCATATCTTTCCCTCTACCGGATCAGAGCCCTAGTCTACAATCCCGTCTCATCTGTGTACTGCTCCCATGGGCCCACACCATTTGGAAGGTTTTTATGGTATTACGGACCTGCAAAGCTAGCTTATCCGTAAGATAATTGTCTTTCATTTTGGTGATTACCAATGGGGGGAGAAGGGAGGGTGAGAGGGTTGCTCAGGGCATGCCCATTTTGTCATATTGAGTAATTTCAGTTCATAGCGGGTTAGGCCCTCTGTTGGCTTAGAGAGGAGACAGGCACAGGGGTCTAGTTCTAATCATCTTTGCAATATCTTGGAGCTGAGATTCATTATCCTGGTCCAGTATGTTTGGATGGAGGGTCATGACCAACACATATGTATATAGTTCCCTCTCTCGCCGCAAGAGCACCAGCAGGTGTCATTGGGGCTCATTTTCATGTCTTAAAGGATTGCTCTTGGAGGGTTACGTAGATGGAGGACTATGCACAAGCCTCCCATTTGTCCTGCCAATCAGTGCCCTCTAACACCTCCCCCAGATTGGTTTCCCATTGTTCGTGTATCTGAGGTCCCTCCACTCATTGGATTCCACACTAACAGACCTTTTTGGCACTCTAGTGATGGTTTTGTTTAACAGTAATGCAACGCTTCCTCTTTCTGTGATATCCTATATGTATACTTAGTACAATATGCTGCTGGAGAGTCACTAGTGACTAGTTCTGGGAAGCTAATGTGAATTATGTGCAGATTTGGGATCTGACACCAGCAAACTCAGCATGCTGGCACTTGATAGTCAATTTTGGCACGTACCTGACCTCTGTGCCGCTCTTAGCCTTCCCTCCCTGACATCAGTTCCCCTTCCAGCAAGGGGAAGTTAAAGGGCCACTATAGTCACCAGAACAACTACAACTTATTGAATTTGTTCTGGTGAGTAGAATCTTTACCTTCAGGCTTTTTGCTGTAAACACTGTCTTTTCAGAGAAAATGCAGTGTTTACATCACAGCCTAGTGATAACTTCACTGGCCACTCCCCAGATGGCTGTTAGAGATCCTTCCTGGGTCATGGCTGCCTAAAATGCATCCAAACATTCAGTATCTCCTCCCTCTGCATGCAGACACTGAACTTTCCTCATAGAGATTCATTGATTCAATTCAGCTCTATGAGGAGATGCTGATTGGCCAGGGCTGTGTTTGAATCATGCTAGCTCTGCCCCTGATCTGCCTCTTTGTCAGTCTCAGCCATTCCTATGGGGAAGCATTGTGATTGGATCAGGCCACCACTTCTGATGATGTCAGCACACTGTTTGTTTTTCTGAGTCTAACAGCATGTAGAGCTTCAAGCTTGAATACAGTAAGATTTTTACTATATTTATGGAGGCATGAGGGGCCCAGGGGGGCTAGATGGTGGTTTTAACACTATAGGGTCAGGAATGCATGTTTGTGTTCCAGACCCTATAGTGATCCTTTAAGTCAGCGAAGGAGAATCAGGCTGCTTGGAGAACTTGGCCTTGTTCTCTAACATACAAGTACCATATTTATTCACAGGCACATGGAATCTCCATTGGTCAGCACACAAAGTGTAGGCAGGAATGTTAATTCCTGTGCATTGAGGTTCATTCATTAGATGTGAGCACTAAAATGAAACTCTCAGCCAATAACTGATCGGCGGGATCTGAATCTGGCCGTCATTCAACTGGCGTCATTCAATCTGTCAGCACCCTCGTAAGAGGCAAAGCTTTGCGAAACTGTTTGTCCCCTTATCATTAAATGTCATGTTTGTAGCTTTCCTTTACAAACACAGCATCATTAGTGTGTATTCTAGTTCTAAATAATAATAATAAAACAGTTCCCTTAGACATCATTCAGTAAGAACACAACATTACTCAAACAGACACACAACAAATGCAAAACACACAGCACATTCCTGTAACACATTTATTATTGCTGCAAGCCTTGGCATAGAATCAATTTATTATAGCATCCAAATGGCAAAGCCTATTTTCATTTCTTAGAAAAAAAAACCTAAACCGCAAACACCAGTAGTGCAAACAAAATATACATTACAAAAATGAGCGCTACTAAAGACACAGGACCATGATAGTGCTTAGGAGTCAGGCAATATCGTGGGAAATATCACCATTGCAAGTTCTAATTTAGTTCTACGTATGGTACGTCTGCTGAAGGCTTCCGTGCTCTTAAGTAAAACACTCGTATTTTGGACATTAACATTTAATAGAAAGAATAAAAAATATTGTCGAACCCAGAGACACATTTATAATCCCAAACAGCAATTGTCACCGCTGTGAAATTAGCCCAAGTCAGGAATTGCATTTTCTTTGAGTGCATTTCTTCCAGTAACCATTACAGTAACAATATCATTATGGGATTTATCCACTAAATTCAGAATTTTAGAGAATTAAAGGGACACTAAAGTCACCCAAACCACTTCAGCTCAGTGAAGTGGTCTGGGTGCCAGGTCCCTCTAGGGTTAACCCTGCCTGCTGTAAACATAGCAGTTTCAGAGAAACTGCTATGTTTACATTTGGGGTTAAGCCAGCCTCTAGTGGCTGTCTTCCAGACAGTCACTAGAGGCGCATCTGCCATGCTTTCCTATGGACACTTTGAATGCACGTGCGGCACTGCCGCGCATGCGCATACTGCTCCACTGACGTCAGACGGGGGAGCTGATGTCGGCAGGGGAGGAGAGGTAAGGGAGTTCAGCGGTGGAAGAAGGTGAGTAACTGAAGGGGTTTTAACCCCTTCAGCACCACGGGAGGGGGACCCTGAGAGTGGGGGCACTATAGTGTCTGGAAAACCGATTTGTTTTTCTGACACTATAGTGATCCTTTAAAATATGAATGTCAACATTTAGGCATAAATAGCTGATCTGAAAAACACATCTACAGTAGTTAAAGCTCGGCTATTCTAGTCTAGATTTTTCCATTTGGATTTCAATAGACTACAACTCATAGTTTCATGAAAAAATCACTAACCACATCTGCTAAGCAGGCAGCATTAAAGGGTTCCCTCTAAGCATTGTCATACCTTGCTGCTGCATGGTTCATAGTGCAGAGAGTACATATACTTTCATTTCTATTACAGTCTCAGTGCAGCAATGTGAAAACTTGCTGCAGCTGTAACACCTCCCAATAGAACTGTCAATCAAACAGTAAAAATTCTATGTTCCGGATTGCCTGTGCTAGTTTTGTCCAAACTGTGTGCGCAGCCTTAACAGGTTGCGCACAAAATACAGACTAATCTTTCTCTCTCCGGACAGGGAACCACAAGCACACACATTCAGCATTTGCCAGTCATATAAAACTGAACCAGGCTGTGCCAAGTGATATCTGTTTATAGAGACATTCTGTTGTATGTGGTGAGTGTAACTGCACCTATAACTAGTTGACCTATGAACCATTGCTGGACAGGAGTTTATGAAATAGGTTCAGACTGAACCAAATATAGACCCTGTAATGTGTTAATACTTTCTTATAAGAGGCATTTGATTGGTGCACTTGCTGTGCCTGTGCCAATTTTCACCGGACATAAAGGGAAGACTATCATATCTGACGGTCCCTTCAGGGCAGAGAGGAGTCACCGCTGGATAAAAAGATTAAATGCATGCCTTTTTATCCAGAGGGGAGAACCCTTTAGCTGCTGCTTTGGGGGGCGCTTGATACTGTTAGGTTTAAAGGACCACTCTCAAAGTTAGAGCACTGAGCATTGGTTTAACATTGGAGAGTTCCTGTTAAGCTAGCAAGAAAGTGATAGCAATGAATTTGGTGTGTATGGCAGCTTGTTCCCTTCCAAAACAGTGATTAGCTTAGATGTTCTCTGCTACCGTGTCATTGTTTATTTGCTAAATAATGTATTATAGTGAATTTAAAACCAAATTGCAAACTTTGGGCAAAAAGTGCTGACCGGTACAGCCACAGCTCTTTTAGCAATTTAGTTTCACTACAAGTCTAGTTAATAACCAATGACTGTGCCTAAAACCTGTCTTCCTCTATCTCCTTATCTGCCATTTGATTGCAATTCACTTCGGCTATTTTCAAATGATTTTACATTTGATAGTTAATGCATACAGGAAGCCAAATAGAAATGTAAACAACCGAATACAGGATAATTGAGTCAAATGATATAGTGAATAGACCCATAGTCTGTTAGTAATGTCCTTGATTATAAGCATTTGCAAGCATGGTTTTAATCATCCTGTTAATATGTCCTTAGCATGTTTATTCTATATCCATTATCTGGACTGTTTCTTCCACAAGTTCTAGATGTCTAACTGTTTCACCCATCACAGCTGTGGCTCCTCGAGGGTAACGGTAAGATGCTAGCCTAGAGCAACGAAAAGGTTACATGTATATATTAGGATAGCATATGACCCATATTTACTACAAACACGCAAGTTCATTACATTATTCTGGCCTATTGGATACCTACAAGGGGATATACTTATTATCAGATCAATATTATCTCTCATTTGCATAAATATCTATTGGAAATCACTCGAAGATGTCTGTGACGTTTGCCTTTATACCATTATCCTGTCGGCTAACAATGTTGGAATTATGCTTGTATTTTGGGAATCTGCATTTTCAAAAATTCCAGCAAATTCCTTGGTAGAGTTTTGTACAGCAAGACAGAGAATACAATATAAATTATAAGCATTATTTCTTCAAAGGATGAGTAAATGAAATGAAAAATGTAAACGCTGTAAAAAGGTACTTTTAATATTTTAGGAGTTCTTGAAAAGCAATCTACACACAACATGATGGCACACTGAGATAAAATCAGTTGTGTGTAAAAGTTATGGGATCTAACTTGTATATGGCTGCACAAGGGAAAAAACTCATTTTCTTTTTGTTTTATAAATAGCACTTTCTAGAGAACAGATTAATGAAAATATTCGGATAAAGTTTCCATAGTTTGTCTTGATTGTTACAAGAAACACTCCACCTTACTCTGTTATCTTAACACCCAATGCAGCTGCTGGTTATATAGTTTTTTTCACCCAGCCGCTTTACACGGACTCACAAAATACACTCACAGACAGCAGAGTAACAGAAGAGAACTGTACCTCTTTCCCTTGGTCTCAGCGTTAGTGTATCCACGCAGACTGCGGGCCCCTTCTCTGGTAATAATGCACAGATCCACCCCGCTCCCTGATCCCAGGTCACCGAAGATCCCAGCTGTGACTGAATCGGTGACAAGTTTCATGGCTTCCTCTAACTGATATAGAGAGGAGGAGTGGGGAGATCCGAAACAAGTAGAAAGAGAGGCATGGAAAATAGTAGGGAAAGGTTTGGGAGAAGATATCAATAATTATTGGAGGCATGTATTCATATCTAATAGAAATCCTCCCCTGAGGTTCACTGTATTCTCTGGTGAGTTTATACCTTAATGGCCATTGGAGTGATACTAAAAATCTCCAGTTATTGAAACTTGCATAGGGATTTGGGATAGTGCACAAGTGTGGCGAAAGTAACCTCGCCACTGGGTTTTGGAGAGGCCTGCTTGCCAGCCTCCTGCCCTGTGACTATGAACCTTGGGGTGTGTGAAGAAAACCCCTGTTTTATGGACTTAGTTTGACTGTTTTATTCCCCCCCCCTCCCCCAGAACATCAGTTAAACCCTTAATACCTTGTTACATTCAAACACCGTCTGACCCAATAACTGTTACATTCAAACACCGTCTGACCCAATAGCTGTCACATTCAAACACCGTCTGACCCAATAACTGTCATTTTGTTTTCCTCAGAGGAGGAGTGGTTTTACTGCATGAATACTGTTGCTTTGTGTGCCATTAAACAGATCTCTACCCAGCATTAAACCTCGGCTCATGTGTGAGGGTTGTGCTATGCTTGTGTCTACACTCTGCCTGGAAGGATTATTCCCTAATTACTGGGAGAAAGGGAACCCAAGACGGTCAGAGAGGGTTGGACCGTCACATTTGGTGGCAAGAGATGGGATGGCGTCCTAGTGCAAGGAGACACTGGTAACGTTACGGAGCTACAATTGATGGCAACGCTAGCACTCGTGCAGTGTCCCTGTCTACAGAGGAATCCAATAGGTGTGGATCAAAGCGCTAGTGGCCTTTGAGTGGGGGCCAAGCAAACATGACGTATTGCTATGAGGGCGATGCTTACATTGCGGAGGTAAACAGGCAGTTATGGCCCAGATCCTTCGGGAAGAGGTGATTGTCCGAATAATGCACGAATTGGATGAGGAGACCCGAGCAGCACGGGAATGTGAGTTCAGATTTTGGAGATTGGGGCTGTGGACAACCGGTCTCTCTCCCCAGTGGCAGACCGAGTCACAGGGAGAGGAGAGCAGCGACCTCCTTCCCCAGCGGCAGGGTGAGTGTCAGGGAGAGGAGACAACCGGCCCCCCTCCACAGCAGCAGTGTACCTTACAGGGAGAAGAGACAACCAATCTCCCTCCCCAACAGCAACCACAGGTATCAGAGGTAGCAGACCTCATAGACTGGTCCTGGGAGGAACCCCAACAGGCAGGTGGAGATGGGACCGAGGTCTCTCCACTGGGATGCTGGGCAGCCGGCTCAGATCCCCAGCAGTGGCCGGAGTTACCGGGTGTGGAGGCAGGTGATCCTTATTCTCAAATGTTGAGGGACCTCATAGACTGGTTCTGGGAAGACCCACAGATGGCAGGTGGAGATGGAACCGAGGTCTCTCTACTGGCCCTACAGGGATGCTGGGCAGCTGGCCCAGATCCCCAGCTGCAGCCAGAGTTACAGAGAGAGGGGGCGGGTGGTACTCATGCCCAAGTCCTGGCGGGTCTCATAGACTGGTTCTGGGAAGACCCACAGATGGCAGGTGGAGATGGGACCGAGGTTTCTCTACTGGCCCTACAGGGATGCTGGGCCGCTGGCCCAGATCCCCAGCGGTAGCTGGAGTTACAGAGAGAGGAGACAATCGGTCTCTCTCCCCAGCGGTGGCCTGAGTTCCAGGAGGAGGAGATGGTCGATTCCTCTATCCTACAGCAACCAGCGCCCTGGGGAGTGGAGGCAACCGGCCTCACCTTCCAACAGCAGCCGGAGGTACCGGGAGAGAGAGTACAACTGGTCCCTCACTGCAACTACAGGGGGAAAGCAACCCTAACCCCACCAGCGCAGATGGGACCGCAGTCTCTGTGCGAATTCTACAGGGACGCTGGACGGCCGGTCCAGATCCCCAACCATCCTCGCAGGAATACCAGGAGGAGGTAAGCGAGCCCTCCTCTTCCCAGCTAATTTCCAACCGAGTCCTGGGGGCAGTGCATGAGTCTGCGATACCCACTGACCCCCCTCCAGCAGAAGCGCTGGCCTCTGCCCTACCTATCCCGTTGTTACAGGGCAGGACTGTCAACCGGTTTACCGAGCTGAAGCGCTGGCCCGAGGGCAGAGCACCGCTGATCTCTGCCCCCCAAGCAACCTCCACTGCAAGCCAGTAGGGCCACCCAGAGACCAGGAGTACCAGATACCAACACAACATTGATGGACTCACTGGACAGAGACAGGCTACCAAATTCACCAGGTCCAGTATTTGGTTGTGGGTGGGCTGCCAGACTAACTCAGGTACCGACTGGCGTGAGGTCAGGTACCTGGTTAGTCTTCCCTGGGAGGGGGCGAAATGTGGCAAAGTAACCTCGCCACTGGGTTTTGGAGAGGCTTGCTTGCCAGCCTCCTGCCCTGTGACTATGGACCTTGGGGTGTGTGAAGAAAACCCCTGTTTTATGGACTTAGTTCGACTGTTTTATTCCCCTCCCCCCCCTCCTAGAACACCAGTTAAACCCTTAATACCTTGTTACATTCAAACACCATCTGACCCAATAACTGTCACATTCCAACACTGTCTGACCCAATAACTGTCACATTCAAACACCGTCTGACCCAATAACTGTCACATTCAAACTCTGTCTGACCCAATAACTGTCATTTTGTTTTCCTCAGAGGAGGAGTGGTATTACTGCATGAATACTGTTGCTTTGAGTGCCATTAAACAGATCTCTACCCAGCATTAAACCTCGGCTCATGTGTGAGGGGTTGTGCTATGCTTGTGTCTACACTCTGCCTGGAAGGATTATTCGCTAATTACTAGGAGAAAGGGAACCCAAGACGGTCAGAGAGGGCTGGACTGCCACAGCAAGTAACTCTTTTCTTTGGTTTGACTGTTTTCTCTGTTTAGTAGAAATACACATGGCTTGAGAAACTCTATTGTAGAGTCGAAACGTTGCCCAGTTTTGATCCGACACAGTCTGCTTTTGGACGATCTTTATTTTCATTTCCTTATTCTCTATTGATCTAATTCAAACAACATTGAGCTGAATGGGTCCCAGCTCTTTTCAAATGGATCTCATTGTTGTGAGATTTCTGTGAAATAGCTCCAGCCATACGTAACAGAATGGCAAATGAAAGTCTGTGATATTAGCAAATAAGAGGTGTCACTAAGGTAACACTAGGTTTGATGAAGGGTGGGATTTGGGGTTTGAGGTACTAATTAGAGTAAGTGGGGGTGAAGATAGTATTATAATGACTATCATTATATTGTTTAAGACTTATTCTCCTGGTTTGAAACAGGGAAATGGGATCCAACAAATTAAGGGGATCTGGTTACATTTAGGCTGTTTGTGAAAGCCGAAAAAGCAAGCAGAGATTCAGCTGATTTTAACCTCCAAACAATCAGCAGGATTTCTATATATAATATTTCTGAAGCACACACACAAAGAATCCCAGCTCTCACCTCCATGTTTGGTTTGTAGCGATCTTCAAACAAAGCGGTAGCTTGAGCCGCTCCTGATCCTGGTGAACAAAGATGCAATCAGTAGTTAATGGCTGAGATTGAGGGACCAGTCATGGTGGCAGATTAGTGTGAGATATCACAAAAAGAGTTTTAGGCGGGTGGTGGAGGTTGCTGGGGTGGTGGAGGTTTTTACACTCGAACAGTTAAGAACAACACACTGCTGTCCTCAGCCTGAAACAAGCTTAAAGGGTCACTATAGTCACTATACCCATTTCATCTCTTTGAATTGGTTATAGTGCCTGGAGTCCCTTAGCACTGTCCCTCCATCCATAAACCATGTTTGACTAAATAAGGATCCCTGACCAGCCACATTCCGTCCTCTTGTAGAGGTGTGGCTAAGGCTTCACACTTCCTTGTAGTCATACCCATTCATACCGTCAATGAGAGTTCTGGTAGGCTAAAAGCACTCACCTGACACTTTCAGCCAATCACAGCTGCGAACTGCTCCACTTCCTCATTTTCCAAAGCAACACAGAAGGGATGGGCTGCTGGAGTCTCTCGTTTAGTATTAAAATATTTAAACATTCAAAACTGTTTAATGCTGAATGAAATGATGGCAACAGGGAACTCCAGACACTACAACCAGATTAATTAGATGAAGCAGATACAGTGCCTACGATGTTCCTTTAAGAATAAAGCATGTGCTTATAAATAGGAAATTAGTAGAATACCATGTTTACTACCCTTCAAAGTAAATGTTTTTAATTGTTTTATTTTGCCTGCAGTTTCAAGTATGGCCACATGGAATCAGGTACATTTGATTGGCTGGATCCTCTCTCCTGTTCTGGTCGTCTGTACTTCTCAGGTATGTACTATTATCTCAAACAATGTAATACACAGCAGAGTAGGTGTGTGAGCTGGAAATATTCATTCAGACTGCTGTGACGTTTGATTATTATGTAGAAAAAATACTTCAGACAACTCATTGTTGGGCCATTAAACTAGACTATTCCCTAGACTAGGATTCAGCCATCCAGGCTCTATGCGTGGTTTATATGTACTATGACTGGTCATTAGATGGTCCAATGGTAATAGAAAGACTTGCTCACCCAGTGCAGTGTGTGGGGTGGTGTCTGTAGAGCCGTGAGGATGTACACTGTACAGATGTGGGCCGCGGAAATCCACACCGCCTATAATGACAGATGCTCCGATGTGACCATGGTATCTGAAATATTTGGAAGCACAAGTAAGATGTTAAGATGTTTACTGTCACACTTTTCAATTTTTATTTAATGATCTGCACCTTCTTACTGCAGTTCCCTCTCACTCATTTTTTTTTTTTTTAGCTGGGATTTCCCATTGTCTTCTACCTCTTTCTCTCCTTCTCTCGCTAATTCAGGTATTTTACACACATTCTGCACCTTTCCTTCTGTTTCTCTTATCTCCTGATTTTATCATTATGCGGCTGATGGATGACCACTTTAGTAAAATCTTACTCAAGCTTTATGTCTCTTGCTTAATATACCCTGAATGTTAGCCAGCTTTTACTCTGATTGTCCTGGCCTCTATATCATCAACTAAAGATGACACATTGTCTTCACTAGTGTAATACCCACTAACAGTGCAAGGACACATCCCTCACCTGTACAGTATAGTATGTTATCAGCTAACAGGACACACGTGGAGATGTTACCAGTATGTTATCAGCTAACCGTTCACACGTGTGGCCTTACCAGTATGTTATCAGCTAACAGGACACATGTGGAGATGTTACCAATATGTTATCAGCTAGCAGTTCACACGTGTGGCCTTACCAGTATGCTATCATTTAGCAGTTCACACGTGTGGCCCTACTAGTATATTATCAGCTAGCAGTTCACACGTGTGGCCTTATCAGTATGCTATCAGCTAGCAGTCCACATGTGTGTCCTTACCAGTATGTTATCAGCTAACAGGTCACACGTGTGGCCTTATTAGTATGTTCTCAGCTAACAGGTCACACATGTGGCTTTACCAGTATGCTAATAGCTAACAGGTCACACGTATGTCTTTACCAGTATGATATTAGGTAGCTGTTCACACGTGTGGCCTCACCTGTAAAGCATCTGTTTCAGCAGCCTGTTAGCAGTGCACACTCGTGGTTCTCGATTTGTAGACATTGCGTGGAGATGCAGCTTTGAGGACAGAAGTCGAGTCACGTATTCTGCGTCTGCCGCCACCCCAGCTCCACAGCAGCTAGTGGAGTACAGTCAGTGATTTAGTTATTTAATCGCAGTAGAAGGAAGAGATTGGTGCATTGATGTAGATTAAAGTGAACGATACAATGCAGTGGAAGTAAGATAAATAGAATGTAAATAGATAATAACTGTAGACATTCAGGGCTATTCAATAAAATGTGAATTGTATGACATTCAGAGTAAACTTTGAGGTAAAAACAGCTAAATTGGAATAAGTCAGCTATGTGTTCCGTTCAGCTACTTTTGCCTACAATTTGCAGTTCACGTTGAATTCCTGGCAATTGTTTAGTGAATAACCCTGTGGGATTATATGCATTCCATATTCTCCATTAGTTGTCCTATCTAGCTCAGTTGAATTGAGATCGGGGAAATGTGGGGGTTGTTGGAGTCGGCTGAACTCGGTGTTCTGCTATACTGAGTCCCAAGGTGCCCAGTTTCCCTGTGTCTTTATTACCCTGATCGTGGGGGAAGAACAGAAAGACCCTTTTTTGCTAATCCCTCGCCACATACTCTAGTTTGTATTGTATCTGTATTTACTGCAATCTATGCATTCATTGGAGAAAAGAGGATAAAGGAGTAAGGAATTCTCAGTGTGAGCTCACAGTGGCTCAATGTACCCCAAGCACCCAAAACATATGGACATTGTCCTTGGTTACACGTCTAATGATGGAACACACAGACTAGTAAGGAGGTCGATAGATCTACAGATAGGCTGAGAAATTGGTGACAGAACTCACTATATTTTGTCGGTGATGAAATGAATCTTGTCACAGTTTTTATCGGCCACGACCATATCATCAGTAGCTCTTCTGTCAGCTCCAAGTATGACCCCATCCTGAGCACAAAGAAATATCAATCACAATAAACTGTGGATTATACAAAAACAAGCAATTACACTTTTTAGAGGAGGACAAATAATTAGCAGTGAGAACTGGAAGATTAATCACTAAAATGTGCATTTATTATATAGATGAAATGATTATTTCCTCCAGCAGTGATAATTATTTAGCATTTTCTTCATTGGTGGAGATTCATCTACCATTCCCTCACATTCAGTACCTTATATATGAGTCCAGCGATGGTGGTCCCAGTCTTGCGCGGTATTGGGGGTTGAAGGGAAAGTGCGGAGCCCTGCTTTTCCAAGGAGGAATTCCTGGTACAATAGAAAATGTCTCCTTATTGAATAGCTTCTTGATGCTCAGCGTTGGAGTGTTAGGAGATTACTACAGAGATATGCCTCACAATACAGGCTTGTGTGCCGGCAGCCTATTGTGTTTGGTTAAATTCCTGTTTTCTTTTTCACACTGCCACTCAGCCTTTAAGTGCTGCCTTGATGCCAACTTTGCCATCTAAATATCAGCTACATATTAATATATAACTCCAAACGACTTGCTCTCAAGGACTGGCAGTAACAGTGCTTGGCCTGGTGCTCTAATCCAACAGTAAAATGATAGAAACCAAATAAAAAAATGAATTGCACTCTAAGTTCCTTATTGACATTTCAGTTGTCAACTACCTACACACCAGTATATTCTACAATCTAAGATCGGAAGATCTAAGGGCCATTAAAAATACACTTAGTTTTATTTCGGAAACCTAGGACACTTTCAATAAGTACACTAGGGAAAAGGGCACCTGTCTGCCGTTGAGTCTGTTTGTGCCTGGGAAACTGCCCCTTTTGCCCGGTGTAAATTTATTTCTAAAACACTGTCTGCGCTCGTTCTTCACAGCCATCATTATTTCTTATTCTCCACGATTAGATTCCTTACTATTCCTCACATTTCTCTTATACTCATATGTATCAATGTATAGCATACTCTGTCTATGTTTTTAGTATTTTTTTTTAGTACAAAGGCCAAATATTACTCCGTGTTCATGCATTTATACTCCCAACCCCAATGTTCTCATGTATTTATAATTCTACGTGTTAAACGTGGTAATTATAAATGACAGGAGCCATATTTGAATAACGGAATGCCATAAAATTCACAATCCTTAGTAATGTGTCATTATTTACTAGCAGAATACATAACATTGGGATTATCTTGGTACTTTTTGGATATTAATTGCTATTATCATAGAGACACATAATCAACCATTTTAAGGTGGGTATGCATGAAGCATACAGCCTGCAGGGCTACGTTTCAACCAGTGCTATACGGAAGCATGTATATCAACCATTAACTTTCAAAATGGCCGATTATTAGAGCACTATCTCCAGTACCCACAAATATTACAATTTATGACACTACCCTATTGGTGAGGTGCTTAACAACAAGAAGGTAAAGTTTGCAATTCGGCTATTTTTGGTCACAATTTGCAATTCTCTTGTCAATTCTGCACAATTTATTAAATAAACCTCAGAATCATTGTTGTCATTCAGGATTTAGAGGGGACACTAGTGTTATTGCATTAATGGGTTCTATTGGGTAGGGGGTTGTATAAAGGTTGGGGTGTCTTACCTGAGACAGTTCTCAAAGATGAATCCTCCTTCCAGAGGCTGAGATACAGAGAGTGCAGGCTGCATGATGAGAGTGCAAGCTTAACTGAAGCTGTCTATTAGAACGTTTGGGGTTCCTTATGTGTCACGCCTTCGCTTCACTTACTTTCACTATCGTTATCACTATACTATCGTTATCTGTTTCTCCTACCTTGTTCCTTTCTCATGCACTCTCTTTTCACCTCTCTCTCTCTTTCTTACCCCGTTGTCTCTTGGCAGTCTCGCAGGGCCCCTGCCTCACTGTGCTGTCTCTGTCTTCTGCCTATTATTTCTCCTTGTCTCTTGTCTGGTTCCTAAAACTTATTGTAAAAATTACTTTCACTTTCACCTTCTGCTAATCCACATGATACACACATCCAAATGCATAAAAGCTATCATATCACACGCCATGGGCATGCAGAGCTCATCCATTTGTCTTCGGATCACTGACTGTGAAAAAACTAACGGCATTATTGTATTTATAAATGTTAGACTTTTTATAAAAAATAATCAAACAGTATTTACACTAGTACGTGTGTGCACAAACACTGACAATATAAATAGAAATATGTGCTAACGGTGGGGTCTGAGTATAAGTGTGTGCGTGTATGTCACTAATAACCGCCACTAGGGGAATTCCAGTTAACCCTTTACTTTCAATCTCTTTGGCTCCAGACAAAGAATATAAATGTAGGTGTGTACATAGAAACAGATAAACAATTTATTTCGTTAGTTTGCAAAATATAGGCCAATATTTGAAGATTAAGCAGGTATGGACTGTCTGTGTATAGACTCTGACGCCTATTAAAGGTTATGGCATTTCACTTAATATGCCATTTCAAAACAGATTAAAAGTTTGGAGGAAAATCATAGAAACCCATTCAGAATACTTACCAATAGTTCTGAACTTAGTGGAACAGTCATAATTTTAGTTCTGCTGTCCTGATGTCCTGGGTTTTTTTCCTCTGGGGTTTCACTTTTGAGAAAAGTAGAAATGTGCAAAAATTAGTTTTGTCCGAATAAAATTCCTGGTAATCGTTGATCTAATTGATCTCTAAAGCAGAGAGCGATTTGAAATCAAGTCGTTCCAGTAACAATTAACAGAAATTTTATTGCGACTAATGGCTTTAAATGATTATTTTTTGTATATGTCTAGAGAGCACCAGGGAAACGTGCAGCAGAAGAATATAATACCTCCCAAGTGTCCCTATTTAGAAAGAAGAGTCTCTATTTTGGTCCCAAATCCCCATGTCCCTCTTTTCTAAGAGCTCCATATTGTTGGTGTATCTGAGTGTATAACAGAGCTCCACAGCAATAATACTCCCAGTAATGTGTCTGAGTGTATGACAGAGCTCCACAGCAATAATACTCCCAGTAATGTGTCTGAGTGTATAACAGAGCTCCACAGCAATAATACTCCCATTAATGTGTCTGAGTGTATAACAGAGCTCCACAGCAATAATACTCCCAGTAATGTGTCTGAGTGTATAGCAGAGCTCCACAGCAATAATACTCCCAGTAATGTGTCTTAGTGTATAGCAGAGCTCCACAGCAATAATACTCCCAGTAATGTGTCTGAGTGTATAACAGAGCCCCACAACAATAATACTCCCAGTAATGTGTCTGAGTGTATAGCAGAGCTCCACAGCAATAATACTCCCAGTAATGTGTCTGAGTGTATGACAGAGCTCTACAGCAATAATACTCCCAGTAATGTGTCTGAGTGTATAACAGAGCCCCACAGCAATAATACTCCCAGTAATGTGTCTGAGTGTATAACAGAGCTCCACAGCAATACTCCCAGTAATGTGTTTTTAAACTACAATAACAATGTTTAGAAATCAGTCTCTGTAAGTAAGATACGTTGTTTACGTTTCAAATGACATTTTCGTTGCATAAATAATTATTACCGTATATACTCGTGTATAAGTCGATCTCATGTATAAGTCGAGTGCAGTTTTGTGACCAACAATTGTGAAATATGCTTTGCCTCGTGGATAAGTCGAGGGTAAAACTTGGGGCTATGAAATTCTGTGATTTTTATAATTATATACACACACTCTGCATTATATACACACACACTTATACAAACACACACTCTGCATTATATACACACACACTTATACAAACACACACTGCATTATATATACACACACACTCATACAAACACACACTATGCATTATATACACACACACACTCATACAAACACACACTGCATTATATACACACACTCATACAAACACACACTCTGCATTATATACACACACACACTCATACAAACACACACTCTGCATTATATACACACACACACACTCATACAAACACACACTCTGCATTATATACACACACACACTCATACAAACACACACTCTGCATTATATACACACACTGTGTATATAATGCAGAGTGTGTGTTTGTATGAGTGTGTGTGTGTATATAATGCAGAGTGTGTGTTTGGGTAGTGTGTGTGAACTGGGTGGGGGGAGGGCATTTTTATTATTTAAAATTTTTTATTTTATTTTAATTGTTTTTGTCCCCCCCTCCCTGCTTGTTAACTGGTCAGGGAGGGGGGCTATCTTAATCCCTGGTGGTCCAGTGGCATGGGCTGTGTAGGAGGGGAGCCGGCAGGAGGCATTTACTTACCTTTCCTGCAGCTCCTGTCAGCTCCCTTCTCCTCCGTTCCGGTCAGCTCCACTGTAAGTCTCGCGGTCTGGTTGCCGTGCGGATCGTTGCCATGGCTCTGATTGCCGCGGCTCTCTAAGTTGCCATAATACAGACAGTGACTCGAGTATAAGTCGAGTGGGGGTTTTTAAGCACAAAAAATGTGCTGAAAAACTAGACTTATACTCGAGTATATACTGTATTAACCAAACAAAAATTTCTCAGAGAAGTCCCAGCCCTGGCCACACCCCAGTCACACCCCCATCACACCCCTTAACTTAAAGTGTCCTTCTTTGTCCGTTTAAAATGTTAGAAGGTGTGGAACTTGTTAAAAAGCGCATGTGTTGCTCGATCTAAGAATTCCATGACATTATCCACACTATGTCAGCAGTGCTCTGCTTATGGACAGCTATCGTTCTTCTTAGTTAAATCATCAGATATACAATCAGACCTGCATGAAAACCACCATTCATAGCCAGACACAGCAGCAGTGACATAAATGGTGCCATTAATATTATTTTCTATGCCACCATCATTCAAGACATCATATCAGGGGACAAGGCCCCATCCCCTCATCCAATACCTCCCACCATACCACCCCAGGTGTTTCTGGAACCTAGCAGCGCTCCTGGCAAAAAAAAAGCCATAGACTTACCCCTCCAAAAATATCTCCCAAGAAGGTCCTGGTTTGTGCACACACAATGCACTACTTAAGAAAATCTACTGAAATCATACAGAAATTTGGTGCTAATTTGGCATTATTTTAAAACGTATACAGAATGCAAGGACTAAATTTAAAATTTAAGGCCACAGAGCCAAACTGAAAGAATAGCTGATTTTGAGAATTTTCGCAGTTTGGATAATTTCACCTTGAAATTCACTTTGATTTCACCTTGAATTCTCACTAACCCTGTATGTCTTTTCCTTACTATTGGCTGAATTTGTTCTTCAGACTATCGTTTGCATATCGTATTGTACTCATATGTCTTTGTTTAGTGATAACTTATCCTGCTATTTTGTTGACAGGTATGTGATTTTTAGATCTTTTTCCTGTGTTTTTTTCCTGCCTTCTCCTCAATAAAATGCTATTAAACACGGTGATTTTTGTAATCAATTGTGCTGTAGGCTTTAAAAGTAGCAGAATGAAGTGGGTACAAGTTATTTTCACTTGTTTTGGAGTAAATCTGAATGCAAAAATACATTTTTATTCCTACCTACACTATATCCAATGTCCTCTGGTATAGGTTGGCAATTGATCAAGCCAATAGGTTAAAACTCCAGCTCGATGTGGCATCATGGCGTAGTAGTCGCCTTCCCTCTTCATGTGTCCCCCATGAGTCGTCATGACAACCGCCCACCGAGCATCTGTGAAGAGACTAAGCAGTGCATCAGCGGAGTGTGACTGGTGATGCACGGGTTGTGCTAGGCAGCAGTTCTGGGTTCCCAGCTGACTCTACCCCTTTAAATACTTGTCCCAGCATGAAATGAATATCTCCCTAAAGTAACTGACGCAATTCCTAGTGTGTTAAAATAGTTGGCGTACTGAAGGGAGGAGGAGGAAGTGGGGGTCACAATCACTGAAAGACGAGTTGGACAGAGATGAGTACACAACTGGCTGCTTGGCATCCTTGTTGCCATGGCACCATGCATGGCTGCACACACCCAAAAGGGGTAGCAGGTACCAATTATTCTTAATAGCACGATACAGGATCTTTTTTTGGCAAGGAGTTGAGATTTAAAACTATAAATCAGTAACACCTCACTGTCTGTTCTAACTATTGATACCAGATCCACAACGATTTTCAGGGACACAAATAATTTAGTCATATTTATGAAAATAACCCCTTTTGCACTGTTGTGGGAGGAGGACACTATAGGGAGCTATATTTTTAGGTCCATAGTGTTCCATAGTGTGCTTTCTCCCCCTCCACTGTCCCATAGTGTTCTCCCCCCCATCCCATAGTGTTCTTTTCCACCTTCCCCGTCCCATAGTGTTCTTTTCCCCCTCCCCTGTCCCATAGTGTTCTTTACCCCCTCCCCTGTCCCATAGTGTTCTTTTCCCCCCCTTCCCCATAGTGTTCTTCCCCCTCCCTCCCCTGTTCCATAGTGTTCTTCCACCCCCTTCCTCATAGTGTTCTTCCCCCTCCCTCCCCTGTTCCATAGTGTGCTTTCTCCCCCTCCCCTGTCCCATAGTGTTCTCCCCCCCATCCCATAGTGTTCTTTTCCACCTTCCCCTGTCCCATAGTGTTCCTTCCCCCCTCCCCTGTCCCATAGTGCAGTATTCTTGACTTTTCATGTTATCATTACTATCTTTCATTGTGATATATAATCATCTGAATTGTCAGTGCAAGCATGTCTGTTAAACTGTGCACTACAAAAATAAAAATGAAAAACCGAAAAAAAAGTAAATAATTTTTTTAGAATTTTTTTTTAAAGTAAAAGAGGAAATTTGACCAATTTTTGGTTGAAATGGGATAGGTCCATCCCTAGTAAATTTGGTGCATCCCTAGTAAAAACAGTAAGCACAGCTCTGTTGCAGCTGACACTGCATTGAAAATGGCGCATTATCACAGATTAAAGTGGCACTGTCATGCCGAACTTACCTTTCCCCAATCGATTCCTCTTCTCTCCCTCTTTCAGGATCGGTTATTCATTTCTTCCTGCCTGCTCTAGTTTTCTTTAAAATATAAGACACAGTAGGGGACTATTTCTCTTCTGGAGGTTTCCTGCGCCATGACCAGCGGAGGAGCAAAGTGTGCTTCATTTCCGCTGGTCAGAGCAATTTTCCCATGATCCTTAGCTTTCCTCCCTGTTCCCACAATGCTTCCTGTCAGTATTGCCGAACGTCCTGTCACTTAGAGAGAACGCCGGCAAAACTGCCGAATTGCGTCCTAACAGAATGACAACAGTTTCTCCATTCGTGTTAGGACGCAATTCGGGACTTTGTTCGTATCGGAATTTCATTTGAATGAATGAAACTCTGATCCTATTCATTGCCGCAGCTGCATCTTGCAGCCGCTTAGTAGAAAACTCCCTAATTCCCACGGTAGTAGGGAGCTATCTCCCAAAAGGCTGAAAGACCTAAAGTGGTCTTTCAGCCTCATTTACTAATACTAAGTAAAGGTTACTTAGTATTAGTAAATTCGGCCCCTACTCACTATATTGCAAGTAGGGGCATGTCTAGTAAACAGTGAGCAGCCACTGTTAAAAAAAAACAACCCAAAAAGCCCTAGTACCCTAAAAGATAATCGGGGTGGGGGGGAGGACCTATTGTTCTACCCCCAATCCTGTGCGGTGGATGGGGGCTATAAAGGACAATGAGCGGGGGGGACCTACTGTCCTCCCCCCTGGCCCCCACCCCTGCGCAGTGGGTGTGGGCCATAAATCACAATGGGGAGGGGAGGGACGTACTGTCCTCCCCCCCCCGGCCCCCACCCCTGTGCAGTGGGTGGGGGCCATAAATCACAATGGAGGAGGGGAGGGACCCCCCCACCCCATTGTGATTTATGGCCCCAACCCACCGCACAGGGGTGGGGGCCGGGGAGGAGGACAGTAGGTCGTCCCCACCACATTCTTATTTAGGGGCTACTAGTTTTTTTTTTTTTTTTTACTGTTTAGTAGACATGCCCCTACTCGCGGTATAGCGAGTAGGGGCATTCAAGAGATTTTAATCTCCCTTATGCTATTATGGGGGTCATATTAACCCCCATAGAGTGAGGGAGGACATGGGGGGGCTTAGGAAGTGGCGGGGAGCACTGCTCCCTCCCACTTCTATCTTTACATATTACAAGGAGGGAGCTGCGAGCCGGTAGCTCCCTCCTTGTAATAAACTGAACGAACAAACGAACACTAATATTCAGTGTTTGTTCGTCTGAAATTTCTTTTCATTCATTCGTCTTTCTGATCAATAAATAGATGAAATTCCCGTTCGCATGTCCAAGTGTTTAACTGGGCATGTGCGGGAATCTCACAGGCTATCTAGTATGGGCAGATGACATGTCCCACAGGGACTTCCTCTACCCACACAAAGATGGTGGCGCCCTGAATATAAATCGGGGCAGAAAATAAAGATAAAAAATAGGTAATATGGGGGACTTAGGGGCATTTGAGGGTGACTAGGGGGTCAGTTAGATGTCTTTATGGATCTCAGCCATTGTTTTTGGACCCAGATTTTCACGGCGAGGCACCCAGTTGTTCATCCTCGAATCCACCGCATCCTGCACCATAAATCGAATCCGGTGAGATGTTTTCTTGTTTTTGATGAGTTTATCGATGTGGCCGAAATAGTCATCCATACGAGGCAGTCTGACTTCCAGGTGTTTTCAAACTGATTTTAACAAAAGACAGACGTACTCCATTGACTCCTCACTTTGTTTGTTCAGACGTTTGACAAGACAGTCATGTATGATGTTTTTTGAGAGCGTTTTCAATTTAAATAATTCCCCAATAAATGTGATGTTCCCTAGAGAGCGCCGGCGAGCTTTATTAAGAGCATCGCTCAATTCCTCCTTTACTTGAGCCTTTTCATTAGATGACGTAGCCATTTCCAATGTCTTCTAGAGTTTTTTAATTCGCTCGTTACCATCTTCACCTTTTTCAAACTCCTCCTGGCAGAGCTTTAGCAGCTGTCTGCAGAACTTAATACAGATTTTAGGATTTACTTCTGCTGGAACTTCTAGCCTCATTAGACAATGGCACATGTTGGCATATATACATGAAAAATTTGGCTCAGATTTTGCTTTTCAAATATTAGTTGTACTACACATTTGAGCTGATATGCTGTGTCTACAGAGTGGTCTGCCACTTGTTTGGTTAGCTGCTTAGATGTCTCAGGAGTCACCTTATTAAGGATACTGCGCACTTTGTGGAACAATTCCTGAGCCTGGATACTAGTGGAATTTTCATTTGTCTGTCTTGTAGCGGGTTTCCAAGCATTTTCAGCTTTGTTTAGGTGAATATTCTGATTTAATGTTATTATTTTTCGAGGATGTTTGCATGGCTCTTGCTAGGGAAGTCTAGGTTTAGCCCCAGCAGCGTGGCAGAATCTTGTACTTGGCGGTGTAAAATGATTACTAGCCTGTTGGGTTGAAACCAGTGGCGTCAGTTTGGTTTTCTGAGCCGAATCTCGGTGTATGTCAGGTATATCAGGAAGGCTCTCTGGCTTTTGCTTTCTAAACCGTAAACTGAGCAGAAATTCACGGCTGTAGCATATCCTTTTTATATTTGCTGTTTTTCACTTTTTCCATGTTCTCTGGACTTAGAAACTGACACAGGCTGATCTGCAGTTAATAGCTGGCAAACTTTCATTGCAGTATAATTCTCCTCAGGAATATGCTCTTCTAGTTCTGTGACTGACTGCCCAAGTGCTAGATTTGTAGGCTCAGGATGAGAAACTAAAGTAGACTGTGGTGGATCAGAGCTTACTGGCATCTCCTCTGCTAATCCACTTGTCTGAGGTTCAGTAGAAGAAACATGGACATCTAGAAGGATATCTTCTTCTACAACTGTGACTGACAGCTCACGATCTAAATCAATTGGCTGAGATTGGCAAACCAAAGTGGACTGTGGCTGTGCAAAGTTTACTGGCAGCTCCTCTGATCGCCTACTAAAAGGTTCAGGAGAACAAACTATGGACCCACAAGAGGAATATGTTCTTCTATACCGGTGATCTCAGGATCTAGAATACTTGCCTCGGGATGGAAATCCACATAAGCATTTTTTTGCTTTTCCGTTTCTTTTTCCTCCACTGCCTTGGCTAGGGCAGTTGCAGTCTCCTGAGTTGCTTTATCCTCTTGGAATAACATTGAGTATTTTGTCATATTTGGATGTTGCAGAATAATGAGCTTGTAGAACGTCTTGTACAAACCCACGGCTCTGTCCAGGATACCATTTTCCCCCAAGAGGTGTACGTTGGGTTTTTTCTTCATTTTGATGTATCTTAATTAAGAAAGAGAAATGGAATTAGTTAAGTCACACAATCCACTCACCTGATGTTATTTTTCAGGAATAAGTGTGTGTTGGGAATAGGAAAAGCCATCATTGCTAAAAAAAAAAAATAAAAAAAAAAATTGGTTTAACATCTAGATACGTTGAAAATTGAAAAAAACAAATACCGGGACAGTTTAAGGGCCATAAAAAACAGAGAGTGGCTAAAATAATCTTATATTGTAATAGATTGAAAGGTGGCACGGGTGTTTTTCACCTAGTGCAATACCATCAGATAACCATTCTTTTCCAAATGCTTTTAGATTCCTAACTTACATTTATCGAGTATTACTTCTGTGGGGATGTTATTTCAGGGACATCCCCTAATTTCATTTACAGATTTTAGTGCTAATTATACACTGCCAAAAAAGGGATTTTATAGATTTCTGCAAATCAGACTTTTAATTACAAACCCACTATTAAAGTGGGACAAGTTGTCATTAATCACATAGACTTCTGTAGAACTGGCAGCTGCTCATCCTTAGATAAATAAGGAGGGAGCAGATTCCAAATGTGATATCATTCAAGACTGGAAACGTAGTGGTCCATTACATTTCCATACTGGATGGGAATGGGAATTGGGTAGGACGTTAGAGGACACAGAGTGGAACCACTCCGAATTACTTAAGAAAATGTTATATAGATGGCATTTAACCACAGTTAAACTGAGTTATTTGTATGCGGGTATGCCAAGGCTCTGTTGGAGGTAATGCAGACAGGAGGGTTCTTACATTCATACATGGTGGTGTTTTCTTGGACTGACAACTTTAGCAAGCTCTCATTTATTTACCATTATTATTAATACTATTCTCATAGTATTTAACTCCCTCCTTATTTTCCTCTTATGATCAATACAGTCAGATATTAAGCCAAAATGGGTGCCCTTATAAAGTACAATGGAGATAGGAAAGGGTTTTGCTGACTTTGTTTATTCCCAGAATATATTTCCGAGAACGTGGAAGGGAGTAGTAGATATGATTGTGGCACTATGGCAGGCATTCATAAATGTAGATGGTTTAATGTACATTTTACTTGAAAGAAAACACTGTTTCATATACACCTCAGTGGAAACTGTGTTATTGTTTTTTTCAAATTTTTGCTGACACATGATGGAACCAATCCTTGATGTGTACTGACTTATCCTTGTATGTGAACATAAATTTCAATGAAGACATTGTTGCAAAACAAACTCCCAAAACTGTCAGTGATTGTGTTCCTTTCTTCCTTTCCATCCATCAGTCCTTTCTCTCTCTTTCTCTCTCGTCCTCACATCATCCATCCTATCCCTACTCTTCATCCATTGGATGCCCTATCCTTCTCCATCTGTCAATCATCCACCATTTATAATACATTATGATAGCACCTGTGTTTTCATTGCTCACATTCTGGTTGTGTTGTTTTTACGGAATGGTTTCTTCTGCAACCTGCAAGTTTCTGTTTATATTACAATACATTCCGTAATTAACCCCTTAAGGACTGGACTGTTTTTGCGATGTTGTACATTTGCAACCAGGAATATTTTTACACTTTTCTGGTGTTTGTGTTTAGCTATTATTTTCCGCTCTCTCATTTACTGTTCCCATACAAATTATATATTGTTTTTTTCAGGACAAAAGGGGCTTTCTTTACATACCATTATTTATATAATCTCATGTATTTTAATTTTAAAAAAATAAAAAAATATGATGAAAAATTGAAAAAAATACATGTTTTTTGACTTTTACTTGAAAAATCTTTTACTCATCTACAAAAGCGAATGAAAAAAACAGCTAAATAGATTCAAAATTTTGTCCTGAGTTTAAAAATACCCAGTGTTTCCATGCTTTTTTGCTTTTTTTTGCAAGTTATAGGGCTATAGGTACAAGTAGGATATGGCGGTTTCAAAACAATTTTTTTTTAAATGTATCAATAATGACATTGTAACACTATTATCTGTCATAAATCTCTGGAAAACACTCCACATGTATATATTTTTTTTAAAGTAGACAACCCAGGGTATTCATCTAAGGATATTTTGACACTTTCTATGCAGCCATTTTACCACAAGTCTTTGCCAAACTTTGCATAGATAGTTGTTTTTTTTTGTTTTTTTCACATACATTGCAATTCAGGTATAAACTTACAGATCCTGTTATGTCTTGCTGCCAAACAACACGCCAATATGTGTTCAGCAACATCTCCTGAGTACAGTGATACCACCCATGCATAGGCTTGTCGTGTAGTCAACCTGCGCACATGTCCTATTTGGGACATTTGTAAGGCCGGCCAATGTATTTTACCCCCACCAAACCATATATTTTTGGAAAGTAGACACCCTAGGGTATTTCAAATGGTGGTTTTTTAACACTTTCCATGCACTAATTCTACCACCAGACATTGTCAAACATTTAGGTAGTCATTTTTTGTGTGTTTTTTTCACACACATTGTACTTTAGGCATGAATTAACAAATCGTGTTATGTGTCACTGCCAAACAACACGCCAATATGTGTTCAGCAACATCTCCTGAGTACAGTGATACCACCCATGCATAGGCTTGTCGGATTGTTTGGGGGCTAAAAGGCCACATTTGGCAGGTGCGCATATCCATTTTTCAACTTGGAATTTTGACATGTAGTAAACCAGCGCCCCTGTCCTATTTGGGCCAATGTATTTTACCCCCATCAAACCATATATTTTTGAAAAGTAGACAACTCAGGGTATTTTAAATGGTGGTAGTTTAATACTTCTCATGCAATAATTCTACCACCAGCCTTTGGCAAACTTTTGGGTAGTAATTTTCTTCATGTTTTTTTACACATACATTGTACTTTAGGCATGAATTAACAGATCCTGTTATGTATCACTGCCAAACAACACCCCAATATGTGTTCAGCAACATCTCCTGAGTACAGTGACATCACCCATGCATAGGTTTGCTGGGTTGTTTGGGGGCTAAAAGGCCACATTCAAGACTTGTACATATCAGTTTTTCAACTTGATATATAGGTATGCTTGGCCTATCTTCAGTTTGGTATATTTTTGCATCCCCCCCGTTAATGTTAACATCATGAAAGTTTATATTTTTATAAAGTAGACATTCCAGAGTATTGTATATGAGGTGTTTTCACATCCTTCCCCCAACCATTGTGCTAAACAAATTTCAGAGAACGTGCATGGTGGTAATTTTTTAATTCTGCTTTTTATGCACACGTCATCTGGTTTTGGCCAGCCAGTTATATGTTACTACCATAAAACTTTTTTAACCAAATGTGCAGGTATCAAATGCACCTTTAGCAGCATTCTCTAAACTAACTCCTGCAAAAAGAATCTAATTGGAGATTTGGGGGGAAGGAAACTGACTAACTAAAATTTGCTGTTTTCAAAAGAAAAAAAAACAGTGCAAAGGGGTGTCTGTCCTTTTCCTTTTTTATAACAGACCCAGCAACATTTCAGGGGATTTGTTTTTTTTTTGCAGTTGGCGGTATCTTAAAAATAAAATGTCTGGACTCCTTTGGTACCGTTGTTGGAACTTGACCATCTCCATAAATTATTGTGGAAATCAGCTTGAACTAAAATTGGAGAAAGGTGGTTCTTTCTGAATTCATTTTTTTTTCAAGAGTAAAAATTAATTATGTGTTGCTACTTGCATCAGGTAGATATACCTTTTTATACCAGGCTTTTGTCTTTCTTAAGATAAGATATGGCTGCATCAGCTGATCAGCCAAATCAACACCCCCCATGTGCCTGTTATAAGCCCTGATGCACACCGGTTTTGTCTGTACCCTGCCTCGGACAGTGACGTCTGACATGCCCTCGTTATGGATGGTTGTTAGCATGTGAACATCCTTCCTGTCCTTAAATTTTATTGCAAGCACTTTAGCTTTGTGCAGACCTTTACATTCACTTTTTTTTTTTTTTTTGGCCTCTATAAAAGGTCTGGGGAAATCCTTGGCATATCTTCTCACACTGCCACAGGCCAGTATCTAGAAACCCTAAAGAGTTTGAAACAAACGGACAATGCTATAAAAATTGTCCACATAAAGGTGGTAACCCTTATTGAACAAGGGGATCAGTAAGTCAAAAACAAGTTTCCCGCTTGTCCCCAGAGAGTCAGTACAGCCAGGAGGGTCCAGTTGACCATCTTTCCCCTCATATATACGAAAGGCAAATGTATAGCCACTTTCGCTCTCGCACAGTTTGTAGAATTTTACGCCATACCTAAAGCGCTTTGAGAGGATGTATTGTTTGAATCCTAATCTCCCTTTATATTTCATTAACGATTCATCAATAGATAAATTTTTTTGAGGAGTATAAACTTCAGTAAATTTGTGCTGAAGATGGTCTACCAGTGGGTGTATTTTATGAAGCCTATCATATTTGGTGTGATCTCTGCGGTGACAGAGGGTATTGTCATTGAAATGTAAGTATCTCAGCAGCAGCTCAAATCTTGTTCTAGACATGGTTTGAGAGTACACTCGACTAGAACAGATTGGGTTGGTGCTCCAGTAAGAGCAAATTGATGGCTTCTTTATAATCCCCATGAGAATTGTAAGAGCCCAGAATTTTTAAGTTCAGCGACATCTGTGGGATGCCAAGCACACTCCTCCCTGACTGCATAGCTATCTGGATTGGTATCAATAAATTGGGTAGCATATAAATTAGTCTGGGGAGCAATCTCCTCCCACATGGTATCCCCTAAAAATAGCTCCATATATTGCATAGAGGAGAAGTCATCCACATTGACATTAATGCCTGTGTTGGCACTAAAAGGGGTGATTTGGGGCTCAGCTAACTGTGGAGAAACCTGTTCCTCCTCCACATTCGGCGTAGCAGAGAAAGCACAGCTTCTTTTTGCAGCCAGCTCACACACAGATGACATGTCAGAAAACTGACCTGGGTCAAAATCGGACGCAGTGTCAGTGGCGTCAGAGTCTGGCTAACACAGAGTTACTAACACACAATTTTTTTTTTAT